GCCCTGCACCGAACTTCTTCATACGCACTGCGGTTTGGTAATTGATAGTGCTGACCAGCTATTCCATGAATAATTAATTCCGACATTCTCAAGCCCAGTCCCGAAAGCTCGTTCATTGGACCCTAAATTGGGCTATAATATTTTCGCATTTAAGGAAATGCCACCGCATCTTCGGTGTCTATTCCGGAACGTGCTGGTATGGGAATTATTTTGTTTTGATTTTAAGTTTCAGTTCGCTGGAAGAATGTTGATTCATTTTAAAGGCTCCCGGAAGTTCCACAAAACTATTCATTATATTGGGACTGGGATTTGCTGAGAATATTGAGGCTTTTTATATCAATTTAGATTATTATTTTTTTTTTAGTGGGATTATCCCATTGTGATAAGAGTATTAGGAGCTGGAACTAGATATCAAACCGTTAGTGTTTTAAATATCAAAAAGCTGTAAGTCACTTTAAGAGATATTTATAAGGATTATTTTTAAATTTAAATAATCAAGAAGATTTCATGTTAATAAAAATACACGCAACAGTTTAATCAAAATTGAAAATAAATTTTTTGCCCAAAAACGTAACTCTTTTATTAATTATAAAAAAACGAATTAATACATATGAAAATATGTTATTATTTAACGCCCAATATTGCATATTTTGTAATAAAAAAAAAGATTAAACTTACATTATCTTTTTATACCTATTACGATTTATTTACGTTATGCTTTTGCATTACGAGCTAACTGGCTGCCAAAATGAAGTGTGAGCTAGATGGCGCTTCTTTGATGTGAAGTGGCGCCATCTGTGCCGTGGTAGATTAGTTACTACTTCCGAATATGAAACACTATTAGACACAGAAACGAAAATTGCGAATAAAATGTAGTTCCTGAAAGAAAATTTCGCATATAATTAAAAAAGGCAAACTAATTTTATTAACTATTATTAACTAATTTCCAATATTAAAAAAAATGTAATTTCAAAGATGTGGCAGCACAAAAAAAAACTTTCTGGCAGCTTGAGAAAAATTCAAATATAAGCGAACAATACGTTATTTAAGTCAGCAAGCTTGAGGAAGTCTCAACAGTGTATGTATGTATGATTATAAATCTTTTTATAAATCGCTGTAAGTATTAGGATGCTATAAACAAAAATATAGCCACTGCTGTGTTATGTTGCAAGTCGCTGCTGCTGTACATATTGCTGTTGCAGATGATAAACTAAAAACTATATAAATAAGGATATATCAAAAATAAATTATTTTAGAAACATTCAGCCAAAAAAAAAATTAACGCCTCTCAGGTTAACGCAATTTCATGTTCATCCTGAGGCTTGTCTCCCCAAAACAATGCTTAAAAAAAGTCCATAAATTAAGGAGTAACCCTTTGTTGCGGTTGACTTGCATTCATAAATCCGAACAAACTTTCCATTTTAAAATCTGAAAGGCAGCTGCAACCGCAGCTAATCACGTCTTTGCGACGCCCGAGTGGGGTCTTAGCGCTTCATGATTTGAATTTTAATTTCAGTTTCTGTTCTGGCCGGGCGACGACAGCCACTCATTCTTTTTATGTGATGTTGTCGAGAGCATTTAAGAGATAGTTTCATTATTTTATGACGACAACGTGCCAAGCGTCGCATTGGGATATAGTAATCATATAATTACAACAGCTGATCAGATTTAATGTGACATTGGCCGGGTATTCGGAATGCAAGATTATCTTGGACAACCATGATCCGAAAAATTCGATCGCAAAGGTTCAAAGCACAGACCATTTGCGGATCAATTACATGTCGAACGGTTGGCTACTTCTCCAAAATCTCAGATTACACCCTTGACGGCATGACACAATTATTTTGTATGTATATTTTGTTTCGGAGATCGGAACAAATGGAAGATAGAGTACGAGTATCTTTGCGCACAACCGGAAGGGCAGAAAAATGAGATATTATTGTTAATCCATTCAGTTCAGTTTTATAGCTCGATCGCAAGTGAAAGTGTTTTATGGCCGATATTTCGCATGAAAGGCGGCATTATGTGGGCGTCGTCTGTCACTCATTTGGCCTCAACTATTTAGGTCACCAGATCAATTACCAAGTAGCCTTTTTTTTTGGTTTTATGAGACGAACCTGTCGCCGGCGCTTCGTCAGCTCTGAAAGGGTTGGTCATTAGCCTGGAAGGGTTTATGGTCAGCGTTTCCTTCTGGATTTCAAAAATGTTCGAGAACGGGAAACAAATTATTTTGTCCTTGCACAATCAATGCTGTTTTTTCTTCGAAGAAGTACATTTTAGTTTTAATCGTGAGGTTTCCAGTAAACAAATTCACCCTGGTACATGACGTCATAGGAACGTGAACACCTGCCTTGATTTCCCGACGTGTTTCAGCTTTATTTTACACTTCCTTTTGACATTTTCTGTATGGAGAAGTATTCCCCCTGGGAGTCCAAATAAGGAACCGCTTGAAAATATATTGTCGCAGCTGCAACAAAGCTCGGAGTGCCACAAAGCACTCCACCTCAAGCTCACGTCAGCGTATCGGAACTTATCTATATGTCATGTATTCTGTTTGTATTTTCATAGCCGTTGTTATTGTTGATTTGTGATTTGTATGATGCACGACTCTGCCAACTCTCCGGTCCAACTAGACAGCGTAATCGCAGTGAGCCGGAGTGCTGATAAAAGCGCTGTTCACAATGCAATTCCAGTCCAGAAACTTCCGCCCAGTGTAACAAAAGATAGCTATTGTAGCTCAAAGATCCATTTCAAGGGCAACTCTCAAAGTTATAATTTTACAGAGCTATTTTAATATTTTTGTAATTGTTCAGCAAGTTAATGGCATATTCCGTTTAATATTATCACTGACAAGTTAATAAAGAGTTCTTTTATGCTTGGGTAACAGCTCAATTTGCTCCTGGGTCGGTTTCTTTCCCCCTAGTTGTGTGCGCGCTTGTATCTGGATAATGGGATCTAGACCAAAAATAGATGGCCTCGATATCGGGCGAGGGTGTATCTGACGTCGAGCATTGGGTCATGAACTGCAATTATGTGCCACATAATAGGGCGGTGTGCCCGCCCACGACCCCAGCTTTGGCTGGTTTTGCGTGTGTTGCAGTGTTGCAGCACTTGCCGTTCTTGCCGCACTTGCCGCACTTGTGTTGCTCCCTGCCGGGAATGTAATTGCTGTCAAATCGCCTGGCGAGGGCCTAATTGTGCATTTCCATAAGACTGTGACGCCAAAAAGGAGGCTGGGCGTAGCCCAAAACACTTACCACTGCGAGGAATATGGGAAACGGAATTATCTCCCTATTTTTGTTTTTTTAAACTTTTAATGTTTACTTAGGGCTTTTTCCCGATTGTTTTGAAATGTTTCCCCTCCACTACCGCATAAACACAAATTTAAATTCGATTTTTAGGAGATTTTAACAAGAACTGTATTTATGAAATGGGGATTGTATATGGGAGCATTTGGAAAGTTGTGAACTGAGTTTTATGGCGGAGTAATCTGGTCTTGCATTTCGCCTTATCGGTCGCGGAGGAACGGACTGCAGACCACCCTACTTTCGGTTTTTATTAGTATTTATTGTTTGTTACATTGGCTTGATAAACTGAAGGCATGCTCGTAGGAAATCAATTACTGGAGGAGTCCACAAAGAACTAGGGAGCGATCTAAGCGCGCTTATCAGACGCTAGGGCTACTAGGGGGCAAAGTCAAGTACTCCCCACCACCACCACCACAACCAATGGCAACCGCCAATTGAACTTGTGAACCAGACTTGAACCCCTCGTGCTGGGTCGCCGTCTAGCGGCTCGATTTCGTGTCACCGAATCGTAAAATTCATAAATTGCGGTGCACCACAGCCACAACCTACCCCAACGTGGAATAGCTACTTGAGGTACATACTATATATTTTGTGTACCTCCTGGCCTGGACTGATAAGCATTTTGATTACTGAATAAATAAAGGCACTGCAGCGAAGTTCAATGACAGAGATACTGGTTTGGGTAATCGTGATCGGCATCCTTTATTTCCGCCATATGTTGTTATACTAATACCCACTCCACGACCCGAATCCCAACCCCAACGTCATTCCCTCGAAAACTTGATCACATCTTGCCGGACCGGCATCAAAACTCATTGTAAATATTAATTATAATGAAATACACGAGATGATGAGCAATACGATTAATGAATATACGGAAAATGCCTTGTCTTCGGAGCTCCTATATTAAGTAAATTAAGAATTCGCTGTTGAAACTCCATGGTGACATGGTGTGGTGTGGTGTTTGTGTGGCACACAGTCCCTCCTCGCACTGGGGCGTGCACAGACTTATGTGAGTGGCTGTGTGTATACGGACATGTGAGGAAAAGTCAGCAATTGCGTGGGAGGGGGAGTGTAAATGCAAGTGGTGTTGGAAACAAGGAAAGCCACCACCCAGAGGTTTCAAAATAATCAGGCAATAACACTGAAGAAAATTAAATGGTTTTCTTAAACATGATCTAAATTATACTCTGTTTTAAGTCTAAAAATTTAATATTCTTAAAATAATCAAGTAGTTTTGTACTCGTTAGAATTTTTTATTAGGAAAATTAGGATTTTTTTATTAGGACTATTAAGAAAATTATAGAATTATAGAATATAGAATTATATACCTACAGGAACACAATAACATATTGTTTTCAATGGTTATTGCCTCTTTTAAGAGTTAAATAGAAAGTATAACTTGTAAAATATGTGTAAACTTTAGTTCAAAAATATAGCTCTTCTATTTTATGGCCTTTATGGTATAAAAATAAACAATTTTTAAAGAAAACTATTATTTTAATAGTAAATTCATCTTTCATTGATTTTTAGATATCACAAATATATAAAAGATATTTAAAGATAGTAACCTATCCGAAAGATACAAAACATGTACCTTTAGAATGCGGAAACCCGCCAATGACGCATGTGTAGGGTGGACGCGACCTGGCAGCAATGTTGCCGGCTACCAGCTCGCCTGCAGCTCTTGAATTCATTTCATTTCGATTCGAGTCGCCGGAGAGTGAAAACGTCCAAAGTCCGGGGTTGCCGGTTGCAAGCAAGACAAGATCTGGCGGTTCAAAGACTACGGAAATAAACGCGCTATACGGTGTATGCTATGACATATTAATGCAGATAGTATGGTCCAGTAGTCGGACAGTGATAAATGTCAAAAACTAGTTTTCGCGGCTCTTTCGACAAAGATCTCTCGTAACACAAAGCGAAAGCAGTCGCCAAGTTGCCGGCTTAATTAAATTAATATATTATTTCGAGAGAACGCCGGCACAAAAGCGATCTCGAGTGTGCGGAGAGTGCGTCAATTAAATTTAATAAATCATAAATATATACGAGTGAGTGCCAACGTGCGACGAGTATCCTGCTTCGGGTTCTCGGCTCTGTGGAGCAATTGTGATTTATCGCCTGCCTGCCTGCCCCAACGGAGGGGCTCAAGTGAAATTACGAAATTACACATGCAAAAATTTAATTTTTATGGGTTTTCCACTGAAAATTGAAACGAAAATGTGCCGACCGCTTGTGATCCTCTTGCTGGCCCTGGTGTCGCAGATCGAAGCCTTTAACTACATGCCCCGCCCCAGCCAAGTGATAAGCAGCCCCACCGACCTGAAGTTCCATATTCCCCAGAGCCGGAGCTCCTACTTCGGATACACGCTCGTCATCCGTGAGACCAGGTGAGTGAGTGGCAAAGAGTTTTCAGCTGGGAATCGCTGTCAATATTTGCATATCGGTGGTATGGAGTGGAGTGTGAAATGTTATCTCAAGATATCTACTGTTTGTCTTCCATGGGTGGTGACAACCGACCTCTCTCTATTCCGTTAAATTCAGGCAGCCACCTCTGTCAATATTTTGAAACTTCTGGCAAGCGGAAACCGAAACTTTGGGGCTCCAGCAGAAGTTGGCGTAAGCTTGGCGAAATTAGTTAGACCTCTCGGTTCGGTTTATTGGCCATTAACACGCTTTTATTTGACTAACAATTAAAATGTTGTTATTCTCCCCGAATGGTCCACATCAATAGTGAAATACGAATCCGTTCGTTCCACTTGACAGCTGCACTAAATATTCTGCAGCACCACTAATGATTTGTCGACGAAAAAATAAAACATTTTCACAGCCTGGCTTGAAAACCACTCAAAAACAATACCACTTGAGACCGAAATTTCTAAAAATAACAAAAAACTGGCTACTTCAGCTTCAATTGCCGCCGATCTGAGAGATCGCAACTCCGACTTCAGCACAATTGACAAAACCGAGCGAACACTTTTCAGCGTTTTCTGAGTTTCTGTTTCGGTCGACCTACATACAAGTATCTTAAACTTTGATATGTAGACCCATTGGCGGCGACTCCGGCCTGGCTTGGAGTACCTACCGGACCCCCAAATGACATCACACACCTCAGACGGCGGGCGCCACAAATCACAGTTAATTGAAAAAGTCGAAAGTGACCAAATGGAAGCTGAGATACTCTTTTTTAGGCACTGATCTCATCTTGCCTTTTATGCAACTCATATATAGTATGAATGGTGTCTCGAAAAGTGTGTCTCCAAAGTAATTAAGCGAATTCGGGTCAAAATTTATCTTTTTTATAACATCAAGTACAACCTCGTTAGAATGCAGTACGTGATCATAACTAGCTGGCTCTCTAAGCCAGGTTTTATTTCCATAACTTGGATGGATGGGTAATTTGGTACTTCCTCCACGTATCCCCCAGTTTTTATGGTCAGCACTTTTAAGCCCCAAAATGCCCATGACTGTGGGCTGTGTTCTGGCCATTACGAAGTGCGCCTAATTATGTACGGAAATTGCGCGTAAAATCACGACAAGCTGTAATTTATTTCGCATCAATTGAAGTTTAAACAAAAAATTGTACGAGTAATGTTTTACGATTTCCTGTACTTGTATCTGTATGGTTTGGAATATTGAAAGCATAATCCCTCAAATGGAGTGTTTCGTTCTAGATTTCTTTCACACACTCGTCAGTGCACTCACCATTCCTTTTCCCAGTCCATCTGTCATCCGTCTGGCGAAATGAGTCACAAAATGTTTCCAATCGCACTTGGATTGAAAATCAGACCCAGCTGCAGTCCGCAAAGGCGCCACCTCCACCCACTTCATCTCCGGAGTCCCGCCATGCCCCACCGACTAACTGACACCACACACGAATATTTTTAGCCTCTTTGCCGCTTTGGGTCATTAAACCGAATTCTTGAAAAAATGAAGAAGTGCACAGAGAAATAATTTACCATAGGGATCAATGTTCGGGGGTCGAGTATCTGGAATTTAAACATGACCTTTTGTACAGGTCACAATAATATTTATTAAAGTATGTTAACACCTGTTTGGCCTGTACTAGATTTTCTCTCTGTGCATCCCGAAATGATGTGCAGTGTGGTAGCTTTTGTTCTTAACAATTTGTTGACCAGAAACCGCTGCGATTGCTTTGTTGTAGTTCTTTGTTTTTGTTTGGCTGACGCGGGAGATTTGTGTGGCCCTGCAACATGGCTTATTGTCAGCTTACATAAACAGTAAACAGTTCTTTGTGCTGCATTTAAACAAAAGCACCGCCCCATCGAACATCTTCAGCTGCATCTTCAGTATTTCATACATATATTTATGTACAGACGTCCATAAACTAAAAAGAAGACTGAACTGGGGAAGATACAGGGCTTTTACATGATTGTGACTCATGTCTGGGAAACTACGCAAACAACAAGCCAAACTTTTGGCCAACTTACTCAGACATTGCTTGGTCGTTAAAAAAAAAAAACAAAGAAAACAAATGTTGACTAACCCGTACTTAGTACTCTGTTTTACCTTTAAAATAAACAAAAATATTTTGGAACAGGTAGCCATAGTGGCAGCGGCAGGGGCTTGTCACACGTCTTGACGGCTTTTAATAATTGGCGTTTTTACACGCAATCAAGCCCAAACTATTCAGCCGCCTTCAAGCCATTTGTATAGAGTTACCAGCGAAATCAGGCCAGGAAATGGATGCACGCCGGTGACTCATCATCCGAACTGACTAAGCCAGCTCCGGAAAACTTGTATTCATTTGTATATACATGTGTCTACATATGTATATGTGTCTATATTATTTTTATAATAAATCAACGATCATGTAGAGGTCATAGCAATGTTTGAAGATCAATGGAGGCAGAGTCATTGTTCACAATCAAGATGACAATTGAAATTTCATTGAATTGTAAATTCCGAAAGTAGGAAATATTCTAGCAATCTTTGTTATGAATTTGCAATTATTATTATGTTAATTTATAATTGTTTTCCACCAGATTGTTTAATTAAACCTCCTTATCAGTGGTGTCTGCTGAAAGAAAATAAAAGGCTCGTAGCGTTAATCTAAAACTATAAAAGTTTATTGATAAGTTTTATTTCCAAAAAGGCTTTTAAAACATTCATTTACGAGCAGAGAATCGTGAAGCCATTAAACTGGCACAGATATGGGGCCTTCCATAAGTTCTATTTAGTTTACCTTGGTTTATTGAAAACATTTTATCAGTAGTGCTATGCAGTTTTATTGACCTAATACTTATACTGATTCCTATATGCCATTCCATATCTTTTAGAGGCATTTTATCTCCACTTATGCAATTCGTTATGAGTAAGCTGTGTTCTTTCCTCCGTACTATCATTCATATAGTACTTTTGTTATCACCAACGGGTTCTCTTCATGAATCAGGCTTATAATGACCGTTCCAAAAAACAAACACTGCTTTTTAGATGACACTCTTTTGGTGTGCAGTACACATATGGGCATGACAGCCGAAGCGAAGATGTAGCCAAGACACTCCTACGACTGTGAGACCCCAACGGTAAAGTGAGTAAGCCCGGTCAAAACAAAGCGGCCTATACGCTCTCCCCCCAATTGTTGTTGTCAAGCTCTCTTCTCCGATAAGTCTCGGGGGAGCCAAGTCGTCGGCAGGTCGCTCCGAACCTGCCCGGTTAGTTTCTCGCAAACTTTTGATTGGAACGGTTGGGTTTCGTGCGATCCGCATACGATCGGTGGAGTTGTGCGTGGCCAATAAATCGAAAGTGATAATACTGCCAAAGTGAAGATTATTTAGCGGTTGAATTATACAACCTAGCCTTGTTTTAAGCTATAATTTCTGCGAAAATGGTGCGACAAGGGCGCCCTGAAGTGGTGCTGGCGGTGTTGGTGGTCGCCCTGATAGGCCTGGCCGTGGACACCAACGGTTTCAACCTCTCGCCGCGTCCCAACAGACAGATCTCCGATCCCCAGTTTGCAACCAATCTGCCCAAAGAGCGTGCGTCATATTTCGGATTCTCGATGAGCCTGCGACCGAATGGGTAAGACGCCCCAAACCGATCCCGCATCTTGGGAGCTTACCCACTCCAAAGATCGGGCGGGGAGTAAACAGGTTACGCTTGTGTGCATGACCGTTGATGATTCACTCTGCCAAACGGCCATCGAATAGTAGCTGTAAAAATTGAATGAACGTTTTCAAAAAATGCTCCGGCAGCCAAAAAAATGAATATAAAAGACAAATATGTGAAAAAGAAAGACACTTAATGCCTTGTACAAACGATGAAGTCATACCCTTAATATCAATTATCTACAGACACCGAAGAGGTGGGAGGTGTCTGCCTTCAAGCACATAAAAATTTTAATATATATAGAGATGTCAAGCTCCTAGTATATGGGGTTGGTAGAGGTGCGGAGTTATGCTAATATTTAACCCACTACATAGAGAAGCCATTGTTGGTTTAATAAGTCAGTTCAATTTGTACTAAGTTGGTTTATTTCTAGAACGCTTAGCCCAGCCAATGCCAATTTGTTATCAGCCGTTTGCCAGTTTCGTTCTTTTTTTTACGATTTACGATAAGATTGGGGCTGTCACAGTGAAATTCCGCTAAAGCCACCTTAGAGAGGTGCACATATCATATTCGACATTCAGCAGCTATGTTGCAAAGATTGCAAACACCTCACGTTATTGGTCAGAGCACATCTTATCGGATTTCCAATGCCCGGCCACTTAATTTAGCTGGAAAAGTAGAGTAATGGATGAGCCATAGACCCTAAATTGAACTCAATGTCGGTCTGACTAATGCAAACATTGACAATATATCGCTTGACGGATATAGTTGTTACAAATATATGCATATGCCGGCATAATTTAAAATATACTTCTTTACTTTTTGCACCTCAAGTGATTAAAATCAAAGATACGAGAAATTATTGTGACTATGTTTGTTTTTTTACGGACAAATTTATGGGAAAATATAAATAAAGCTGGGAAATAAAATGGCAAGTTAAATGGTAAACTTACTATGTGTTTACCTAACAAGAACTGACGTTAGTTAGCTACCCTTAAAGCCCGTTAATCATCATTTAAACGACGTCTTCATCTTTCTTTTCAATAAACCTTAATTGAAATAATTAAATTTTAAATATCTTTTGGAAATTCCAGCATCTTTGTGGGAGCTCCACGTGCCCAATCGACCTTGGAGTCCCAGAAAAACGTCAACGAGACAGGAGCCATCTACAGGTGTTCCCTGATCAATGGCTCCTGCAGTCCATATGTCCTGGACTCCCGAGGCGATGTCAAGGCGCCTCAAAATGAATACACCATAGACTCGGAGAGGAAGGACCACCAATGGCTGGGAATGTCAATGGACGGAGGACCTCGCGACACCGACAAACTGTTGGTTTGCGCTCCGCGTTTCTATGCCCCCACTGCCAATGATTACCATATGCACGGAATCTGCTATTGGGTCCAGAACACCGTTGCCAGCAATCCGGAGCACGTTACCCGCATCTCCCCACTCCGGCTCAAGCTGGAGCAGGTCACCGAGGATTCGGAAGGTGTGAAGCACTTTAATTACATTTACGCCGAAATGGGTCTAAGTGCCCACGTGTCTGATGACAACTCGAAATTCCTCATCGGCTGTCCTGGCATTCATACGTGGAAGGGATCGGTGGTGCTGTACCGGCAAGTGGATCCCATCGACAATCCCAGTGCCAGCAGGCGGGACACGAGCAGCAAGTCCCGTCGCCGGGTGCGAAACGCAGATACAAACGACTATGTACCCGACAACTATGCCCCGGAGATTCCAAGGCCGGCGAGCTGGGACCAAAAGGACGACTCCTACTTCGGGTATGCCGTGAGCTCAGGCTACTTTGATGGAAACCAGAGCAACCTGCTCTACGTGGCCACTGCTCCGCAAGCTAACAAGCAGTCCGGAGAGGCCTACATTTTCGATGTGCGCGGAAAGACGATCAAGAAGCACTACACCTTCCGGGGTGAACAGTTCGGCGAATACTTTGGATACTCCGTGGTGGCGGAGGATCTCAATGGGGATGGGAAAACTGATGTTATAATCTCGGCACCCCAGTATGCCTTGGAGGATTCCCACGACAACGGCGCCATTTACGTATTTCTGAACAAGGGCTTTGTGAGTAATAGTCCTAATCTCACTTCGAGGTGAGGTCTGTGCCTGGGAAATCGATGACTAATCCATAACATTTACAGTTCAATTTCGAGCGGAAGATATTGCGATCGCCAGTGAGCAGTAGCGCACGTTTCGGAACGACGCTCTCCCGACTGGGAGACATCAATCACGATGGATATAATGGTGGGTATTCCGCCTAATAATATTACTTGAATGACACTTAATTTAAAATGTTTCTAATTTTACAGACATCGCTGTGGGAGCTCCCTTCGCCGGAAATGGATCAGTGTTTATCTACCTGGGCAGTGAACATGGACTACGGGACCAGCACAGCCAGCGTCTGGATGCGATTGCGCAGACGCCCTCCAAGTACGGCTCCCATATGTTCGGTCACGGCCTCTCCCGCGGCTCTGACATCGATGGCAATGGATTCAATGACTTTGCCGTCGGAGCACCCAATGCCGAGGCCTTGTACCTGTACCGAGCCTATCCGGTGGTGAAGGTACATGCCACTGTCAGGTCGGAGGCACGCGAGATTAAGCCGGAGCAGGAAAAAGTCAAGATCACCGCCTGCTATCGCCTGAGCACCACATCGAAGGATCCCCAGGTGCAGCAACAGGAACTGGCGCTAAAGATTGCCATGGACACGCAGCTGAAACGGGTCAAGTTCGCCCAGACCCAGACCAATGAACTAAGCTTCAAGGCCAATGCCGGGCTGACCGATCAGTGCCAGGTCTTTGAGGTGCAGGTGAGGTACAGCGAGAAGGATATATTCACGCCAATCGACATGGAGCTGCACTACGAACTCACCAAGAAGATTCCAGACTCGGATGGTGAGTTATTGGTTTTGTTAACTCTTTGAAATTTTATTAAATATTTTAATTTTGAAAATAGAATTTTGTACAACCTGTGTGGCAGTCGATCCAGCGGAAGCCAAAGTCTTTACGGAGAAGATCATTTTCAGCACAGGATGCGCCACCGCAGTTTGCGTGGCTGATCTTCAGTTGAAGAGCAAGAATGTTAGGTAAGGATTGGATATCATACTGCCAAGCCAGATTAACTAACTCTCTCTTTAAATTACTCCTACAGCCCCACCTACATCCTGGGCAGTGCCGATATCCTTCGTCTCAACTACGAGATCACCAACAATGGAGAGACTGCCTACCTGCCCCAATTCAATGTCACTAGCTCAGCTCGTCTGCCCTTCGCCCAGGTGCCTGGCAACTGCAAGGTAACCGAAGCCCACATGGTCTGCGACCTGAACCGTGGACGACCTTTGGCAAAGGGCGATGGAGACTCCATCACCATTAGCTTCGATGTGAGTCAACTGGGTGGCTTGTCGCTGATCATCAACGCAGAGGTCTTCAGCACGGGCTACGAGAAGAATCCCATGGACAACAAACAGACCAATGTCATTAGCTTGAAGGAGTTCACGGAGATCGATGCCACGGGGTAAGAAATATAAATTAAATCTTAAATAATACCTTAACTAACTAATTATATCTTTAGTGGGCAAACCAATGGAAAGATTGATTTGGAACACTACTCCAACTCGGCGGAAATCGTCAACAACTACGAGGTCAAGAGCAATGGCCCAAGTATTATAGAGCAGCTGACTCTGTCCTTCTTCATACCAATTGCCTACAAGGTTCCCGGCTCCACAGCCGTGGTGCCCATCATCAATATAACCAGCTTGAGGCTGCAGGCCACTTACGATTCCCAGCTGCTGGGCATCGATCTCTACGACCACAACGACACCATCCTCCTCACGGACACCGTTGAGATTTCCACATCCGTCAGGAATGGCTTGGAGAAGACTGTGATTACCCAGAATGGCCAGGGCTACGATATCTCTACCAGCGGACATGTCCACCAGGTGATGCAGGATCTGGAACCGGATATGGTGGCCACCGCCTCCATGTCCCGCAAGCGACGGGATCTCAAGAAGCTGACCGCCAACCGGGAGCAGTATGCTCGCATCTCCAACACCAAGGCGCACGATCTGCTGAGCGATGAGTTCAAGGACACGCTGCCGGTAAACCGCACCATTGTCTTCAACTGCCGGGATCCGGAGATCTCCATCTGTGTCCGGGCCGAGATGAAGGTGCACTTCCGACCGGAGAAGTACGTCAACCTGAACATGCGCTACACCGTCGATCTGAACGAAGTGAACACCCTGCTGATGGATCCCTGGGAGTACTTTGTCATCCTGACCGACCTGCAGCTGAGCAAGAAGGGGGATCCCACCTCCAGTTCGTTCACGATCAACAGGAGGATAGCGCCGAATGTGATATCCAAACATCTGGAGGCTGGCGTGGCCATTTGGATTATCATTGTGTCCGTAATCGGAGGTCTGCTGCTACTGGCTGCCATGACCTATGGCATGTACAAGGTATTTGTTTTTAAAGATAAATTTAAAAAATATTTTATTAATCTTTGTTTAATTTTGCAGTTGGGTTTCTTCAACCGTGCCAAGAAGGACGAACTGAACCGCCTGGTACAGCAGAACCCCGATGAACCCGAGGCGGAGAACCTCAACAGCGGCAACTAAGTCCTGGTTATGGATCCGAAACCATCCACATCACATTCTAAATGCCAGTTGGAGCCGAGATACCAAATCCTATTGAACTATGTGTGTGTTCCCATGCATTTAAAAACAAAACAAAAAACTAAAACTAAACGATATCGAAGAGAACCGAGGAGCGAGAAGCGATTTCGAGGAAAATATCTACCTTATAGGAGTATGTGCAACTTGTGAACCACCCGAGACATTGAATGTTCTTGCTGGTTTGAATTTCTAGTGGCTTACGCTAAGTGCCTTGTATTTTGTAGTCTACAACCTAATTTATACGAAAGTCCCATGTGTGCTGCACCAGCCATAATGCCATTTGTTGTAAATATTTATTAAACATTTTAAAATAATTCTTAATTGTAATGACGTTGTTTAAATAGATTCCTCCTAGCTGTAATTTAATGTACATGGCGACGCAAAAGACTTTATAATGTGTAAATTGTAAAACCGAAGCATGTTTAGAACCTATTTTTGTACAATACTAGAGTATTTCATTAAGGATCAACTAAAAAAAAAATATGATAAATGAAAAATAAATGAAATTTGCTCATTTCCGTCAACTGATAAGGTTGTTTATTCATAAGTCAGTGTGTAGAGAATTTTAAAATGATATCATTAATAAATGAGTCGATGACAAGCCTTCCATAATCAATTCCACGAAAATGCATTTCACCTGGGTGTTACTAAACCTGGGGGGGACTTACTAGAAACACCTCAGGTGTGCCACTCAAAATACAAGAACTCTGTCGGTTTAAATACTTAAAGTGTTATTAAATTTATTTCAATAAAAATAACATACAATCCTTAAAATAAATAAGTACAATCATGAATTTGTTTCTTTATTAAAATGCATTGTTAATCGTAAACCTTGAAAATATGTTAAAAACTAATTATAGTATTAGCACACACTGGCCAAACATGAACAATTTATTAGCGATCTCTTCATATTTAACATTTACTCTATATTTACATATTTCTAGGTATATTTTATAACTAGGCCGCCCAAAATGGCAGCTGTACTTGTACACAGAAAACTCGATTTAACTTCTCTTCATATACATATAAACATTGATTTATATAGGGTCATATATATATATGTATATAAGCAAGTAAAATGGACTATCTAAGTAGACGATAATGCCGCACATATATATCTTTTGGAGGAGGAGAGTTGAGTTGATATCGTAGCGAAAATGGGATTCCTGGAATCCGCAGAGTTACATTAATGTTGCAAGTACTGTGGGCTGCGATAAGTTACTAATTGCGTTGAGGTAAGTGCGTACAATCGGTTTAGTTTTTTTTGTTGATAAAGTAGAGTGGCTGCTTCCAGATATGTCTGCGTGACAGTTGCATGCAACAATATGTTCAAGACTGACTACAACTAGGAGAGTTTTCTAAAATGAATATGTGCCTGGCCTTACCCCGTACGCCTCTCTTTGGTGGTTTCTTCGAAACTAGAAACTAAAACGAAATTCCTATATGCTCCTGCCGGCTAACAATAACAACAATGACGCTCTCTAAATAAATACTTGTATAAAAATACAGAGAATTTGTGAACTATGTATTGTCAAAATCATTAACACGCTCCTAACCTGCGACCTGCGACTCCCTCTATTCATTCTCTATTTATATATATAATCTGATAATCTATTATCTAATATAACCTAGTTATCCAGCAGTGTTATCACCCAGCTTTCCTAACTAATTCCCGCAGAGAAATGTGCTAACACATTGTCTCGTTAAAGGGCGGATCCTTTTCTGACTCGGTGCTGCTCTTGATGTTCGACGACAGCTTGGCGATCTCGTCCTGCACCAGATGCGTGCTGATTTGGGGAATGGCTAGTGCCGGGTTGCTGCTCTTGGCGGAGGTCGAGCCAGCCGACTCCTCGGTGCTGGAGCTGCTCTCCTTGAGCACGTTCATGCCGAGCTTGCTGGCAAAGGGTTTCAGCGTGGAAATCAGTTTGGCCCCAACCTGGGCAGCTTCCGGCGTTTGAGCAGCTGTGGGTGCCGTGTCCGAACTAGCGGCGGATACCTGCGCCGGCTTGCCCTGGTCCACGCTAAACTGTTTCTTCAGCAGCATCGGTCGCGATGGCACCGCCGGCGCCTGCGCCTGCGTCGTCACTGGCCCCGAGCTGAGATCCAGCGAGCTGGAGCTCTCGTCTCGCAGCCGCCGCCCATCGGCCGCGCCCACGGACGCTGTTCTAATGGGCTGGTAACGCGCAGTGGCAGTGCCGCCGCCGGCGGGCCCAACGCTGATGCTTATCCCCGTCGCCGAGTGCGAGTCCCCGGCGTCCAGCGAGGGCTCAGCTGTGAGGGATGGTGTGTCCACATTGTAACTTCCTGTCAGCGAGGTGTTCGTCTCATTGGAGCTCTGCTTGATGAAGCGATACGGATGCGCCGAGTAGTCCGTCTCCGTGCTGGAGTTCTTTTGCAGACTTTCGCTGGATTTCTTGAACAGGCGACCGGTTCCCTCGTAAGGTGGATTCAGAAAGTCGCTAGTGGCCCGAGTGGGCACCAATGGTGAGGGGTAAGTCTGCTGCTCCATCGAAGAGTTGCGCTGCCAGGGACGTTCGTTCTTCAGCTGGAATCCACTAGCAGCGACGACCATAGCCCCGCAGCTACCAGCTCCACTTGTGTCACTACTGTCGCCGCCACCGCCTTCTCCTCCGCCTCCGCCGCTCAAAAGGTCACCCTCAACGGAGGGCTTCGAAGGCGACAGTTCCACGGCTGTTTCACGCCGCAGCGGATACCGATGGCTGTAGTCGATGGAAACGCCAATCTGGAAGAGGAATGGAGATTTATTAGCGGGGAGGACTTGTTTAAATGCCAAAAATGATTAACCTCAAAGACCTGGGCACTGGCATCGATGGAGCCGCGTGCTTCAATCAGTCCCTCGAGAATCTTGTAGTCGTTCTCCTCGCACTCCTTCAGATGCTTCTTCTCCAGTGCTGCGGCCGCCTCGGCCCGTGACATTTCCGTCTTGGGGCGGTCCAGAGAAGCTGTCGAAGGCAATTAAGAGAAAGGCAAGCATGAAAAGGGTTGCACGAATGAAGGGATTCCAGCGGGAAATGAAGGATTTCCCTTCTTTTCTTTTGGAAGGCAGCGGAAGCAAGGCAATGATACGGGTAGTGCAGAGTCACCCGGTTAGTTATTGACACTCTGATGCGGATCACGGAGATGCTCGCAAGGCCTCGGGGTCGGGTCTGGTCGGATGAGAAAGCTCCTGTACTCCGGGGCGGCCTTACCTTTGTTGCTCTGCAGGGAGACGGTGGGCGATGCTATCATGTGGCAGACACTCTCCAGCTCGTCAGTGATCGAGGTGTACTCGCTGTGCAGTTTCAGCAAGATATTTCTGGAGGGTTTCGCATGCAATACTGATTTACCTAGAGTTCGTGGAGTTCGTGGTTAGGTTTGTCAGAGAGAAAAGATGTAGACTTGGACTCGGTTAATGGTCAAATGTTTAATGGCTAATTTCTGGTGGCCAAATCGTTTTGCTGGATTGGTTTGTTTGGGAACAGGGACGGGAGCAACTACTATTAGATGGGAATGGCGTGACGGGATTAGTAGCTTGAATTTAGAGCGCAAATCTAAAGGCCAAGTGGGAATGGGTGGATCATGGACGGCCCACTGGTTGCTGGATCTATACATACCCGGGTGTGGGGCAGCCGGGGCGTCCTTGTCGCTGTCCGGCTCCGATTGTGTGAGGCTCATCTGACGGCGCGACAGCGAGGCCAACTGGTTGAGGCTGATGTGCGACCTGTTGATGTCCGCCCCCGTCAGGGAGTACGTCTCCGAATTCCGGCGGCACAGGGATACAGTGCGCTGTCGCATCGCCCGGTGCCTGGCAGCTGTATGCGATTGAAAGAGTGATTTACTAAACAGATTCGCCACAGCAACGACTAACACAAATATAAATTACGGAATACCGAATACGGATAACGGATTACGGTTACGTTCTACGGTAGTAATAGAAACGGAAGGCAACACAACAGAAGAAGCGAGTGGTTGGTTATGTGGGGGCTAGGAAATTACCCTCAAAGCTGATGTCGGGAGCCGCATCGTCGGAGTTGTCGTTGTTGCCCAGCGGCGTCAGGGTGTCCTTGCTCTCCGTGCTGGCACCAGTGTCCTGGCGCACAGTGACATACGGTGTTCGCTTCACAGTCTCGCAGGTCGAGGGACGTTGCGAAAGTGGCAGATAGAGGTCCGAGTCCGCCTCCGATACCATTGACGCCTTGCGCACCATCTGTTCGTTGAGTGCCTCCCGGGACTTGACCACCTCGTCCGGTTCCTCGGGCAGGGGCACCACCTCGAAGTGGGTGCCCTCGTCGAGGATGTAGGCATCTGGCCGGACTTCGGTCAGCGAGCGATTGAAACGCCTCCGTGTGGTCACCTGCAGGACGAACATTTTCCAATAAATAAAGGTGCACTCGGAAAAGTTGGAGACACAAAGATTGGGTTATCTTACAGGATTGTCACAGCTCAAAAAAGGGAATTTGCAGTAAATGTTTTTCAAGCTATACGATTCCTTTAATAGGAAAATAGGTACTTGTTAAACATAGATAGTTAAAGTAGTTGAATTATTTAAATATTTACAAAATATTAAAAGATTTTAAAGCAATTATATTGGCAAGCGTAAAGGTTGATATTAAGATGATATAAAAAACTCGAAGTATATGAGGAATTGTCTAATTCTTTCAGTTTTATTATTTGGATTTATTTCCTTGCCCAACTAGATGGCCAGGCAAATAAACCAGCTACAAATTAAACAAAACTATAATTCAATAAATGCAATTTTTTGGTTCAGTGAGCTTCTATATGAAAATTGTTTTCTCTACTTCGCAAATATGTAACTCAAACGCACCTGCAGCGAATTTAAATTCAGTCCAGCGCCCAGTGTCAAAGCTCCACCCCCACCGCCTCCATTGCCACCATTGCCGCCAGGACCTCCTCCGCCTCCGGCTCCACCAATGCCTCCACCGCCTTCGGTGTCCGACATTGAAATGGTGCGCATGCGGTGCAACTCCCCCGGAATGTTTATCGTCGAGCCGCGCAAATCATCCGTGCCGGCAGTGTGTGTGGACATGAAACGATGTATGACCGCCAGGTGGGATAGTATCTGCTCCGAGGACTCCTCCATCTTTCGCAGACGGAACTCAATGTTCTGTGAAGTTTTCAGGAAGAAAATGTGTTCATTATTTTAATGGAATATTATTGATTGAAAGACTTAGATATTGCCATAGAAAACCCCCAATTAATATGATATTCAAGATTCTATTGCAATTTAATGTCATTCGAACAACTAAGCTTAAACAATAGTTGGCAAATAATGGACAAGTTCAAAAGTAGATGCCACATTACACCATCAGTATCACATGGCATTTCAACAATTACTCTGTTTGTTTCCCAGCTTAGGGAAAACAATGCCAGTGGAACAAATGGTCGTGAAAGGAATCGTGCAATGGCAGGACTGCACACACTGGTCATCCGGACGTGTCCAATTTTCAATTCGAATGGGAAGACGTGCTGTCAGTACCCATGTCAGCTTGGTAAACACGAATCACACACGAAATTTACATAAGAATCCGGACACCAGATTGGGATGTTAAAGTGTATGGGGGGTGGACTGTCGCAGTAAAGGACTAAAGTGCCAGATGATGGCTACCCACCTGAACGGTGGCGGTCTGAATGTTCTCCTTTTGATTGATGTCCTCGATTTTCTGGGCCATCGTCTCCACACGCTCGGTGGTGTTCTTCACCCGCTCATCGGTCGACTGGTTGAGGATGATTTCCTGTTCGTGGAAGAAGCCCTCGACGCACTCCTCCTCGAAGTCGTACAGCCGCTCCAGGTCGTCCTTTTCCAGGAAGAGCTTGAGACCATTGTCCCGCTGCACCTCCAATCCTGCGAAATGTCGATCAAGATGACACAAGTGGCAGGAGATTATGGGAAGTAAGAGGGTGGTTAGTCAACAATAACAGCATCTCCATGCCATGGGGGAATTGTATATCACAATGGAATCATAATTCGCACGAAATTATTGGACATAACCCAATTAGGAGGTGTGGTTATTGTTGTTTTGCAAAGGTGGCACAGAATTGATATCAATACAATAGAGAGAAGGCATAGGTGGCGTATACGTAATGCGTAATGCAGTTAGTAACACAGACACACACATAGAGTCGAAGTTCAAGTTGCAAGTTGTTGTTGGGGCAGGCACGCAGGGAGAAAATGAGATATTTGTACATTATTTTTGCTCAGCTGGCCAGAAAGCATTCGGATACGATTGACTCACAGGGAACAAAGCTAAACTTGCTCATCCCGGGCTCACCTTTCGCCTTTCGCACACAGTACTTGAGCAGGGAGTAGAAGTGGCACAGGAAGATGAACGGCGGCGGCAGGACGGGCTTCTGCTGGTACTCCATCACGACGGTGAATCGCTGGAACATCCACACCTGCCAGGAGCACAAAAAAAAAACGGAGCCAAGTCAGCCATGTCAGCGTTTTAAAAATGATTGTGAAAGAGATTCTAATAGATGTCCTTTTGTGTCAATTATCTCCATTGAGATCCCCCGCACTGATCTCACTCACCTGGTGTGACACCGAGTTGACCTCGTTGAAGATATTATTGAACACGGCGATGAGGAGATTTATAAGCAAAATATTGGCAATCAACAGATACATGGACATCGTTATCGGCGTCACCCAATGTCCTGTAATCCAATTAGTGAAGGTGTGTAAAAAATACAATTTTTTTTTTGCCGCCCGGACCGGCTTAATACTCACCCGTAACGCAGCTCGGCTGGCTGGGATTCTCGCCGCAGGGAGGGTCTATGTCGCCGGCGAACACCTCTCCGTACAACATAAAGTATGGTTGGAAGGTGACCTGGACAACGATAAATTAAAATCACCAATAAACCGGCATCTGATGGACTGGCAATGGGTGGCCAATGGCAATGTCGAATGGGGTGTGGGATGTGGGGTGTTGGGTGGGGGATGTGGAATGTGAATGTGGGGGGCAGGACATCGCCATCGCCATTGCCACCGAAACAAGAAATGGCCGTCCGGGCGTAATTCAATTTTCGCCCGTCGTCCAACATTAATGCAATTTTTACATACACATCGAAACAGTGTGTGTTTGTGTTTTTGGTTCCCAGCAGTTCGGCTGGTGGCAATAGTTCTTTTTGGGTATGGATTTGGGTACTCTTTTGTGGGTACCCATATCGCTTACTATTGGTATAGCGGCTTGGGTACTCTCTGCTTCATGTCTTTTTTGTATAACGCTGCGAGTATATACTTTGGTACTCCTTTTGGGTACGACGGTCGGACCACCACAAAGCGCAAACGAAAATCTTCTCTTTTTTGATTTTTGCTTCAGTATAACTTGAGCATATTTGGTGACACGACGTGAAAGTGTGGTAAATAATAAATAAATAATAAAAACACTAAATAAATATTAATAATACCCTCTGCAAGGGTATAAAACAGTGACAGTGAAACAGTGATAAAAAAAGGATAAACAAGGTAATAATTATAATTATGGTTTGCAAAAGAGAAAAGAATTTATTTTCAGGCGTCAATTATAAGGCATTTGTTGCAGCCCTGGTGAAGTTGCCAGAAATTTAAAAAATATGCTAAGCGATTCCTTAATGATGGAGTATAAAGTCATTAAAAACAGCGCGAAATGTATATTTAGCACTACTTGGTAAGAATTTAAAAAAAATATTGGTTTAAATTTTAATAATGATTTTTTTTTATAATATTAGATGTAATTTCTGCGGATGGCGGCAATGGAAATATGCCTCAAACAACAACAACAACACATAATTTTCGCACACGTAACACATAAGTATTTTTAAGCCAAATAAAATGGTGTAGTTCTGTGAATTTCTGATAAGTAAAATAATTTTATAAATTTTTAAAAATGAATTAAATGTATTTCTATAATATTTAATAATTTTATACATAATAAAAAACAAAAATTTATAAGAAAAAAAAATCTTTTTCTGGGTATGTAAATCGCTGTCCCTTGGTAGATACCCAAGTGGCTATACTGTATAGAGTACCCAATTCCGTACCTAAATCGATGTCCCTTAGTAGTATGTATTTGGGTACTCCTTTTGGGTACCCCAATTCGATACTCATTGGTATACGAAGAGGTGACGATTGTACACCGCCTATGACATGCCTTAGTTAAATTCGCCTCTGAAATACATGTCTTAGGTATTGACTGGTGGGTACTCGTCTACCCCAGGGGCATAGTGAATTCGACACCCATGCACTAGTGCGGCGAACTGCTGGGTTATTTTTAGCCACCACTTGTCAGTGGCAGTGTGGGTGTGGAGGTGTAGGTGTGTGGGGTTGGATGCAATATAGTTTCAATTCTAATTTTCCAGGACATTTCTTTTGAAATTGGAACCAGCATGCTATGTATAGACACAGAGTACACGATTCTCTTGTGAACTGGGGGTCCCCATCTTATTAACATATCACAGCTGGATCTGGAGCAAGATTAATTGGGGGAGCCTTGATTAAAATTCAAGCATTCCACCTGACTAATCGCAATTGCCTTAAAACTAGTCATTCATTAGGAAAACATCAATGATTTCGATTTAGTCAGCCAGTCAGCCTGGGGATAAGTATTTGCATATCGAGAATGCACTAGGACATGGCCATGCGAGGATATTCATAAATAAATTGTGCAGAGAAAAGTAAAATATTCAAAAGCGAAAACAGAGTACACACATTTACCTAAAAGAGGCTAAAATAGTTTGGCTAAATACTCAGTATTGTACAACATGCAGTGGAAATATAATGCTTGGGGTCAAAGTTCGGCTAAAGCCGAAGTTGGCCTTACCCTTGCAAATGTCCATAAACTTTAATTAAAACTTTGCAAGAGTTTTCAAATAATAATTTTGGAGCAGAAATAAGCGAAAGAGACAACTGGAGGGCAAGAGAGAGAGAAGGGTATAGAAAGACAGAAAAATCGATAAAAGTTTTGGGGGGAATTATAGTCTTATAGAACTTTAAAAAGGGAAAGGGTGGTAGAGTCCACAACCAAAAAATACAATACTTGACACACTGATCTCCATCAAGACACAACAACAACTATAGACCACACGAATATGCAGCATATATATTATAATTTCTTTTTTTTTTTTCGTATATAATATTTGGGAAGACGCAGCTAGAGCATTCTACAGTCGGCTCTCTAAATAAGCAAACCAATTTCAGACACATCTGGCTTTACATTTGTCAAGTTGCCGCTGGCCAAATTCGAGGGCTCATTGTATGTTGCAGTTGTTGCAGCAGCAGCATCGGAATCAGAGTCAGCAGATGTTGCATTGGGTGCTGTGGGTGTTGCAGGTGTTGGCATTGGTGGCGATGGCATTGCGGTGCTTGTAGAGGTGCTGCCACTGGCGGCTGCATGGCCCCGGTGGTAGCCGGCGGCAAAGGAGCTCGAGCTGGAACTGAAATGCGGTCCAAAGGCAGCTCCTCGGGCATTATGCGACCGGGTATTGTGACCCAAAGCACCTAAAAATCCTGGGGCCACTATCGAGCCGGCAATAACCTGGCATACAGGCGGTTATTTGGCGCAAAAACGAAACAATCAAAAAGCGAATCGAATGCATAGTTGATGGCAAAGTGGCAGGTGAAAGTGGCAGAGTGACAGTGAAAGTGAAAGTGAGAGTGAGAATGTTTGTTTGGGGAACAGAAAATGACAGAAAGAAAGAAAGAAGAGTATACAAAATGCGAGACAGTCAATTTTTGTGACTTTTCACTTAGTTCTAAGTATGTATTATTAGTATATGGAATCTTTTGAAAAATTGAACTACTTAATTTAAAATGTGGATGGTATCGAGAGCACCAATCGACCAAACTACGTAAAAAATGTTCGCTTGCACCACTACTGAGGAACCAGGCAGGCCAAAAACTTGCTTTGCTTGCTATTTTAAGTAAATGTATGTACTCCGCTTCGTTAATGATATATTTTTTATGTTATTTTGAATTTTATTGTAAAAGCTGCAAAGAAATCACGAAACCCACACTTTTAGATGGTGGCGTGTGCTTTTAGATGAGTCAGACATTCGCACATACACTCAGACCAAAGGGTTAGTTTATTTACAGGATCTTGGCAGGACCATCGACTCGCTGAGAGCTAACTCACCTCTTTGATGAGACCCCAAGTGGGCTGCTTGTCGGGAAAGAGGATGGCCTGTCGACTAACGCCAAAGCTCATCAGGACGACGGCCAAGAGGACCACGAAATATATCATGTTCTTGACCATTTTACCCATCATGGTGACCAGGGGACCTTTCAAGATTATAGATTTTAAAATGTATACTTTTAAGTGACATTTCTCCTTGACATTTTTTTCCCTTAAAACTCACCCAGATACTTATTGACACCCAGGATATTAAGGATGCGCAGGTACCAGTAGATGCTGTCCACACAGTAAATGACTCGTCCAATATCCATCGTATTGAAACGAAAGCGAAATGTCAATCCGATGAGAAAGAGTATTATGGCAGCGCCGTCGCACGGATTCCACATATTCCACGCCCACACCGAGAATTTATGCCTGCCGGGTTCGTATTAAGGGAAACCCATCGACGTCGCAGGATGGAGCATTAATTCAAGCGTGATAGGCGCATATTGGAGAATGGAAAGAAAAAAGTAATCGAAATGCGCACAACTGTGAAATCTGGCAGCCTTTAGCTTCATTTGCACTCATCGCCAGATGCAATTAAACACCATTCAATGAGATACATAGTCGTTCACTTACGTAATGGCCACAGGTTCCGAGGATATTATTTCCCGCACCTTCTCAAAACCCAGGGTGGTGATGTATGCTATGGAGTACCACTCCTGCCACCTCGGCATCGGTTCCATCTTCACCAGCACCGTGAAGGAGAACATTATCAGAAAGAACATGTAGGCAATCTACAAAAAAAAGGAGGCGGTAACATATTGCCATAAACAAGGAAAATATACCGCAAAAATAATTAAAAAAGGTTACAAGATGGTACACTTAGAAAAACTTAACTATTTTTCATCAAGCACTAAGAACTAAAACTATTTAAAAATCCTCGAACAATTTTCCGAAAGTGTACTAAAATCGGAAATTAAACACACTACCCCCTAGCTACCCTAGGATAGTAATTTCCGCCACTTACCGAATCGGCCCAGAACTTGGTAATGGGTGCCGTGTAGAACTCGTAGAACTTCTTCTTCAGGCGGAGTGGCTGGTGCTGCTTAACCTCGTTGTACTCGGAGAGATTAAAGAACTCCCTGAACTGGGCAGGATCCGAGTCCGTGAGCGAGACCTACGAGGATAAAGGACGATGGGTTTTAGTTTTCCGCTATGGCTGAGCGTTCTCGGCGGATGCGAAGTAGCTTTCAATAAATTCATATACATATACGGAGGGTATATATATTTTGGCTTAATTAAATCATCAATGTGCAATGAACATTCAAAGGGGGAGGGCCTCGTGAGGATATTGTACATTGGGGAATTGCGTATACGCCTCGTTGAATCGGCGTGTCAAATGTGATTTGGTTTGCTTTTTCTAATTAATTTGCGCTGGTGTTTAAGGATCCATTGCTATTTTGCTATTTATATGCGTGTTTAGTTTTAGCAGACAAAACATGCAGAACAAGTTAATTAATTGAAGCTGAGTACAAAACAAAATGGCAATTCGCCACCAGGAGGGGTCTTTAATACTGATGGTGCTGACAAAAAAAATTAGCATAAAGAGCTACCATAGAGCTACTGATTAAAATGGAGTTCGGTCTTAATAAAAGGTGATATATTGAATTTGCATATTTTGCTAAGAATACGAAGCTACGAAATGCGCATTCCAAGAGGAATAAAATCAGATAAACTATTATACCAAAAAGCAAGTTACAGAAATGCCATTGAATTCAATAAAAAATAGGATAAATCTGTATTATAAGGAAAATAAAGGTATTCTTGAGGGAGAGAAAAAAAAACTGAAATACGGGTTCAACTAACTTTGGAGGGCTGTTCTTCCGCTCCAGCAGTGAGATTAACCTGCAAAATTGATACGTTACAAGTACTGGGGCATTAGAATTTGCATGTGTGGCGGGATATGTTTCTATTTATTTCTATTTATATATATGTCTGGTGTGTGTTGTACTGGATGTGCTTGATGTTTGATACCGCGTAGGTATTGTTTTCTAGGGGTTTTCACCTACGGGACGAGCTACAATTGCGTAAACAGAAGAAAAAAGAAAATTCTTTCCAAGGGGAGAAAACGGCATTTCGTTCTTATTTCTTTTATGGTTGAGGAAAATTGCAGTCATATCGCATTCTGAGCCGAAGGATTCAATGCCAAAAAAAAAGATATATATATAAATATACGAGTAGAGGTGTATGAAAGGCGGTATGTGTCGGTATTGTTTGGTGTGTCCTTTTTTTTTTTGTTGGAGTTACTCACTTTGCCATTTTCGTGTACTTTTGTATCGCGCACTGAGTAAGTATCCGCCAATAGAGCCTGGAACAATTTACGCACATTTTTCGCATTTATCAGATAGGGAATTCACTCTTTAGTTATACTTTCTAAACTATTTTTGCAGTGATCTTTGCACAGAAATACTTGAGAGTTGAGAGAGAGATGAAGGGGTGTAAGAGTAAGATACGTGGGTGTTCTATTTTATGTGTGTGTTGCGGGAAATGTTTTTGTAGTTACAGAATATTGAATACATATTTTCCAATAAATTTTCGACACAAACATAGAGGCATTCCGAAAGGTATTTACAGCGTTGTGTGTGTGTGTTTGTATTTGCCAAATTTAAACAAACTACCAAAACCTAATAGATTTTAATTTGATTCTGCGATTAAAGGATTTTCGCCAGAGCCCGAGACAGAACCAGACCCAGTCCAAGTCCCGGTACCACCCTCAGTCCTCTCCACAGGAGGTAATGTATTCATGTGTGTAGTAGATATACAGTGAGTTTGTGCAGTTGCCGTGTAACTGAAGAACAATATTTGCAAAAGTGCAAAGCTTCTGCCACTGACTGCCGGAGTGCCGTTCCACATAGCATGGTACTAGTGTCGACACAGTGTAGTGGTATATGATGTTTGGTTTTCCCAACCAAGCGGTTGGTTGGATGAATGGGATGTGGTGGTTCCGAGATTATAACTTAATTGAACTTTAAACCAAGCTCGAAGTAATAGACGGCTGGTATGGCTGGTAATGATTTTCATTACACTGCTAATGGAAATTCGCACTCAATTGGATATAAGCGAGGGGTGGATGGAGGGAAGGACTTTAAAATTTAATGGGAGGCATTAGAAGCAAAAGCTACTCAAATCTAACGAGGGTCACTTACATCTGTTGAATTGGCGACACTCTTGAACGAGGGCGAACTGTTTTCGGCTGGCATAAGCTTACACTTGAAAAAAGTATGTTTAAAGTTAGTGGAGGAACGTTTCCCGGACTATGAGACTATGGGATGAGCGCCATTAAATGAATTTTAAATGTAAGCTACACCATCCCCGAAGCTTGGGGCGAAACTATTTAACAAAATGAAGAAAATGGAGCAGCCACGTGGCGACTGTCGAATGGCTTTTCTAAAAATAATACAAATCACCCGGAAGAAAATCAATAAGAACCTTTTGAAGTAAATGATTCAGTTGGAAAGGCTTTAGTTTTTTTTTTAAATTAATGATAAACATACATTATGGTTGATGAATACATATTTTCGCCCATTTCAGTAGTATACTCTTCTGTCAAATTTTAATAAATGTTTCACACAAAATAACGAGACAGTTAAAGCACAAATAATTACCAAACATATAATCAAATAGAGAAATTCAGATCGATTTCATTAGCATACAGTACAGTATATCTCAGAAGAAAGAGACAGACAGAAAGACAGCGAAAGAGACAGCAAATAGAACATATAGTACGTGTGTGTGTAGATAGTTATATAGACGACTTGAACAGCAACAAGTAGTTGACTTAGATCGGATTGGTGGCTACTACCTTGTCGCGATTATTAGCACCCGCGCCCATCCTATATCTCAAGGAAATGGACCTTTTGGCTTTTAATAGGGCGCTCTATAAACAGATAGATTCGGATTTGGATAGCTTTCGGTTAGGATTATGATGAACAGCAGAGCGGTTAATGTTAAAAGTTAAATGGTTAGATTAGTTGAACAAATTGAAAAATAACTGAAAGCCGACACACAAATATGTAGGACTGGCACAGTACAGACAACGAAACCAAATAAAATCCATTGTTAGTAAGAAAGAAACAAAAGAACATCGACTTGAGATGGTCGAGATGGTAAAGATACCTCAGCATCCGGCTGGGAGCGGTCCGAGTCGTCGTTGTCCAGATTCTGGTTCTCCAGATGCTCCTCCTCGGTCTGCGGCATTTGCTGGAGCTCTTCCTTGGACTTAAAGTCCAGCTGCCTGATGTACAGTGGCATGACCAGACCCAGGATGACCTGTCACCGCAAAATAAGTGTTCTCCCAGGTCAGATTGGTTTGTGGCTTGTACTCACCTTGAAATTGGTGTTCTTGCGAGTGCGGAGACCACCCATCCAGAGATCCGCCAGGATAACCTGACTGCAGGGATGTGCCAGGAGGGCCCTGTGGTTGGCAGCCACGGCCAAGGACAGGCAGCTCTGGTTCGACCACGAATGCAGTTCGCAGGTGAGCAGGCGTTGAGCCTTCTCCGCATCCTGTCGGTAGCTGAAGTCCAGCAATTTGTTGCCTGAAAAATGTAAGAAAGGATTTGCCAGGCTTAAAATCTTATCCTACGAACTGCCAGCCAAGAGTCTTACCTTTACTCTCAAACTCCTTGGCATAGGAGCGCAGCTCCTCGTAAATCTCAGTGTCCAGATCGTCCTCGGCAGCCTCGTGAGCCATGGCCTTGTAAAGTTTACAGGCCACCAGTGACTTGGCCAGAGCCTCCTCGCCGTGTGTCCACATCAGCAGGGCCATCTGTTGCCGCTTGGTCAGCACGGCCCAGATCTAAGCAAGCAGCAGCGGGGACAACAGGGCGGATGGTTGATTTGAAAGTCTTGCAAAATATACGCACTTACCAGTAGCTCGTTGAAGGGAAACTCGAAGAGGGCCATCTCCGAGGTGAAGGGCAACAGGCCAGTGACCAGGCTGAGGGAATTGGCTCCGGCGTAGCGCTGGTACTGGTACGTCGAGGACTTGCGACAGGCATTTGCATAGCTGTTCATAACCTTGGCGTAGATGGGCCGGAATTTGCGGCGCGTGTAATAGGATCTGTGGGGTGGAAGAGGGTTGAGTTTCTCTATTTTTTTCTGAGTTTTTGGGCCTAATGCCATCCGACGATTTGCTTCAGTAATTTTGCATTGTATCAGCTTTCGAGTGGAGCTCAGTATTTTTTCCCTTTTTGATGGACATCCGCTGCTGCTGCAGCGGGACTTGAATAACAATGAAACGCCTCCATTTCAATTCAATTTTTTGTGCCGGGCTTGTCGACCATTGTTTGCGGACAGCTTAAGAGATTTTCATCGCCTAAATGTAAATGTAATTTTGTTTGTTTTTCTTTGAAAGGAAAAACTGTCGCCAACTGTCCTTTTTGAGTGACTGTAGTTTCATTTACTTTCCCAGCCCCCCGAGGCACCGGACCAGCCCTCTGAATTTATTGGCCTGGCAAATTTTTTTTGTTTTCGGGAACCTACACCTGCCGGCAGTTTACGGGCGTACAATTAAATTCAGGACATCAACAAAAGCGTCCATAAATTATTTATGACAAATAAAAGGCCAAATCAATTGACCTGAAGGCAACAAACCAGCAACAGGCCCAGGCAACTGGCAGCCGGAAAACTCATTCGCATTTTATGTTAATCAAATCACAAAACTTTAACGCTTTTAATTACGCCCAAGTTGGCAACACTTTGGGCAACCTGTTCCAGCTTCTGCTCCTGACATTCCCGACACAACACATTCAAGTGTCTACAGTCTAGAGTCTAGACATTGAAAAATATAACGCAGGAGGAGTAGTAGACGAGCTACCAAGCCAAAAATCAGGCCAGTAGGTAAGCCAGCCGACCGAGAAAAGGCCAAAGAACGACGAGTCCGGATCCGAAAACCCTAATTTAATATAAACACATCAGTTCTGACGCCGGCTCATTGCTTAGATAGCCTTTTGCCATTTAGATGGGCATTTGTCAGATAACTTTCAGCCGGGCCAGGTCCTTTGATTAAAGCCCAAAAAGTCAAATATCAAAGAAGCTGGTGGGAGGTTCGGCTTGGAGGACTGTTTTTTTGCCCATCATGTTCATTTGAACAAAGTTAGGAGATGATTTGCCAGTTTAGTGAGTTAGTTTGAGGCAGTAAGGGTTAATCCTACGAAAAAATCACCATTTAAGGAACTGCCACTAAACCGGTTTACACAACTTTATATAGTGTAGGGTTTTTCTCGTCCGATTTAATTAAATTGCACCCCGAGAAGCTAAAGTAAAGTGCAAAGATTGAAATGTTTAGTCAAGGCAACAAACACTTTTTGCATGACTTTTAATTAAATTGAGTAATTCCAGCCAGCGGTCAGTGGCTTGACCAACAACGGGTTTTTATTGAAACCACAAACCGTTTCTCGGGTCGTCAGTATCCCCAGACCCAGATCCAGAGCCCATAGTGGCCCCAACAGCCCCAGCCAGCCGCAACTTATGAGCGATATTAAACAGCATTGTGGTCGCCGGAGCGGCGGTAACTAAATTTAAGCAGCCACCGGGGTTTTTTTCGCCTTGCTGGCAAAATATTAATGCTGCATAATTAAGGAGGTCCTTTGCAGGCATCCGGCTCCTTTCGACTTTTGCCCTCCTTCACGTACATCAGCATGACAAAGCGAAGCAACCCTGCCTGGCAACCAGAAAACCAGCAACCATCAACCAACCAGCTCTTGTTAACTTGATGTGCAAACTTATTACATTTTCATGGACAAATTTTCAAAACATCAAATTTAATCCGCCACACTTTAAGGGCTTTGGAGTCAGTTCCTGGAATGGCGGGAAAAGGCTTCTCTCTCAGCCCTTTCCCTTTCTCGAAAATAAAGCGTAAAACTTTTGGGTTCCGCAATTTCGAGGTGTCTTTCGCGGCACATTCGTTGCATTTTTCTCATCATTAATTTTGGTCATTTCTCTTTTTTAATTTACTTGAAATTACATTATCAGAAAAGTAAGTGACTCTTTCCCTTAACCTTTTTTGAAAAGGACTTTATAATAAAGTAGGAATGGCTGTTTGTCGGAGGCTATCCTTCTGAGACTATTCTTCAAATTTAGAAATACACTTACCGATATGCTCCACCCATTAGTTTATTGATCACCAGTCCAATGTCGTGGAGCGTGTAAATGTAGCCCTTGGGTATATGCGGTCGGACATCGCGCAGGATGTAACTAAAGGATGGCACAAGGACAATGTTGTTATTTGCATAGGCCGAAAGGAAAACATTTCAGGGCAATGGCAATGTACATATATACAGCATATACATGAGGTACTTTAATGAAAAGTCCGGCGAAAAACTCACCCCAGTGTATTGGCTGGACCGTGTTTTGTATTGTAGAGCTCCTCGAGGCGCGGTATTGTTAAAAATTTCTTCATCGAAACGCCGTTCTCCAAGAGTAATTTGACAAAATCGATTCTATCGTGTTCCAGGGCCTGCATCATGGCCTCGTCCAACGCGCCTGAGGGTGATATATATTTTTTGAAATTTGAATAAATGCAAAAAAGGGGAAGGGAGATGGAAATGGAGAGGCGACGGCCTCCAACCCACCGTTGGGCCATTCCTGTCCATAGACGAATATCTCGCTGCGCGCTATGTCCACCCGGTTCCATGTCAGGGCCAGGCTCAATTGCTCCGGAGGACTCAAATGCTGCGACTTGAAGAGGGCCGTTAAGATGGTTTGATCCAGCTCCTGTGCCTCGCCCTCGGGCTTTTCCTGTATGCGAAAGACGGTAATCTGGCGGAGAAATTGAAAAATAAAAAAAATGTACATAAAACCCAAAGTATCTTTTAATGTAGCCCCCCATTGCCCATAATTTGTTTGCCTAGCCCTAGTCCTGGCCTAAAATTCTAACAAAAAATTAGAAAGAACGAACGAATAAAACGAGCCTCTGGCAAGGACATGCTAGATCCCACAGTGGCTTCGTTCTCATTCAAAAACCAATTAAAATCTTAATAACATCTGCGGCGGAATTGACGAAATGCCAGCCACTTTTGGCCTACTCTCCGAAAAGTCACAGGAAACTGGGTTTTCAAAATCGGCATGAGGCATGCGGCAAGTGGCAAGCGGCAAGCGGTGATTTAAAATTCATTACACGTTCAATTGAATTTTGTAGCCTAATTATTTCAACGGGTCTACGAGCATTAATTAAAAATTTAAATCGCGGGTGCCAGCGTAAAAGTCTCAAGTGATTGAAAACTTCGTACACAGCCTCACACTCTCCCTCATTTAAATCTCCAATCTTCCCAGGTAACTTAATTGAGCAAAGCTCTCCTCGGCTCCAGGTTATGGGATTTTAATTGATGGCTCATACCTATAAATAATTCACCTGGGGCCGACACCAGCTTTTAAAACTATGTTTGGGGGTAACCGCTTTAAAACAATTTTATGCCAAAGGCTTCTTCGGGAAATATTCGTGGAAAAGGCACCTCCTTTAAAGGCACGCTTCTCTTATTTGAGAGAATTTTTTATCAATTTCCTGTTCCTAGAATTCTTTGTTTTACATTTGTAAAAAGGGAGAGCAAGATTCTATATAATATTGAGCTTTATTTGATTATTTCAATGCCCTTTTTAATTAAAATCAAACCCCTTTCCTTGCTCACTATTTTCATTTTCCATTTGAATAATTCAATTACAGTCTCTCGACTAAAACTTACCAGATTTTTGTTGCGGGTACACTGAAGCAGTTCCTGGTACAGCTTCTCGGATTGGTCCTGGCCCACTTCAAAGGTCTTCTGTATGGTACCCATGAGATAATCCCTCATGGACTCGAGCACCGGCTGCTCCTCCCCATCCGAGGCATATCTGCATAAAAAAATATTGTTAGAGACTGGCGGAGTGAATTGTCACAACTCGAGAGGGCGCCCAATTATTCTGACTAATTAAACAACAAAATTAAATGTGGCACACAAAAAGGTCCACCCGCCCCGGCGTAAGGTAAACACAACCCGACGCAGGACGTGGAGGAGGACTCCCCATTCCAGTTCCATTACCATTTGCCTTTTGTTTGTGTGTGCGGTGGTTGCGTTGCGTAAATTTAAATAATTTGCCAAATGTCGCATGCCTCACAACAACTGAACAGCAACAACAGACATAGTCGTGCCGGGTCAGAGGGCATGCCAACATATTCTTAATTAAATTTACACAAACTGTGGTTTCTCATTAAGTTGCCCCGGCATATGCTTTAATTTCGGGCATCTTAAAGCGAATATCTCTGAAACTATACTCACTTGTGGACGAAGGCAAGCAGGTCGGCGGCACGACCGGATCCATCGCACACGACCACCGGAACCGGCGGGGAATCCGTCACGTACTCGAGCACCGCACGTATCGTGTTGGTGCCGCCCTCGATCACCAGACAGACGACGGGCGTACTGGAATGTGTGACTGCAGCGGAAGGAGCACAGAAATTTTGGGATTAGATTCAGTCAACCCTCAGGGGCATGCAACACGAGCTAGGCAAATTCACACGAATGGTGCAGCTGCAACAGGTGGCCAGCCATCAACAGGTACACTCAAGCTTAGAATAGTTTTCCCACCTCAAACTTTATAAAACTTTTGAAGCATTTTTTAAAAATAGTACCTCAACTTTTTTACACAAGTAGTAATAGTTTTGAATTACGATTAAATAATAACTAAGGCTCTTAAAAAACCAACAAGAAATAATAACTTTTAAAGCAGCTCAAACCTAACATTGCATTTGCCGCTTAGTATATTTTAAAGGACATCCCAGAAAAATCAACTAAAAATCTAAAAAATATTTTGCATCCAGATTTTAATGCAGGTCAAAGGAAAATTGATCTAGAAATTTATTAAGGTATCCCTTTTAAGAAACGGATGATTTTTGGCCAAGATATAGCCATCCCAGGGGACCATATTGCCATCCCAGGCAAGTTTTAAATTTTTGAAGAGGACCCATCAGGAACTTTGACAAAAAATCTAAAAAATATTTTGTTTCCAGGTTTTAATAAAGTTTTAAAGAAAATTGATTTAGAAATCGATTAAGGTATCCCTTTTAAGAATCGGATGATTTTTGGCCAAGATATAGCCATCGCAGGGGACCATATTGCCATCCCAGACCACTTTCAAATTTTTGAAAGGAGTTCCCATCAGGAATTTTGACAAAAAATCTAAAAAATATTTTGTTTCCAGGTTTTAATGCAGTTTTAAAGAGAATCGATCTAGAAATCGATTAAAGTATCCCTTTCAAGAATCGGATGATTTTTGGCCAATATAAAAACTTTGTAGGGAGTCCTATTATCCTTTCAAGCATTTTTTTCCATTCTTTAAAGACCACCCTCGAAAACTTCAAGAGCTCTGCCATAAATAAATATATGTTGGTTTTTAAAAGGTTTCCCTCAAAAAAATGAATAAATAAAATCAAAATCAAAAACTATTCTTCGGAAATCCCAAATACATTTTAATCCGAGTGTATTAACAAGACCGCTAGGGCGGCCGCCCCACCAACTACTCAGCCAGGATATTCCCATTTCAGAGCTTAGCCTGCGGCGACATTGGCAATGAAAGGAAATGGCTCTCAATGGCCTGGCGACAAGGAGCTTCAATCTGCCGACTGATTGGCCTTTTGTGCTGCCAAGCTGTCCACACATTCGCGGATGAGCACTTCTCCCCCAGGGCTTACATGGGTGTAGTTTCAGATTGGATATGAACTTCTCCAGCTTGCGCCGCAGGATCAACTCAGCGCCATACTTGGCCATCGTGCCATTGTCCACCAGCAGGAAGTAGGCATGTCGATTGTTGAGCACCGCCAGCTTGGATCTGAAAGGAAAGGCAGGAAAAGAACAGGTGCAGGTGATTGCAACAGGTACAAATGGTGGCAACAGTATGGGAACGGCCACAACAGCTAATACTCATGAATCTTTAAGGCGCAATTTAACTTGTTGGCCCAATTGGTGTCGTGTCGGTTAAATATGCATTAGTTGTGTGGCCCAAGTACTCACCTCGGCGAACTAATGCTGTGGCAGGGCACCTCGCGGTTGTGCCCCAACAGCTCGTGATTGCGCTCGACGATGCCCCAGGGAGCGATGCCGATGCTGACCACTCTTCCTGTCCGCTGTTGACCCTCCAGGAGCAGAGCGTCGCCCACTTGCTTGGTGACTCCTGTGAGGCAATAACGTCGAAAAAAATATCAAGGAATGAGAACAATGACAGCCATCGCTGAGCGAGTGGGTAAATAAGTTTTGTCCCGTCCTACGACTTTCACTTTTGCAGCTTTTTTATATCTTAGTTAGGGTGGTGTGTCTAAAAATTTAATAACAACTGAAGCACAAAAACCCAGACGACAAAAAGAGGACCAAGTCCAGTCGAATGAATAAGAAGGACAACGGCAGGTTCTTGGGTAGCGGCTACAAGATACGCTTTCGGACTTTAAGCCACACTGCAATTTTGATTGGAAAATAGACAAAAGATTGCATCAATGTATAGAGCTCTACAATAGCTGCACATTTTATATTTGTTTCTTTTTTAACCAAAGAACTAACCAATATCAAGTCAATATTTACTATTCTTTGAAAAGCCAACTACCTAAGGCAAAAGAGCAACGGCTTTGACCAAATCTACCCTTCCATATCCGGCCATAATCCAATTTATTTTTGATAGAAGCCCCCATTGCACCCATCCTGACCACTCCTGGCCAATATACCCGGACTATCCGGCTACTGGGTAGCTCACAATATGTTGACTGGCAAGCAGTTGAAGTGTGTACAATCACTGGCTGCGTGATTTCCGCTTGGGATTTTATTTATTTAATTTTCGACTGGGGTCGCTCATCCGCACTTTCTCCGGCCATTCTCTTTAAGTTTTCCTGCCCACCGACTGTTTGTTTGTTTTTTGTTTGTTTTCCTTGCTCATTTTTCTTTGTGCTTATTTAACTTGGGTTCCGGCCGTAATCGTTGGCCATAAAACCCGGGCCCTGTTCACTGTCCTTTCATAAAACTTAAATGAAACGCATTGCCTGCTCACCGGTATTGGTGCCGCCGGTGAAAATCCATGCTCCTGTGGTCTTTGCCGCCTTCAACAGTCCTTTGCGTATCTCCTGCGAATTGAAATCGAAAAGAAATCAGTTTCAGTTTCATTCTCAGTTCCAGCTCCAGCTCCCACAGCTAGGCCATTCAATTAGCAAGTGACAGACACAGGACCCTTCCTTCCTTCCATCCAAGGCAAGTTGGCTTTTGGGTTGAAAACTTTTCCACACTCACCTTTTTCAGCTTGGCCTGCAAATCAAAGTTGGCCTTGCCGCCCTGCACGGTGATCAAAAGTTTTGGCAATTCCAGGTTCCATTCCTTTGTGAATAACTGCACCAGGAGTTCTGGCCGCGTGTCGAAGGACAGTCGGACATACTGCGAAAAAAAGGACCAACAAGTTAGTAAAGGACATGAACTTCGGAAAATGCCGAAAGTTTAATACTCTTTCAGTTAATTTAATACAATTGTTATAGTTTCTCAGAACTATACAAGGAGATAAATGACTTTATCCAATATCCTGTATAGATATCTAATACATCCTTCAAGGGTATCAACGTACCATTTACAAACAAAACACAGAGCACGTGCTCGCAGGAAAAAGTTATTAAAAACCGCACTAAAAGGAAATTGCCACTGAATTGCCTATGTAAGGATATACGTACCTGGGCCTTTGTGGGATGGGCGCCCCCCTGGAACTCGATGGTGCCGTACGCGTCCGTCGGCTGGGGGCGGGTGTGCTTCGTGGGCAGCCAAAGGTCGCCGGGTGAGCCGCTGTCGATGCCCGGTATCGTCTGATGTGTGATCTGGGCCTGGCCGCAACAGCATCTGCCGAAAAAGGTGAGCGCTATAGTCGTTCGTTCTTGTTCGATGGCTTTTGCACAATTTGATGTAAGTACATTTGTAAGTATAATTCGCCTCAATTCGATAAGAATGGAAATTTGATTTGATTGAATTTCTTTGGTAATTGGATCAGGCCATAATAGGCTGCTCAATCATGTTCTGTCAAAGATTTTATTGAATTTTATTTACATTCGTATACACCAAGCTTTTGTGTTACTATTTACTAGATAATTATTCTGATTTTCCCCCAAAAAGTTTGCCCTTAAAAGTCCAAAGCATGGCTCGGAAGGAATGCCTTCGAATCGAACTTGTTGACTGAATGTCAGGATGCGTTGTGGGTGTAAATGATATTTGGTAAACAAGAGAGACAAGTCGGCACTCCCCCACAAAAGAGAAGGAACACACACGCATTTGACTTCACCTGTCACTTTGTTTGCTATGCCCACGTGTAATATAAAGCGTTATTTATGCACGAGTGTTTGTATGAGGCTAGATACCCCTCTTGCTCCCACCGCACCCCCTTCCCAAAAAAAAGCCAAAATATGGCAGCAACAAACGCAGAGGCAATAACCTGTCTGACCTGACCCGTTCCGACAGTCGGTCTGACTTTCTGTCTGTTTGCCAGCTGATGTTCTTGTCAGGTGCTTAAAAGTGTTTGCTAAATAATGCATTTCAATTAGAGTCCCCCAGATACGGATACCCCCAGGGCTGAGCCCGTCTTACCCCAATAAATCAGTTGAAATAGAATTAAATAATCAAATTAATCGGCACGTGTCTGTGGCACATTCCTCGGGTCCTGAGTGATGTGTGGCAGTCATGCCACATAAAAGAGATATTTGTGGCTTTAAATAGAAGGAGGATTGAAGAGGGATAATCCTGCAGAGAGATAGCTATTAAACTTGTGCTCTTAGCATAATTATAAACTCACAAAGTTGAGCCAATTGTGATTAACGAAAGTTCAACTATAAATCAACTTTTTAACTTGGCCAAGATGTTGTTCGTGGTCGTGACAGCTACCGGCTGTCATGGAAACTTGGCGTCATGGCGAAGGGGTTCAGGAGAACTCTCAGCCAGTTGGGTCAGCGGGCAAATATTTGGCAATCCAATCGCTGATAACAGCCACCCAGTCATGCAAAGTCAAGATGGGCCATAAACCCATCGCCCATTTCCCGGGCTATCTCCTCTTAAAACTTTCACCAGATCCAGAAGCCAAAACAATTGGAGCAGTGCCGGGTACGCGTCGCGAATGTGTACTATGTAGTACTAGTACTAATACTGGTACTGGGTCTGGGTTTGGGTTTATGGCGCATTTATCTCAATTGCCGGGTCTTGGGACAGCGCCTGTCATAATAAACAATAAATGCTAACGCCCAAAACGAAACTAAATACACAAACGGCCGGGAACTGGGCCAAAAGCAGCTGCATCACACAAATCGCTTTTGATATGAGAAACTGGGTCAAATGTTTTCGTCTTGGCTTTGGACTTTCTAGTCCCTGCCCTTGTCGCTCCCGGCTGTTACCCCTCTGCACCCATCAAATGCACTTAAATGCAAAATGTAATGCTAATAAATGAAATTAGTTGCCACTTACTTTGTATCGTCCTTTGGGCATGGTATGAATTTGATGCACTCGCGCTTCTGGAAGTTTGTCTCGATCCAACTGCGCGGCTGGTGCTAGATTTTGTTAAATTTAAGATTTAAGAACGGAAATAAATAAATCCAATTAGTTTTTTGTAAGCACTAGATATTCGGTTAATGAATGCTCATAGTTACACTTTATACACTCATTATACAGCTAGAGGAGTAAATTGAAAAAAAAAAATGGAAAAACTTGAAAAGAACAAAGGATATATTTCCAGTTACAGAGTCATGGAGGATTAAGTAACCAAAAAATTAATTATAGTTAGAGTTCAGTTGCTTCAAATTCTAAATTACAATTTAATCTCAAATGGGAGAAACTAATTCAATTGGCTACGGATTCCAATAGTCTGTAATTACATAATATTTCGTGAATAAACACAACGACGACACAACACAATCACTATGTAAACATTACTAAATTACAAAATAATATTGAATAATTAAAGAAGGTTACTGAATGCAAAATAAAATATTTACAATGTTTGGTGGGGCAATGTATAAGGTCCACGGGTGAGTTTCCTAGCAACTCTATTAAATTCCTACTGAGTCTATAAATAATCCTATATTTTTTACATATTCTGTCTGATTTGCCTGGCCAACTAAAAACATTTATGCAACTGATTACGCCGTAAACCTCAGCTCTTATGTGCAGAATCCCTAGTCACGTTTCGCAGAAATCCGCACAATTGATTCGGAATCCAAACTTTGGCAAACTGCAACTTGGCAGTTATCGCGGCAAACAAAGCCACAGCCCGAAACTTTGGAGCAACACTTGAAAGTCGATGATGCCACAGGCACTCGAAGGATTAGCCACCACCTATTGGCAAGAGCTTCACATTGTGATCCACTGCAGCCGCAGAACAAATAGCTCGGGGAACGGGGACTGGGGATGTGTAATGGGAATGACATCCTTCCGTAGCCCTACCTCTTTGCCCACTGGCTCACTGGCGGTGTGGGCCTTCAACAAATCACGCACATTGAGTATGAGGACCTTCGATAGGGTCGAGGACACCGAGGAGCGTTTCCGCATCCGTTGCCGTCGGCGTATGCCACGCGGAGTGCCGGGGGCGCACGATGGGGTGGGGGTGCCCGGGGGCGTGACTCCGGTCCCGGTCCGGGGCAAGTGGGCAGCTGCCTCGGCGGCAATAAAAGCGGATGTGGAGGCACGAACCGAAACGACAGCAGCCGGGGTATTGCTGAACCGCCGCACCGTGGAAAAGTCCTTGGAAATGCGGCGCAGATATTTGTGCGGTGGCAGTGGCGAATCGGCTGATGTTACCACCATGATTAACTATTTTCCGCTAATGTGCTCTAATTAATTGAATTTGAGATGCTACGCGAACCGCGAAAGTATTTCGATTTGACGCCGACGCCGCCGCATCCGACAAATCCGCACCCGCATCTGAATATCGCGACAGGCGAATCTCGACTGGCACGCACCTGCCGCTCCACTCACTCACCTGTTCTGGTTGGGGTTCTGTGTTCTGTTCTGGAGTCTCTCGGTTAAGCCGAGTTATTTACAATTGGCTTGTTTGCGAGAGGCCATATCCGCATCATCCGCCAGGCAGTGAATGTGGCAGGCTGTGGCAGCGGGCCTGCAGGTGCAGGCGAGCGGCATTTAGCCAGCTTTCAAATTAGATAAACCAACCGCAGATAGGTAATCTAGAACAAAGCTTAGGCATCGTTGCTCGGAGCTTTCTCCTTCAGAGACCGCATCACTGCAGGCCGAAAGTATGAAATGTTTTCCAAAATTGGCTTAAAAGTTTGATTAGCCAGGTCAGTAGATGTCTTGGGGGATTTTAATTGGTTTCAAATAAACGGGAGTGTTAATAATTTGATCAACTAATCTTCCAGTTCATTAAATAGAAATAATTGGAATAATTCATGGAGGTCAGCTACACTGCTAAGTAATAAATTGATGAGAAATATATTTAATTTATTCTTCAGTGTCTTTCTCTTTTCTTTTTTAATAAAATATTATAATCTAACTTAAAGATATAATCTTTTATTATTAATCCCAGTGCACTTCTGTATATAGTACGTTTTCAAGTCTCTATTGTGCCATTCTGCCAAATTGTCTTCTGGTCAAAATCCATTAGAGCCAATATTAAACGAAATCTGCAGTCCATCCGAGACACTTGCAATTAGGTGTTTTAATCTACATTACCATTTAATTAATGGCATTTCTGGCAGTCTACTAAATAAATGATGGCCGGGTGCTCTGGCCACCCGGAATGTGATGGCTTTCATATCGATGCTTTTAATTTACTGAATATTCCCCTTGCCAATTCATTGACAGATTCGAGTGTCTGCTCTGCCATCCACCTTTCTGGCCGATAAGTTCAATTAATTAATTACTTAAAGTCTGTCTCCCAAGCTTAAAGTATCTCTGAAATATTTATTTAGTTTTTTACATTACGGGTTAGGTGCTCATTAGTAGTACAATTAGAAATGCATAAACAAATAATTAAACAACAGCGATTGTGAGGAAACGACAAACAACGAAAACAATTAAATGATATAGAAATTATATTTAAATGTTGATTGCTTACCCTGGGCACGGTTATATTTATCAGACCCCAACAGATTTTTTTCAGTCCCCATGGTATCTTTAAGGGTTTATGTTTGGTTTGATTTGTTTTTTACGTGTTTTTTGTGGGTGTACGTGTGAGATTTACATTTTACAATTGTCGGGTTGTAATAGATGTTATAATCACATTGCGGATTTGTTTATTATTGTTTTTGTTGATTGGTTTTCGGTCGGGAGTTGGTGTCGGTTCGGTGTCGTTATATTTGATGTTTCAATATTCGCATATATATTATTTTGTCATTTATGCAAATTCGATTTTCAACACACACACGCACGTACGCACACAAACACAGATACACGAAGTGGTGCATTGAAAATTCAACAAATCGTATTTACCGTTGTTGGTTTTCGGTGTTTCGGTGTGGTAGTGAGTGGGTCGTGGGTGTGGGTGTGTGGGAGAATAGAGTGTGAAAACACAAATTAATTAATTAAAATATAATAGCACAATAAGATAAATATATAAAAAGGATTGTTCATTGTGTCGCAAAAAAAGAAAACAAATCCAAAAAAATAAAAATTTGAAATATTGGATCACGTTGTGGTTTTTTAAAAAGTTTATGGCGTGTTTAGTGTTTGATTTTTTATCAGTGAGGGGGCAGTGGGGTGTTTGTGTTGTGCAAAGCAAAGTTGAAAGTAGAAGAAAAATATTATGATTTAAAATTAGTTGAAAGACTTAAACGATTGATTCGCTCTTCTCCGTTAATCGTTAATTTAGTTCAAATTTTGGGGAACAAACTACGATGACTTACTACCAGACCGCTTTGCTTGTTTTGGACTAATTGTGCTCAGGTTATCAAAATCAAAACTAATTAAAGTTTATTGGTATTACTTATTAGACTACAAGTTAGATCCTACATCCTGAAAGTAAATTACTCTACTGATTGACTCTTGTTTCTGCTAATGTTCCTGCCAAGTGGCCAACATTTCATTACCTTGGCAGACAAAGCCACCCAATTACCTTGTCCAAGTCCAAGTGCTTGCAACTGACACAGTTGAGATACATGTCAGCTTCAGAATACGGCCACGGCAAACGGAGCTAAATAGTATCCTAATTTAAACGGATCAAGACTGCAAGCCGGAGCAGAAACTTTGGCAACTCATAACTACGACTTCCCAGGACTGGGTGCAAAACCAATTAAACTTTTTGGCCACAAAAAAGTGGCCAGAACATTAAGAATGTTTTGCCAAACGAAACCTTTGGGCATTCGACAGATCCATATAGTAGGACATCGTACCATATAATCCCAAACCATAACGTCCGTATATGTATGGGATGGTGGGAATGCATGTTCGCATCTCGTCGGAGCCATTTCATGCAGCGTCTATTAAAATAAAAGCTTTTTCCTCCGGCGAGCCCCCAGGAGCCACAAAACTTTTGTGTGGGCATAAAACACAGTTCAGATGATGCGGAAGGAAATGTGGCATATTTCAAATTAATTAAACGGCCAGCACCAGAGAGAACAACGGAGCTATAACCAGGGCTAATAGCCATTGAAGCCCCATTCGATGGGAATAAGGTTAAAAAGAAGAAGACCAAAAAAAATAAACCAAATAAAACAGCGTTGCGGCAGCGGCAACTTAATTAATTAACTTTTGTTTCACACTTGGTTGGAATTCATGATTTCAATCAATGAGAAAAATGATGCACCGTAAAAATTTAACATATTTATAAAATTTAAATCCTTATGAAAGGTAGTTTCTGCCAGCAAAGATAGAGTTAAGAGAGGACTACCCTTTAGATGAAGAAACTATTTCGTCAGGTGCATGGCCTTGTTCTTACCCCTTTTCTTTCTGGTCGGGCCTTTGGGCCGGAAATGGCTGCTAAACTAATTAGCCGTTGTATGCTACCAAGCTCCCACATCAAATCAACTGAAAACAATGCAAAAGGCCCGGAAAGGCCCGGAAATTTGCCATGGAGCTAAAAGCCAATAGCAGACACATGCGGTTATCCAATTAAACTCCGCATCCGGAATCAAACATAAAAATTTATGCGCTCGCTGGCAGGATTAAACCACACAGCCCGATGTTCAGCCGCAGGATGCAATTTGCCGGGTCACCTGGCCACCAATCTCACCCTCTCACCACCCCTTCCACATTCCTTCTGTCTTATCGAACTTCGATAAAACTTGTGCAACATAAACAGCACTTAATACCCACATCAAGCTCCGTCATTTCATCTGCTCCTCCTCCTTCTGCATAATGCAATCCAGGGGAATAATGCCATAGACCATGAGATGGGGTTTCTCAGGAGGAGGTTAGCCTCAGTCGCCTCCGTGGCTGGTACTTCAGTGTTTCACCTGCTGTTGACTTGCGGTTTTCCAAAGTGGAAAATTGATGGCGTTGCTGCTGCGGATTCTCCTCAAGCTGTTGCGGCAGTTGCCATGGCTGATGAAGTGCCGCATTCGTTTCTCGAAAAAATGCCAGATGACGTCGCCGTGACGATGGATTGGGGACTAAGTGAAAAGGAGGTGTGTCTGCAAGGAGGGAAGGCTGAGCACCGCTTTTGCATGGCTGACTCTCAATGGCATTGCGAAATTGACTTTCTAGGAGTTTTCATGCTACTGGATGCCTTCCCAGTGGTGCTTGATATTGAAACAATGGGGTGACTCGTTTTTGGTGACTGTTTGTTGTTTTTATGTATTTTTAGAAAAAGACATCAGGGAAGTCTCATCTTATTGTTCTTCAATGTTTGTTTTTTTAAGAATATAAAAGAACTTTTAGAGTTTTTCTGTAGGTAATTTATTCTTCGTTAAAGCAGACTACCTTAAGATATACATATTTGAAGAAATCTATTAAATATATGCTATATCATATAATATTACAGACTACTCTACTAACAAAGAATGAAAGCCAAACCCTCTAAAAGAGCTTTAAATCTAAAAAGTAAAAAGGCTAAATTGCCATCTCAGGCGGGAGAATTCTCCCCACCGCCCACATTTTCAGAGAGAGAGTGATAAAGACTGAGTGTTGGCTCTCAGCTTTGCTGTCAGCCGACAGCTGCTGATTAACACAAAGCGACTACAAAACGGCAAAGACAAAACAACACCACATCACAATAATAACAAATACAAGATACATATGTCAAACGGTTCGCCAATAGACCGGTTAGACCCCCAAAAACCCAAAAACCTCAAGAAATTGCAGTACTCCTCCTCCGGCTGTACAATCATCAATTAATTACAATTACTCATGACAGAGCGATTCTACTCACAAATACCCAGTTGGTCTCGAAGTACATGGTCACTGCCACTTGCTCCAGTTGCAGCCGATCCGCGGGTTGGGGACGCGGTTGGATGAATCCACATGCTATGAAAGCAAGTATCTAATCGCTGTTTGAACTGCGCTTCGTACGCATACACTCGGAGAAATATAGCACTTTGAAATTAATATTTTTTTTTGTTCTTATGGGGAATTTTTATTTTATTTACAAATCATTGGGTTTAATAGGTTTGGCTTAATGACTTAAGCTTTTTCTAGGAACTTGAGTGATTAAATGGGCAGTTATTTTTAGAAAGATTTAAGTGTTTCTAAAAAGTTATTTATTTTTCAATAATGAGGCCCATAATTTTTTTAAAAACTTTATTATGTAAATTTAAAGCATTTTAAAACCCACTATTTTTTTATTTTTATTTTTAGAAGGCACTTTTTTCTTGCGGTGTAGGCGCTTTTGGAGCGAGCGATTCCCGCTTGGCTTGCCCGGAGCCGCGTCGAGCACTGAGACACTGCGGCCTGAGAGCTTTTCCCACTCGGCCAAGGCGAGTGGTGTCAATTAACGGCGCAAATATAGCGGCAAAATAATCGAACTCGACTCAGCGGCAACAACAACCATCCACAAGAGCGTTGTGATAAGCTCCTCCGGCGTGAGAGTGATGGAGCGTGCTCAGTGAGAGCAACGACAATACGGACTCAGCGATCTCGGGAGGATTGGGTTTCAGTAAATAAAGTGCAAGGAAAACATCCTGGATAACTTTGGCCTTTTAAAGGCACTTTAATATGTACATTGCAGCGAGGAGGGGGCCAAATGCAAGCCATAATTATGTTGATTTTCAAAGTTTTCCAGCCTGCATTGCTGGCCGAAGCCCCCCAGTGGCCATAACTTAAACAATTAAAGTTTCACCCGGCTAGCAAGTCAAACAGCTTGTCCCGAACCCAGTTGGTAGGAGCCCGCCGATAAGCAGCTGTCAGTCAAATGGTAGATAGTTTCAACTGTGGGACCAGGCTGAAGCAGAACGAGCCCCCAGATAACTCACGATCGCAGATACAAAAGTCAATGAGGAGTTGCATACTTTCAGGCGCTTTCTAGATAACTCCCTTTAAAAAGCCTATTCAAGATTTCACTTTTATTTAGCCAATTCAATGGATATAACTTAAATATAAGATAAACCTGTAAAAGTTTAATAAATATAAAAATAATAGAAATATTACTTATACTTGGCATTCCTCTTAATTATCTATATCTCAGCTAAGAATTAACAAGAAAATCTACGGATGGAATGAGTTACAAAGTCAACTTTTGCAACAAAATGGCGACAAAAGTGAAAACAAGAACTTGGCCCAATTAAGTATGCAAATATTTAATGCAAGAAAGCAAGCTACTTAAAAATAGGTTTTACGAAATACTCGAAACGCTCAAAAAACGCTGAGCCAACACTAAGTGCTACGGTTATATAGGATAAATTGTATAAACTACGAACAAGAACTCGCAATATGTACGTATTTTGGCAACAAAACTAGACTAGATAGTTTCCAAGGCCATTGAAAGAGGATGATGGGGGTGGGTGGCAAGGTGGCTGGGTGTTGGATGGGTGTGGAACTCAAGAGTTAATTATATAGAGCGAGATAGTTCAAATAGTTCCACAACAAAGCAGTTTGGCAGTCAGTCAAATAGCAATTAGCACAGAGAGCACAGAGCAGAGAGACAGATCAGATCAGAGATTGGGAAGTACATGTTCTAAACATGGTATATAGTTTAAAATCAAAATCGGAGATAGGCTTTAGAGATAGAGATAGAGAATAGAAGGGAGCTAGATTTGAGGGGCTTTTTGGGTTTCTTTTTTTTTTGTTGGCCATCTTGCAGGTAACTCGATTTTGCTTACCGGTTTCGCTTTGGGCTTCTGCTTGGCCAAACGCTTCTGTTTCAACATCACAGACACGCACACATAAACACGATAGAGACAGAGAGCGAGAGTGAGAAAGAGACGGGGTATAAGGACGAACTGGTGGGCGATGGACGATAGGCGTCAGGCGATGGGCGGTGGGAGGTGGATATCCTCCGCTTCGATTCAATTCTCGATGCCTCACGCAGGCTTCTCGGCCTGCAGGGGTAAGAAAAACAATTATGAAATATCAATTATTTATTGTTTCGCTAGTTGCGCTTTGTGTTTGGCGTGCAGGCATGCAGAAGGATATATTTGTGCTCGGCTTAGCTCCCAGGGATTTGTCACGTGTCATGCAATGCGTTGTCGTCTCCAGTCGGTCGGTTGGTCTCTGGACATTACGTATGCGCCCCGTATACCAACACCAGCTTAGGCGGTAGGTATCTATGCATGCTTGTAAAGCCTTCCGCCCCACAAAGAGTCCTTTTATTGTGGGGCTAGGGCCAAGACAGCGTAAACATACAAAAAACAAACGGCACAAACAAAATTCAAAACAAAATAAATACTCGCACAACCAAATGAATTCCCCTCCATCACCTTGTTTTATTTTTGTATTTTTTTGTTGGTACTGCGCCACCCAATTATGGAGTTCTCCAAGGAATGCCAATGAAAGGGTTTTCTGTTAATGCATGCTAATTGTGTTTGCTTAGGAGAGCAGCCAAGGCGAATACAGAAACAGAGACGTAACGAAAACAAACACCAGATCCTTGGAAAATTTCGGTACGGCTCCGTAGGCACTACTCACCTTAACGGGCTTCTTTACGGGCGCTGGTCTCGAGTACTGATGGTATACCTGGACATGGTTTGAGGTGAATTTACCCAACATGTGTGACAGCAACTAGACAACGCCGACGATGGTTGAGGTGATTCTGAAAGAAGGGAATGAGTTTTGAATAAATTATAAGTCTTCTTATCAGATGTTTCCTTTCCAAAGTTTAGTAAAAATTACAATTTTAAAGCCTTTAAAGTAAGTGCAAAACAACTATCCAAATCCTTTATTTTTTCACAATAAAGCCATCCTAGGTGACCTTTGTTTTGTGACGACAGCAGATGCGTAAGTATGTGACACATGGAAGGACTGGGCTTCCGCTCCTTTTCGTATTCCTATCCGGCTCAGACTCCTATCCGTCCCCCGGATTCGTCTCAAGTGACAGGCCGGGCGCTGAGCTGTTCTTCATTACCGTAATGCGAGATGGTCAGGACGGCGGCTAAGGTCCTGGCCAGGAGGCCAAATGGGAGAAACGGGACCTGGGCCAGGAGTGGGCGGTCGTGCCGGGCCAGAAAGTGAAATAAAATAAGCGCTGGAAACAGCAAAAGTTATGCCAAGTATTTCAGCTAAGCATGAATCAAGTGCCATAACACGAGCACCCCGGCAGACCAAGAAACAACAAAAAATAGCAGGAACGAAAGGCGAAAAGCAGGAAAAGCAAGAAAAGCTGGGGAAAAGCGGAAAAAGGCGATGGAGTTGGGATAGGCGGGGCAGGATAATGCCGAAGCAAAAGTCAAAGACGCCGTCCTCCTATGCCGGGTGCTCTTAATTTGCGGAATTCAAGACATTCGCTTTCATTCGAGATTATACTCGAGCATTATAATCCCCGGCCGGAGAGGCGGAGTCCATAGGAATATGTGTGTGCACTAAGCACAAAAAAAATGCTAGTAGAAAACAAAATCAATATCTAAATACGATTTCCACCCACATGTGATTAACTTTTGTGCAGTCAGTAAGGCACAAAATTGAGATAACGCGCCATTAAATTTATGCATGAACAAAAGACATTTTGGCCAAGTTCCGAGGACACTCCTCGGCAAGGTTGTTCACCGAGTTATCCCCCTAATGATTGCTCAAACTTATAATTGGACTTTAATAAGCAATTGCCTGCCAGGCACTGGCACTGGCAATGGCAATGGCAACGTGCCTTGTGTTGTTGTGCCAGCTGGATATTATTCATCGTGACGCTTCAACTTGTTGTTAGATGAAAGGAAGTACGAGTTCAGTTGATTAACGAAGGGGAAGTCCCCAGACGGATATCCTTTTTGACTTTACTTATGAAAATTAAATATGCTCCACCATTGTTGGCCTCCAAAAACTCTGACAGAGTATGGGCCTTGAATTTTTTATGCTCTCTGGGAGCTTTGATTAATTTAGCCCTCTACAAGGATAATGCGAAAACCCTTTTTATGAACGGATGAGCAATCCTGGAACTTCAATCCCTTTAAGTGCAACCGAAGCCCTATCAATCGAGGATTAAAGACCACAAACTACACTTGCGACAAACTTCCAGAAGTGGCAAGTTTCCAGCGGTTTTCATCTGTAATTTGCACTGAACCATGGCAATTGTCGGGGAGCTACTGGGAACGGGAGGGAGCTCTTCACTCGAGGTCTGCTCTTGAGTGCCACAATCAGTCTGCCAAGTCCGACGAGGGAGCTGAGTGTGAAATTTATACGCCAGCCCGCATTTGCGTCACTGTTTAAAGATTTACCCCCACGCCCTGCTGCCCATTCGAGTGCCGATGATTGCCGATGGTAAGGAGACAAGGATAAGGGGAGCCATGGATGGGCAGGTTGCCTCCAGCGAAGCCACCAGCAACCATGTGTCCCGGCATGTGCACAGTGAGTTTCATTCCATTCTTCTTTAAACCATCCTACGTGGTTCTCTTCATTTGTTTTATAAATTCGTGATTTTAATCCTCTTAGCTTTTTTGTTAAACGTCCTTAAAAAGGAAACACCTAACCGGTTGAAGGTAATTAAAATGTTCTTGTTTGCACAAGGGATTAAGCCTTTTTTGGAGGTAGAATCCAACTAATAGGTAGGAATATTTAAAAAAGTCCGTTTTAGGCAATAACTTATTCATTTTTGGGAAGAACTCTAATAGCTGTTCAATTAAACGAACTACTATTTCATAAAGAATTCATATCAATGTTTTAGGTATTATTGAACTATGGTAATCCTTGGGATGAAAGTGTTAATTGCTGGGCCATCAGTCACTGGCAATTGTGGAGAGTTTGGTGCATCCTGGTGGACAGTGTCGTCGAGTGTCAGGAGTGACTCGACAGCCTGAATGAATGGATTCCTAATTGAGATAAGACTGACGCAGGCTGCTGCCTTCGGCGATGAGAAATGAACCCATGTGGCATGTGCCAACCTTCTCAAACAACTACAACAACGGAAAAAATAACACTTTCGCTTAAGTATGCCTTTGTATTCTCCTTTTTTTAGCGCCTGTCCAGGCCAAACAAATTAGTGCCTGGCCAAGACCAGCAGCAAATGTCTGGCAAACCCTGATTATTGGCAATGCAAGCAGCCGCTTGGCCTAGCTGGCCTGGACAAGGCCGGCGAAAGGATAATGGCGGAACGACAGAATGGGCGGGGGGGGTGGCTGGCTCAAACTGACCTACAAACACGATTAGGGCCAACAAGGACACAGCCCTGGTTGGAAAAAATCTTTGTGCCCATTCATATAGTATGTTGCCTGTTGTCTCTGCAATCATTCAAGCGCAGACAAATGCCCTGGTGTTTGTTTATGTCAACATTGTGTCTCTCTGCCACTTTGACCCCCACCCCCACCCACACCACCAAACCAGATACCACCACACACGCCACATGATTTTCAGCTTGCCCGATTTCTTCCATTCACCGTTCACACAGCACTCACCATTCATAGCCGCGTCCTTTGGCAGGACATAATGGCTCTCGTCAGGCGCAAACTCAAACCGAAATCCGCAGCAACCAAGCGGCTAACTAACTAAAGACGACGATGGACGACGACAGCCCGGATTGAATACTCGTTTAAGCCGTCATCATTGGCCGCAGGGGCATCAATGATTTGCGAGTCGTGCGACTCGTCGTCGGATCGCCGGAACATTTTGCACCAAAAGATTTATTTCCCTCTGACCGCATTAGCCCGAGCTCTTCCGGTGCCATTCATCTTAATTAAATCTCTATCTATCGCTGACCGCCGCAGTTTATTTTTCTCTTGTATTTTGTTTCATTTCAGGTACATTAATTTCATAGAGGAGCTTAAATACCGGTAAGGTTTTAATTTATTTAAGTGTTTACGGGGGGATTGCTTTTCCCCTCTTTTATCAGGACATCTCCGGCAGTTATTTCTGAATCATTTAAAGCTGGACTTGTGTATTTTTATAGAACTGTGGTGTAGGATAAGACTATATGATATCCGGTACTTCTTTAAGCTTGTTGTAGAGTACAAGGTATAAATTTTAACAAATAGTTTAATAATAAAAATTTTACATTTATTCATCATCTCTAATCATGGCACTTAACCAACTAATTTCTAAACTAATCTAACTAACTAACTAATCTAATCTTTTCCTTTTCATTGGGAACCTTCAGCATATTTTACGATCCTCTCCTTTATCTGTTCGCTGAACATCTGGACCATGCTATCGGCTGTGACGGCTTGGCTGATGCCTAAAGCACAGATGGGTCGGCTGTTCCGGATCGTATCCGCTATCACCGAGGTCCAGTCGATCTCATGGGGATGGGCCTGGCCAGTGGCGAAGCGACCGAACAGCTCCGGCAACCAGATGGCGCCATCCCGGCAATAGGTGCACTGCTTGCAGGTGTGCTCCTCGTAGAACTCAATGGTTCGATGCATCACCGCCAGCGGGTCGCAATCCTTGCTCATTACAATGATGGAGCCGCAGCCCAGGCCGCTTCCCGCCGCCTCCAGGCAGTCAAAGTCCATCATCACCCCGCCGGCTGCCTCAGGACCGAGGAGGGAAGTGGAAAGGCCGCCCGGGAAAACGGCCAGTAGGTTGTCCCAGCCGCCCTGCACTCCGCCCGCATGCCGTTCGATTATTTCCCGCATCGGCATGGACATCTCCTCCTCCACGGTGCACGGGTTGTTCACCTGACCACTGATGCAGAATAGTTTTGTGCCGGCGTTGTAGCTTCGTCCTAGTCCGGTCCACCAGCGGGGACCTCGCCGCAAGAGGGTGGGCAGTACGGACAATGACTCCGCGTTGACAACCAGACACGGATGGTTGAAATAACCCTTTTCCGTGAGGAACGGTGGCCGACGTCGCGGTCTTCCAAGCTTGCCCATGAGGCAGTTCAGCATGGCCGTCTCCTCGCCACACAGATACCGATCGCCCCGCTGCACCATGATGTCGAACTTGATGCCCGTGCCGCAGGCGCTGTCCCCCACCAGACCGTGGTGATAGGCCTCGGCCAGGGCGTAGTGAAGGTTGCAGGCCTCGTTGTAGAACCGGTTCCGGACATAGATAACAGCCCGGCCACAGCCCATGGTCACGCCGGCCAGCAGTATGCCCTCCAGCAACTTGTGCGGCTCATGGCGCAGGATCTCCCGGTCCTTGCAGGTGCCCGGCTCGCCCTCCGCACAGTTAACAACCAACATTTTGGGCACCTTCTCGGACTTGACCTTCTGGAGGAACTCCCACTTGGTGGCGCAGTAGAATCCGGCTCCTCCCCGTCCTCGCAGGGCGGACTTTTTAATCTGCTCCATGATCCAGTCGGGTCCCTGCTCCAGGATGTCCCCCGTCTTATGCCAATCCCCGCGCAGGCAGGCCCCCTTCAGCCTCCAGTCGTGGCGGCCGTACAGGTTCTGGAAGATCCGATCAACGTCCTTCAGAGGTCCAAAAGTGGTCTTGTCGTTGGTCAGACTACCCTTCGGAGGAGGTATTTTGACGCGTCCCCCCTTTTTGGCATCCTTGCCGGGTTTGGCTGGCTTTTTGGCAGCAGCCTGGGCGACGGGCTGTGGGGCAACCTTCCCAGATAGCTCTGGCATTTTGGGGGCCTCCTTGGGGGCACTGTGGGCCAGTCTCCGAGGCTGACACCAGATAGAGGCCAATTGGCGGATCGTGCCTTTCAGATGCTTGCGAATCATATTGTCTTTTTGGATAATAATTGTTTGTGTATTTATGTACCTAACCAAGAGTTGAATGTTTCAATATTTTAGTTGTTTACAAGTCTGTTTGGAAACTAAACTGACTTGCTGGGTTTTGTGTCAAGAACTCTATGCTTTTATTAAAAAAAAATCCCTGCAACTAGATGAACTTTATGTTTCAAAAGTAATTGGATTATCGGAGAATCCCTTTATGAGAGTCTTAAGTTTAAAGCCTTCTCCCAAAACCAAGCCCTACTTACTTGCAGTCCATTGTATTCAAATTTAGGCTAAAATTAGATATTGAAGGCCGGATGTGAACCAGCATTTGTCCCGAAATCCTTTTTTAAACGGGTTTCGTTGGGCAGCCGCCCAGACAAAGACAAAATAAATACTTTGGGACCCAAGAGTTGGCCGACGACAAATTGGAAGACTGAAAGTAGCGCAACAAATGCTGCCATAACGACAATGGAGGCAACACAGGCAGCAATAAATTTTGGCAAAAAATACAGCACAAATTCAAATATATATGTATGTATCTCCTGGAGAGGATGGCACAACCATTCGGAGCCCACGCACATGTGAGAGGCAGTTATCCCACTGCGTCGACATGTGCGAATACGTATACGTAATTTTCTATGAATCGAGTGGCAGTGGCAGTGGCAGTGGCAGAGGGAGCAATGCCGAAGGCAGCCCAGCCCCTTTCAATTTATGCAACCATCCGACAGCAATTCGCCTTTAATGACAGACAACAAAAGGCAGCCCGTAGCCCGATAAACTGAGTTTCGAGAGCACTACATAGGGACGGTTACCTGAAGCTACCTGAGTGGGGTTTCAATTAGTGTACTTTGTCAGCCTCTGCCCGAAATTAAATGGTACTCCGCCGCAAGTTTGGCTGACACTTCAGTTCAGCTCGCGGCAACATCCACCTCATTAGCATAAACTAATGGGCGACATGTGGCGCATCCTCCAAGGATGCAATTGTACCGCACAACTTGATCCTGGGAGCCTCGACAAATCACGGTTCTAATTGGAGGGATTGTTGGGGATTGCCGGCAAACGGATGGGTATTTTGGCCTTAGCCACAGGATTATGAGTTATATAAGAATGCAGTTACTGTATTCCTTCTTGTATAACATGGGTTTTTAAATTTGATATTAAATTCTGGCTCTGGCAGGTCTGTATATCCACTCGTTAACCTTGCAGACTGAAAGGTAAACGGTGCAATGGAAACTACTATACTCCTCCTGGGGTTGAGCTGTTTGTTTTATGGGGAGTGTTTGCTCAGCTCTGGTTGATTTCGTTATTATTATTGCTGGGTAATGTTTTATGGCCATTTTGCGGCTGCTTTCACACCCGAACCAGACTAGCAAAGACCACAAACCACCGCCAGCCCGAAACAATCAGTACAGTAGTAGGAGCACCAGTGCCAGCAGCAGCAGGCGTTGGAATACCAAAGGCAAACATTCGACAAGCACCGGAGATTAGCTCTAATGGAGTATAGTAGCTAGTTCCCCCATCAGTACCAACCAGATCCAATCGCGCAATTCACTCCCTTGTTTGCATTAGCAAATGCATATCTATAGTATACTCATACGCTTTGTCGGTTCAGACTTGATTAAAATCTATAATCACTTAATGCATTTTATTCCCAACTTGCCCGAGTGCTTTAAAATGCGAAATTAAATTTCATGTTTCGAGCTCATTGTTTCGGACTCTGTCCATAGTCCTTTCATGTTTATTATAGAGTGCTTTAATGGTTGTTACACCGCCGCACACATTCTTTCCGTAAATTTATAGTCGCACATGACTTTGTGCTGCTTTGTCCTTGCCATGTTGGAATGTGATTTATCAACCATTTAATGGTATGTGAACAAAACCCAGGCACTATTAACCTCCATATAATGAACCACGACAACTTATCGACGATCAGTCCATTATCCAGGTGTATACATATATTCGGAAAAAGGACAACCATTACTATGCTAATTAGAGCCTCAAGGAGCACCTTTAAGGCCAAAGAATGGAGACTCTAACAAGGTTTGCTAAACTGCATTTACCACACATTTGACACTTGGCACATGTGCCAGCCAGTCGATATTGGCGCGCTAAACTAAACAGCAATCAATAGACGCCGCAAGGACACTGCCGACTCCCCTCGTCCTACCGACTTTAAATAAGCTAATTTACATGCACACATGGAGCCCCCGGTGGCAATTTGTAAGCGTCGACGACAATGCCAGCAAATTTACAGCCGCCGGTGGCTCTTGAGCTCCAGCGGTTGCAAGTGCCACAGCTGCACATTAATGGCCAGCCGGGCACTCAGAGAAATCCATAACAATAATCCAATATTAAGAGGAAAATCATAACATCTGAGAGGGTAATTCAAATACGATAACATTCTTAACATCCTTTCTGTATGATTGTATCTTTTGATTGAAAAGTATCACCAATCATTTCAAAAGTTTATAGAATTTTCCCACCGTGTAGACAACTTGAAGGCCCTCCAACCTCAAACGATTGTGGAGTGGCTCCAGCGAATCCTTGCTGGTTGTCCTGCAGCTCCTGTTTACTCTCGTTATCTCGCACAGACTCATTATCGAATCTGGAATTGAGCTGTTCGACAAACTGTTGCTCCTATTGATTTTTGTTCTTTAAAGAAGAGTGCTTGTTAATAATTAAGTGGCACAGTGTGTAACGAAATAATTATGTAAATTAAGGAGGCAGCACATCTCAGGTACAAAGAGAATATCATACAAGAACAGGACTTGCCCTTTAAAATGAGAATAAAGTTTCATTGTTAAAACTACAAGAGTCATAAATGGAAAGTTTGATTTATTAAGACTACATAGCATGTAAAAACTTTATTCATTAATCGCTATTATCACTCTGTATAGATTAAGTTTTGAACAAAAAACACAAAAAAAATAGACTTCCAAAGAAGTTTCGAAAGTTTTTTCATAGTTCGATGCTTTGATATTTTTTATAGCACAGTTTTGCGGGCAGCGCATTAAAGCCAAACACTGAAAGCATAAAAATGCAAATGCAATCTCAGTTATGGAAACAACAGGTACCCAGGTAACCGACTGAAAAGACGCAGGTGAAAACCGTAAAAATCACATTTTAAAACCAGCACCCAACACATATATAAAATGCTTGGGAACTATAAACAAAACTGAGGGTATTTATAACATGCAAACACGCGGTGGACCATGGTCATTTGCATGCTGACCCCGTACAAGCACACACCCATATAGTATGTAGTATATAGTATATAGAAGGGTAAAGGGTCAGCCAAACACACACACATACACACAGCTGTGTGGGTTAATCACGTGCCATGAAAAGTCACGCATTCGGAGAAACTTGCATCGCTTTGCAGCTCACACATTGGAATAAAGGTTCTCGCATATACTCGTAGTAGTATATATGCTTTTTTGAACATTGGCAGACAATTTGAAAAGTCATGAAATCAGGGCACCCAAATACATGCAAATATATGTGTAATAATGCCAAAAAAAGCAACCCGCCAAGCTCAGAAACCGTGAATTGAGGTTGCCCAAGTTTTGGGGGTCAGAGGCCAAAACTTTAAGAACAACAAGAACAAATTTCATGCCAACTGGAAGGGCTTCCAAACTTTCAAAATTGCATGCCGGAAAAAAAGCATTTTGTTGTGCCCAGCAAGGATCGACTTGCTTAAGTCAAGTCCTTAATTTATCGAGGGCATAAGCCTTGATAATTTTTTACAGAAATAAAATAAACTCAACTTCGGTCGATAAAGTCATGACACTTAATTGTACACAGCACTGCCATTGGTGTCCTGAAAGCCTGACCAATAGTTCATTTTCGCCATCCACGCAAAACCGGCCATAAAAATGTCCAATTCCAGCAATGCGTGTTAACCTCACGAAACACAAACGTATTTTATTTGCCAGAAACCCGACAGTTTACGACCGGTTCTTTTCATGGCAATGGTATGAACTTTCCACTGTTTATAACACTCAATTACTGATCGTGATTTTATTGCAGTTATAGTGGATTAAATAAAATAGTTTTAGTTTAGATCTAAACTTAATCCTCAACCCTTTTCGATATCCAAATGCAGAGTCCATCTTTATTGTCCTGTTTTCAAAGAAAACATAAAAAGATTGACACTTTCCTAGATTTAATCCCGCAAGGTCAGACAATTGTGCTTCCTATTATCCTTTCCCCCATGTTTGAACTGCCACATCCTTTGTTTGGGCCTTCTCTCCCGCCACGGGGTCACGTGCATAAATAAATTTAAAAAGCTGTCCCATTCGTTGCACCGGCACGTCAACAGTTTTCCCCGTTTTTCACTGTAGACGTGTGGTGGAAATAAGTTTTCCACTTTCGTATGCACGTAACTTTCGGGTGCAAGTTTCTGGCCGCTGCCAAAGGATTGCTGTCCTCCAGCACCTTCGGTCCTGTGACATGGGCTGTCGCCTAATGGGCTAGCACTCCGCTCTCAAGAACTTTGTACGCGTCGCCGAAGTGGATGTGTCTGCTTTTTGGCAGGCTTTTCAGAATTCCGGTTGCCATTAAGAGGCTTAGGCTGGACTCACAAGGTGAGCCATATTTGTCGAATTAATGTGAAAAGCTTGTTTAAACTTTAAACCGATTTTCATATTTGCCGAGTCGGCCGAACGGAACCATCGAAGCCATCGGACACAATGGGAAATGGCACCCAAAGCGACCCAAAGCCCAAATCGCCAATATGCTTTTGAATAAATGTTATGGGAGGTCGGGGCTGGGATTTGCATTTAACAGAGGTCCGGACTCCGGACTGCGGACTGCCAGGAGCTCCATGTTTACTAATACATATATCCACAGGACTCTCGCCAGGCCCACAAAAACTCAGAAAGCGTTTACGGAACACAATGAATCGTCGTCGTGTGTCCTTTTGGGCAACGAAGCCGAGCTGCTGAAGGTGCAGGAAACAGTAAACAGTAAGCAGAGTGGTATATAAAACCTATTACAAAATATGTTTGTGTTTCATTAAAAATTTAAAGACCCTCTCCGAAAAGCACCGAAAAGAACGTCCAAATTCCCTGTTTATGACATGCGACAAATTTATTTTTTTTTTGCCCAGCACATCTGTATTAAATATTCTTCTCTGATAAAGTTATAAAAACGTGCGCATTATGACTTTCGACAGGATGCCACGATGCGACTACTTTATATAATACACCCATACGATTATAAAAATATATACATATATGCGCTTTCTACAAACTTTGGAAAAACAAAATCAATAAGCGAGTGCGCTGCAGGATAGCATTATTTTTCGGCAGATAATCACATGAATTATGCGAATATTTGCATATTAGCTTTCGAATCTATTTGGATTTGGATAACAATGTTTATTGTTTTCGCATTCGGTGACCGAAAGCCACAAATACTGGTCTAATTCGCAATGACTTGGCCAATAAAAAAAGGCCAATAAGTGGCCTGCAGAATGCCGGCCCTCGCCAAATCGAGTGTCATTAACATCAGATTCATTCGATTGGCCATCAATATTTGGATTTGGCTAACAGATTTTTCGATGCGGTTTCGTATACATACTACATGTAGTGTGTGGCCCGCATAAAAGCCAAACGAGGTAATCTATATTTTATGGTCGAATGGTCAGCTGTGGGATCTAACCCAAATATGAACTTTTTGCCCGAAAATGTGAGGGACACGTGCTCCAGACCCGACATCCAGACATCCCTTCATCACTGCAGTACTGCCAGTGGCCCGAACCGAAAATAAAGTGCATCTGCTTTGGCCAATAGAATATATTTCCCGCCACTTAATATCTGTCTGCAGGCGTTTTTTATTAAGCATTCCTCCTGCTTCCTCCATTTAATTCGAAGAATAAAACTTTCGCTCTTGATTTTATTGCACAACTGGATACGTGTGTATTTTCGGGGAAGATTAGTGGCTTTTTATCACACTGGCAGAGACCTTATCTATTGCGGAGGCCGGAGATTGCAAAGAAAAATAAAATATATTTTCATTGCCATCAGAAGTCAAGAACCTTTTGGCGTAAAAACGTACATATTATTACTGTCAATGCCGGGGAATGTCAATGAAATTGATTTATTCCACACCCACCTGATCCGCTTTTAATCCTTAAACAAATGACTCGTTAAAGATTTTAATTTGTTGAGCGAATTAATCGAGCAAGTGGCTCTATTGATAAACAAACGTGGATTTATTTGTTTACCTTCGGGCTACTCTGGAGCAGATAATGCTTTCGCGTGCACGTGATATATATCTCATCATAATATAATATTAATAATAGATTCACTCTCTTTGTGACGCAATTCCCCCAAAACTACAGATCTCAGTGTATTTATCTTAATCAGGAGGAAACTCATCCCAAGTTGAAGTTGGAACCTTGAAAATTTTTGTTTGCCCCGTCGCTCCCTGAGAGGCGTAACTGTATCTGTATCTGTATCTGAAGAAGTATCTTTTGCATCTGTATAGTGTATCTGGTGTGTTGTGGACTCTGTCTGGCTGGGAGCTTTGTTTGCTTGTGTTTTATTGCGACTTGTTGACGTTGTTATTGCCGTTCTAGCCGTTGTCGTTGTCGGATTCTCAAGTTTATCAACTTGCATAGCAATGAAGCGATATGAATATGCGAGTGAGTGGCTGTGGGCGTGCGAATGGGCGGGATCCATTTTCCAGCCGAGCCGAACCGGGCCGGATTTCGCAGCCATTTTGCAGTCTTTGTCTTGACAGACAACATGCATTTTCCCCCGGCGCCTCGCGACACAATGTTGCCAGCACAGCTTATCATAATTTTCAATTTTATATCGGTCTGATGCTGTACACCTATGTGTATCTAAAGTTTATGCCATACGCCCACGCACTCATAAGCCACAAATGTTTGCTCTACGTGTCTTTCGAGCCGTGTTCTCCTGTTGTGGCATTACCGAACTGACATTTCCTCCACTCTTTGGCTTTCGCTTTGGCTTTGACTCTGGCTCTGGAGTCTAATGCATTAAGTCGATTTCTCGCTTCAATGGATTTTGTTGCTGTTGCCGCAAGTTTCGGTTTTTGCCTTGGGGCTTGAACCCAAGGACCAAAGTGTGGAGCACGGAGAAAAACAACAGCAACAGGGTCCTGCATCTTCTTTTTTGTGTCAGTCAGTCACCCAGTCAGTCATGACGTTACGCACATCAAATATGATTTCAGAAAAATCTCTGTTAAAATCTTATGGAAAAAATATGGTGAGCCCAAGGAAGTAAATATAGTATGGGACTCTTGTAGTTTTTTTCCAAGTGTCTGAGTTTAGTGTGTCGCCTTGGCGGAGCCACTTTTACACGCTCAATCGAATGCCTCCACTTTCGACTGACATTCTTGCCACATTTAGTCTCGAGAGTCAATCGCACGTTAATAAAACGTCGAGAAACGACCAGGGATTTCCGCATTCTCCCAGCTAGTTGTCCGTGGATGCGTGAAGAGCTGGATGGGCTGGATGGGCTGGCTTAACCCGTAATCAGGATTCAATTAACTTTTTTTCAGCTCTCAGCTTTTAAGAAATTTAATCAAACTTCGGTGACCTTTTCGGGTCCTGGAAAGCCAATTAAGGAGCGAGAATACAATGAAAACAATGCAGCAAACCTGGACCAGAGGGGGTCGGCCGAGGGCTTAATTAATGTATCAATCTTTTTGTTGTAGCCACTCGGCGGAATGTCAAGCCCTTCACGAGGCAATTAAGAGGCTATTGAAATGTTGACACTGGCCACAACAGGACACTTTTCGGGGTTAAAGTCGTCCTTTTGGCCCGGGAAAAGTTTGCGTGCTTGTTAATATGGAACTTTCACTCTATATCGGGCTCGGGTCGGGACAGGCGTGTAAACAAGTCGCACGCACATTATTTCTAATTTATGCACATATTTCAAAATGTGTGGCCTTGAAAAAACAGTTGTCTGCCAAGTTGGGGGCGACCGGGCGTCCTAAGGCGTCCCACTAAATCACATTCATACAACCCAGTACACCCAGTATATGGGAATGTCTTGGCAAGTGAGTAATGGTGGGGGCCGTCACTCAGCCGTTAGCCGTTAGCCGTCAGTCTTCCTCGGAAAAGTCGGCACGAACCCGGCACACTAGCCTCAGCCTTATTAATGTTAATTACTGCTGTTGCTTTAGGCCAAAGCTCTTTATCCCTGGAAGCCACAACACATTTGCGAGCTTGCCAACAAACTTCAGGCCTAATTTCTGTTAATTTTTTTTGGCCCTGAGCACCCAGACACGGGCGTCCCTCAAAGGGGGGCTCTTGGAAGAGCAACAATTTATGCGAAAACTTTTTTGGCAAATTGCTCATTTCAAGCAGCGTTTGGTATGCAACACTTTCGCGATATTAGAAAATTCCAGCAGGTAAGAGATTTATGTTGGGCATACTATAGTCCTGCCAATTACACACACACACACTGATAGGCAGCGAGAAAAATGCTCTACCGTGAGTCCTGCGAATTAATTTGCATTTATCTAGCAGTTGACTTACCTGGGCAAACACTCGGATAGCACTCGGAGGAGAAAATGGGGCCACGCGGAAGAGCTGGCCGAGTAATACTTGATTCTCCGTATATGCGATGCTGAATGACGGTGGAATCCACAGATGGTTCTTGTGTTGTTCTTGTTATTTGATGGCCGCCTTTATTTTAGACACTATTAATACCTGGATATGGCGGAATATTGGATCACGAATGCTTTTATTTGTTTCTCAAGTTCATGCGTTTCGTATTGCTCATTTCGATATTGTTGTTTATAATTGTTGTAATTGCTTTAATGGTTATTATGTCGGTCTCCTGAAAAACTGTGCTCTGGCTGTTCTGTGGTCTGGGATAAACAATCTGAAAGGGTCGGGAGCCAGTCAGCCAGCCAGCCAACCATTTCAGATGTTTAGCAATTAAGAATTTTTAAAATCATTTAATATTTGTGTGTGTGTTTGTTCTAGCATCGTTTGATTGCAATTTATTTCAGCAACTCTCGTACATATTTTGGTTTTAGTTTGCAAAACAGCACAAAGGAAAATGGTAATTGAAGTGCCCTTAGAAGAGGATACCGGAGAGAGGTGCCCCAGCAGCAGCAGAAACTCGACTTTTCCATTGCCATTACCATTCCGGCTGCTCTCAAGCAATGACCCGGAAGTTTTTGGCATTTTATTTATCTCATTTGAGATATTTTTTTGCCCGCTTTTCGGGCCTCCGCCTCACTGGGTTTATTTTACAATAATAAACATTTAGCATTTTCATTTTGGCTCTTTGCGATCTCTGAGTCTCTGGTTCTTGTGCATTTGTTTGCTTTACGATTTTAAAGATTTACGAGATTTGTTTCAATTCGAGCACTAAAGTAAATTGCTTTGACTTGGCCTTCTAGAAGTACAGGTGAATATCTTTTCTATATCTGATGTTATCTTTCGGATCTGACATGAACTTGTAACTCTTAGGAATTATTCCTAAATTGTCTATAACTTAGGCATTTTTACTCAGATCTAAATTGTTGAAAATCCACTAGTAAATACAAACAATGACTAAGAAGGGACCGGTCGAGTTCATAGATGTGCTTTTGTTTCGCAAGCCAGAACAGCTCCGCCACATTCCAGGGAATCGTTCAGATAATAAAAATATTCTAATCCCACCTCCACCTCCATCCACCCCACTACCACCCCACTTGCTATAGCATTGAGTTGTCTAAATAATAGAATCGTTTTGCTTTAATAACATCGAAATGCAATGAAAATCCCAACTAAAGCACAAGTTCACGGAGAGTGCCCTGATCGAAGTTGGAACAGGGGGGGTTGGGCGGCGGCGTGGGCGTTGTGGGCGGCACTGGGCTACAGCTAAAGACTACAGATCCGAGCGAGATGGAATTGTATATTGAGAGCAATCGCGTAGAGAGGAAAATAAAATGTACGCGTTCAATGCAAAACCAAACAAATCACAAAAATAAATCCTACAAAAATAGACCATAAAGTGAAAAAGACACAGAGCAGCAGATCGCATTTATTAATTTATGGAATTTTGTAACTGTTATCAATACACGTCGCTGTCACATGGCGAGTAGTTAGTTTAATTACATGCGAAATATAATATTTTTAATGATTCTGGTGGCTTTGCGTAATTTGCGACGCGTTCAGGCACACGATGTTTCATTTAGTTTAGTTTATTTTATTTATTTATTTTTGGCAAACAAAACGATACACAAAAAACGGCACTGGCACACGACACACAGTTAATAGCACGACGTCGGCATTTTTGTTAATTTATTTAAATCTTTTTTGGAGCCAAGCGAACCGAACACGTTTGTTGTTTTGGTTGTTTTGTTGTTCGCAGTGTAAATCTTTGGCAGAGCAGCCCTCTCGATCAACAGCTGTTCCTGCTGATCGGGCCAGTGCTGCCACACTCCCACCGTTTGGCGGTTCTTTTAAAGTGTATTTCAATGGCACTGACAAAATTACACAAAAGCAATGAATTTTCATCCGCAAACACTTCCGTCACAATAATGTGTCGTAAGTTCTTTTGTTTTAAGCCGTTTAAGCCTCTCGCAGAGCGGGAACCCACGACCACCAGTTGTTCGCACTGATCGAAGCCAGTGTTGCCACATTCACACCATTCGGCGGTTCTTTTGAAAGTGTTTTTCAATGGCTCTGACCAACTGACCGAAACCGAACATTTTCACCCGCAAACAACTCGCTGCATTAATAATTTACTCGCGTTTACCTAACTGGAAAACGACTGGCGACCTTCGAACGGCCCACACTCCCTCTTCTGTCGCTCCACTCCTTTTTTCACTTTTCGTTTAATTGCCGCGTAGAGAGTAAAACTTTAAAACACGCACAGCGAAATTGTTTTTATGACACTTCGTTCTGCTGCGGCCCACTAACCGGAAATACTAAGTTTCAGACTGGAGAGAAGCTAACGGTACTGTCGTCCGAACCCGACTGAAGCGAAGGATTTCGGAGAAGTTCCTTATATACCGGACGGCACGCAGCGGAGAAGTCGCAGGACGCAGGCGCAAAGCGGAAACCGTGTCAACTCGCGGCCTCAGGGTCAGGATGTCAGGGAGAGAGAGTGAGAGTGAGCCGGAGAACGGGCACACATGCAACAGCATTGCCGAAACCAAACTCACACTCCGGCTAAGAACCGTATGTTGGTAGCACAACTGTCCGTAGCCCATATCCCGCCGCATTTCCAAGTAGGTTACTCTAGAAAGGGGAAACTGCAAGGCCGTCCACGGCAAAAGATCGAAAAGTGGGGGCATAACTGAATATTTTCTATTCTTTTGAAATCTTAATATATTTACAATATTTTAACTAAGATAGTATACATTACAAACAAAATTTTATCTGAATAGGGTTATAAACTTTTAAATCCCAATATTTAGGACTAGCTCAATTCTCTTCTTAGATGTCGCTCTCGTTTCCATTCCCGCACCTTCTCCCGCTGCATATCGCTGCGAGTTCTTCTCTGCTCCCTTATTGGATCCCTTCTTCGTACAGCATTCAAGTCGAAAGCTCCAAAATGGGTAACACGCGCTGGTGCCTGCTCGATTCCCAGGCCAGTTCTTTGCTTGCGCAGCACTGTCTTCACCGGATAGAGACGACCCTTTTGACTGGGCCCCAAGCCATGCTCCTGGTCCCAGCCCTGTTTTACCATGAGCTGGAGGCCTTTGTTTTTCGCTGAAATGTTGAATTTGTGCAGTTTGTGCGGAGGAAGTGACTTAAGGTTAAACTGGTGCACGGTGGAGGTTTGGTGAACAGGCCAAGGAGTCTCCTTGAGGTCCAATTTACAAATATCACAGTAGAATGGTCTGATGGCCTCAGGTAATTCCTCCTCTTCCTCGGATAGCCCTTCGGGAATGCAAGCAGCTTCCAGCAGTTGAACAGTCTGGAAATGGCCCTTTTTCTGTGCCAGTTTGAGAGCAGTGTTTCCAGATTTATCCTGGAGATCGACATCCGCACCTTTTTGAAGCAGAAACGCTACAACATCCGCAGCTCCTTCGCAGGCGGCCATCATTAGTGCAGTCCAGCCAAACGCATCGCGTGTGTTGACCTCCTCAGCAGACATGGCCATTTGGGATAGCTCCTCCACATTGTTATTGGTGGCCAGGCGGAAGAGTTGACCTCTGTTGAAAGGTTCTTGGCGTTTCCTTGGAACTCTTTTAGGGTCTTTTCGTTTAGTAGGGCAGGCTAATTGACTTGTGGCCGGGGTGTCCAGTACCTCCTTGTAGAAATTTCGGGCATCCGCTCCAGTTATGCCTTCGATTTCCGGTTTCCGAACTTTTGACGACTCTTGGACACAATCCGGCTCGCCGGCACGTACAAACCGCTTTAACTGGAGGGGAAGTGTGGTCAGGGCCAACCAATTTGGATGAAGTTCTCCCGAGGAATTCATTTCGCTTCCAATTTCAATGATATTTGTAAACAAACCTTTCACAGATGGTCGCCAAACCAGTGTTGGTTAACTTTTATGAAAAGTGAAACGGCGGAATTGGACCACAACAATAACAGAAAATTAAATTTTTGACAAAGTAGTAAACAATTTATTTTATTTAAACAGTTATTTTGATTTAAAAAAAAATGCCAATTAAAAAGCATAATTATCAAAACGGATAAAGTTTTATTGATTGCCGATAGTTTTCCTGGTATTAGTCTACCCGATAGATTTTATGGAAATGCCGAAATCACCATCTGGCAACACTGATGGAATATATATTTATATATATATGACTCCTACAGCCGCGAAAATGTGAATTTCGCAATTGATTTAAAATCAACCACCGAACCCAAGCAAAGTGTAAATTGGAACCAAATTCTTGCCAACAGATAGGCCACAAGCGTCGGGGGAAAACAAGCTATTAAAATCATCGTTTTGTCAACGAAACAGAGCCATTTTGGTGTCCTAAAACTGCGCAGTAAAAATCAATAACTGTAAGTGGCACGCATCGTCAATACATAAATGTAAAAAGGAGGTCCGCAAAAGGAGCCAAGATGTCCGACGAGGAGGAGGAGTCCGTGTCCGAGGGCTTCTCGGCCAGCGAGGACGAGTGGAAGCCAACCAAGGATGCACGCGGCGGAGAATCGTCGGATGACGATGACAGCGACTTTGATGAGCTGCAGCTTGCGGGGGCGGCTGGAGCTGCCGGTTCCAGTGGTCGCTCCTCAGCAGGAGCATCCAAAAAGAGGTAAGTATCAATGTGGATACTCACCAAGGCTTTACTAAACTCATCTTCCGTCAGGGATCAGAAGCAGCCGAGCGGCATAAAGGGGTCGTCGGTGAAGAAGCGTAAGCCCAGTGGGCAATCGTTACGGTCCAAGCTATACAACAAGTACCGACCGCCGCCAAAGACGTTTGCCACATCGCCATCTCAGCAGCAAAACTCACCGTCGGCTTCGGGTTCAAAAAACGCCAGAACGCCCAATGAAAGCGGAGCTCGGGATCAGCACCACGATGCGGCTGATTCCAGCAGCGAGTCCAGCGTGGAGGATTACTTGGTTAATCCGGCTGACCTGGATCTGCAGTCAACCTTCTTTGCCGGCCAGCAAGAAAAGTCAAAAGAGAAGTCTCCGGTGCCGCAGTTCGACTGCAACGCCGGCATCACGAATCTCTCGGACTCGGGTTCCGGATCGGAGGACAACAACGACAGCAGTATGGAGGACAAGGCCAGCAACGCGTTTGATTTCCGGGGTCTCCTCGAGAACGCGAACAGCTTGGAGCGCACACGGGATGCGCTCGCCAAGCGAAATGTCACGGCCACTCCACCCAAGAGCCAGACCGCCACCATGGACGTAAACGCACTGCTTGCATTGGGCGAGAACCAGAACTATGAGGAGCAGGAGGAGCCTGAAGGGAATAAACGGAGGGGCGCCGGAGCAGGAATGGGGTCGGTAGAGCCGCCACCCATGGATGGACCGTCGCGGCTGAGCAAGACCAAGTCGACACGGATTAAGCGTCACACCAAGACGCGTCCCGTTTCCACAGTGGTCGCGAATGCCGGGGACACGGATGACTCCGATTTTGAGGAAGTGGCAGGTAGGCGGAAATGCAAGTAGTTTGTCGTCGCGGAGGCAGAAGGAGATAGAGGAGGCAGTGGAGCATGCTTACAAAAGTTGGTTGTGGCGCTGGGATCTCTGGTATCTGATCAAAAACAAAATAAGCTTCCAAATTGCTCTGTATGAGACTGTGTAGTTTTGTTTGTACTAAGTTTATTTGACGGCGTTGAAGAGATATAGAGATTACTTTTCTGTACAGATGCGGTCTAAACAATGTCACCAGATGGGTATGGATAAGTTTTTAAATCTACCAATTAGGCTAATTGGTTATTGTTGATAATTTTAAAAAGTATAAGGGAGAGACTGTAGAAATATGTAGTCTAAAAGAAATACTATTGTACTTAGCAAGGCCATTGCTTAGACCGCATCTGTATCCATGAAGCCGAGAGAAACACTGGCCATGTATCTACGATATACCTATTTACTGTAACATATTGTTAGTCGATTAGACTGAGGAGCTAGCGTACGAAGTGGCTCTTGCTGACAACGCTTCATCCACACACTTGGCTTACTAACCTATTTATACCTGCTAACCAGGCTATGTTGAGTCCGTTGATTGCATGCCCTAGCTTAAGAGACATCGCCGGCATCGAAATTTGTTATCCAGCAAAGCATCAGAGACAGACAGCAGGAGGATCCACGATAAATGCTTCTTACAACCAAAGAATCAATCCAACTAAAGATTTCTAAATGTTTTTGCACTAGCTTAAGCTCGATCTTAGTGTGTGTTTTAAATGGAAGAAAAGCCCAAATCAAAATGAAAGTATAAGCAACATGTTTTTCGAATTCTAGTCGTGGTTTAAATGTCTCCGCACACACACCCCACACCGCATAAAATATCAAACAGAAACCGATTACTTGAAACGACACACAGAAAATGCATTTATTTATATTGTTTTGCGAGTTTTCAGTTATTAGTTTTCCATGCGAAAGAAACCAAAGATGAGAATTTTAAAGAAAAATCAAAAGAAAATATAATAATTTTATGAGCTAGTCGAATGGTCTAGGCAACTATTTGTGTACTTACTTTATGGCAATTGCAAGTGTTTCACAGAAGAAATTAACAAGTAGCTAACGATAATTAGAACTGAAGTTTAACGAATTTACTTTAGCGAAATTGTATTCACGATTAACGATTAAAAAACCCAACATCTGCATGCAGAATACGTCTAAATGAAATTAATAAACGATATACTCGAGTAAACAATGCAATAATAAACGAAATGAATCTCATAATTTTAGCGCAATTTAGTGAATGTTAATTGTAATTAATTCAATAATTAATTGAAATTTAAAATGCACTTTAAATGATATAAATAAAATAAATGCAAAATGTTGAAAGAACTCGTGGTCTCTGTGTTTGTGGGTATCAGTCTTCCCTGCCCCTCAACCCTCCTGCATTTCAATTACATTTTTATTTAATTTATTCTTAATTTTTTATCAAAAAGCCTCATATCATCTCTCTTCCGGTTCCCTTTGCAGATGCCGAGCTTGAGAGCGACGACGATGGTGGTACTCCCAACATCTCCGGCGACCTGGAGATCCATGTCGGCCTTCAGACGCGACCCACCAAGGAGCAGAAGACCCAGCACGAGCTGGAGATGGCCCTGAAGCGGCGCCTCAATCGGGACATCAAGGATCGCCAGCTGCTGCTGCACAAAATTAGTCTCATGTGCCAGATTGCCAGGAGCCTAAGGTACAACCGTCTTCTGGGCGAATCGGATGCACTGATGCAGGCGGCCCTGAAACTCCTGCCCAGCAAGAACGCCTATCCTACAGAACGAGGCGTTGAGCTGAAGTATCTGCAGTCGTTCGTCACCTGGTTCAAAACGGCCATCAAGCTTCTCAACCCCCAGTTGTATTCCGAGCAATCAGTCTCCGGCAAGAAGCAGATCATAGAGGCTTTGCTGGAGCAGATCAAGCGCAAGGAAGCCCGCTGCAAGCAGGATATGATCTTCATATTCATTATCCTTGCGCGGGGAATGGGCATGCACTGCCGACTGATAGTGAATCTCCAGCCAATGCCTCTACGACCATCGGCCAGTGATCTGATTCCTATCAAGCTTAAGCCAGACGAGAAAAACAAAAGCCAGACCGTGGATACCGATGAGGAGGAAGAGGAGGATGAGGATTTAAAGCCCAAAAAGAACAAACCTTCCAAAGGTAAATCGCAAGCTGAGAAACCCAAAGAGGTTGCTAAGAAGAGCAGTGAAAAACCACTGAAGAAGGAGGCCAATAAATCGGGATCTTCTGACAAAAACAGATCAACTTCTTCAAGTAGGAAAGACGCGAACAAATCGGGATCCTCTTCCAGCAAAGGGCCGGAAAAAAAGGAAACTAGCAAGTCCACATCAAGCTCAAAACAGCCCAAACAGGAAGAGGTTGCCCAAAAGAAGGAGGTTTCCAAACCCAAGACAGTTAAAAAGGAGGACATTTCAAAAACCAGTCTGTCCTCTAAACTGGCCAGCAAAGAGATTACCAAACTGGAGAAATCCCGAAATTCGGACACCTCCTTCGAAGAGAAACCAAGCACCTCCAAGGCAGCCTCCATCAGTTCCCAAAAGGAAACCAAACCAAACTTGTCTCTGCTGAAAAGGGTCACAACTCAAAAAATCGCCGAAGCAACAGAGGGCAAGAGGTCCAAAGTGGCTCCTGGGGATCCCTTCTCACCTGTGGCGGGACGAACTCGAAGAGCACAAACGAAACCCAAAATCGAGGTCGATGAGAAAAAGGGAAGCATGTTCTCCCCAGTGGGATCCCCTGTGGTGCCTGAGTTGGTCCTGCCCAAGGCCAGGAGGCAGAATGGTAACAGTAAGGATGCGGAAAATACCCAACCTGCAATGGAGGAAGAGCTGGTAACCCGTTCACGAAGCAAGTCACCCAAGGTACGCATTTCTCCGGCTTTTCTGGGTGTTCCAGATCCATCTGCAACTTCAGTGCCGCCCAAGAACTCCAAAAGTCCGGATTCCAAAGTTCGGATTTCGCCCACTTTCCTGACCAAAGCTGCACCGGCACGACACTTGAGGAGTCGACAGCCAAAGTCCACCAATCTAACTATTCCCCAGCTCGATGGGGCCGAGGATGTGCCAGTGCCCAAGAAGCGACCGAAGCTGGAGAAGCTTCAGAAGTCGCAGGACTCCGACGAAGTATTTGAGCCTTCGAAGCCCGTGAAAAAGGCGCCAGTGCTGCCCAAGTCAGTACAGAATCTGCGCAAGGATCGGCGAGTTCTTTCCACGGACGACGAGGGCGGCTTGAAGCCGAAACGGAAGCCGGATGCCTCCGACATGTGGGTGGAGGTGTGGTCTGAAGTGGAGGAGCAGTGGATCTGCATTGACCTGTTCAAGGGCAAGCTACATTGTGTCGATACCATACGAGTAAGTAGGTCTTTTCCAGTTCCATTCAATTATCTAATCTCTCTAATCCTAACCCCAGAAAAACGCCACGGCAGGACTGGCCTATGTGTTCGCCTTCCAGGACGATCAAAGCCTCAAGGACGTGACTGCCCGGTATTGTTCCAGTTGGAGCACCACTGTGCGCAAAGCTCGCGTGGAGAAGGCTTGGCTGGATGAAACCATTGCCCCGTATCTGGGACGTCGCACAAAGCGGGATATCCGCGAGGATGAGCAGCTGCGGCGCATTCACTCCGACAAGCCCCTGCCCAAGTCCATAGCCGAGTTCAAGGACCATCCGCTGTATGTTCTTCCGAGGCATCTACTCAAGTTCCAAGGCCTCTACCCGCCAGATGCTCCCACCTTGGGCTTCATTCGGGGCGAACCCGTCTACTCGCGCGACTGTGTGCACCTCCTGCATTCCAGAGAAATTTGGCTAAAGAGCGCTCGAGTCGTCAAGCTGGGAGAACAGCCCTACAAAGTGGTCAAGGCGCGTCCAAAATGGGACAAGCTGACACGGACCGTTATCAAGGACCAGCCCCTTGAGATCTTCGGCTACTGGCAAACGCAGGACTACGAGCCGCCCACGGCGGAGAATGGCATTGTGCCACGCAACGCCTATGGAAATGTTGAACTCTTCAAGGCGTGCATGCTGCCCAAGAAGACAGTTCACCTGAGACGTAAGGATAACTCTCTGGGATACTTTCATGATTGGTTTTTAACTCTCGCTTCTTTTAGTTCCTGGCCTTATGCGGGTTTGCAAGAAGCTCAACATCGACTGTGCCAACGCGGTGGTTGGCTTCGACTTCCACCAGGGCGCCTGCCATCCCATGTACGATGGCTTTGTGGTCTGCGAGGAGTTCCGCGAGGTGGTCACCGCCGCCTGGGAGGAGGATCAGCAGGAGCAGGCGCGCAAGGAGCAGGCCAAGTACGAGGATCGCGTCTACGGCAATTGGAAAAAGCTGATCAAGGGTCTAATTATTCGCGAGCGCCTCAAGAAAAAGTATAATTTCTGAATATTTGTTCCATTTGTCGTAAATTTTGCATCTGTTTCGTAAGTTTTGTATTTTTTTTTATTTGAAATCCACGTTGGGATTCCAATAAATTGTATGCATTATTTTGTAATGCTTTCGAATTAGTTTATTTATCGATTATTTAAGTTTTCGTAACTTGCGTTTGGTTTCCACCTTAATTTACAAAAGTTCTTTGTTTTTTGAGAGGTTAAAAGGATTTAGAAGAAGTTCGATCGACCGTTTATAGATAATACATTGGTCGTGGATCGTGGTTATAGGTTTTCTTTAATGTAAGGTCATAAATGAATCAGTAACTGCGCTGAGAAGCCTAAAATTGAATCTTTACAAGGGCATGGAATGCTTAAGCAGACTAGAGTTAAATAAAGCAATATATCAATTCAGTTTGATCGCTCGGCTCCTGCCCCGAGTGCTCATTAAGTACATAAAATATAAATAAACTCTTAACTAAAAGTTTGGAATACAAATAGACTTTGGTTTGTCAACAACTTCCCTATGGTTCTGCGCCTTTGCCAGCCCCCTTGAGCAAGAGTAAGGATAATACATCTCTAAATTCATAAATTCTTATCTATGGAAATCTAACCAAGCTCTTTAGGTTGTCAAGTGAAATGAAATGGGCTCTCCGGAGGGCTTCAGCAGGGCATTCACGTAGGCATCGATGAATTGGCATTGACTCCCGTGGATCCCGTTCCGTTTGGTGAACGCTGACGCAGCGGGCTACTCTGCGCCTTGAGGTACTCGATGTACATCCGCCTAGCTTGGTTGAGTACCCGGGTCACGTCATGCTTGCGGACCATCTTGTCAAAGTGCATCGCTATCTCGTTGTAGTCCATTGCCCCCTTTATGATTGTGTTCCTGTGCTGGAGCAGCAGAGTGAGGCAGAGAAACATGAGGAAGGCATTACCACCGCCGAACTCCGAGGGCGGAGGCAGAGCCGCCGCCGTGGCGTTCACTCCGCCAACTCCGTTTTGAGAGGCCAGACGCTGAGGGGATCTTGTGTAGGCACTCTCATCGTCGGCATTTGTGGCGATCTCCACCAGCGGAGTCACCTCAACCAGGCTGGGCTCCGTGGAAATGGGCAGTATAACCTCCGGCAGGCTACTGCTGCTTCGCATGCCGAGCGGAGTGTGGCCATCCATCAGGAGCTGGCTCTCGTCGATGAAGGGATTGAAGGCATGAGACTCGCTCTGTTGGACGCTATTGCTCTTCGCCGCCAGCCGCTGACGGCGTCTCATGTGCAGCTCGCTGGCATCGGGACACGGAATGATTTCGTTCTCCTTCAGGTCCTCTACCAGGTCAAGTGCATCCTTGTCCAGCTTCTCGTACTCAAAGTCGTCTCGCTTTTCGTTTTCCGTGAAGGGCAGGCCGAACACCTGACGGTCCAGGTTCTCCGCCTCAAGCCGCAGCTCCCGCGTTATGGCCGTCGTCATGGGGTAGTACTCCTGGTCGCCGTCCTGATCTTGATCCTGATCCGGCTCCGTGTTCTCCAGGTCCAGCTGCAGATTATAGCTGCTAAGCTCCTGCTCCTGTGCCTGTTGAATGGCCGTGGCCGCTGTGGAAGCACTCCAACTGGTCTCCGGCACCGACGAAGAATCCGACTCGTCCAGCGAGCTGCCCAGCCCGCCCTTGGTCAGCTGCACGACTGGCTTGCTAGACTGGTTTACCGGAGCAGTCGGCTGCTGGGTGGCAAATCGATCGGATATGCGGTTCTTGTTGATAGTCGCAAAGTTAAGGAATTCATTGAAGTTTTTCACAAGCTTGGGCGGCATTTTGCGATCACCTCCGTCGTCTTCTGCTTCTCCGTCGAACGAGAGACCGATCCGACTGGTGGCTGCCAGCTTTTCCTTGAGATCCTTGAAGTGGCCCCCACTGGAGCTACTCACTCGCTTCACGCTCTCGCTAACTTGGCTGGCGTTTGTGGCCAGTTGCTTGGCGATGATGTTGCTCATGGCCAGAATGTTCTTATGCTGAAGCTTGGACTTTATTTCATTGGCGTCTTCGTCCAGATTGGAGGAGGACGTACTGCACAGAAAGGCTCGTCCTGGAGATGAAGGCGGTGCTTCTTTACACACAGCTTCTGGAGTTTTATGGGCATCATCTTTGAATGGATTCGTTTCCAGGAAGCTCGGCGATTCCTTCCTATCGAACACATCGTCGTCTTCGGTGTCCTCGCCAGCAGACACGTCCTGCGCCGACTTGGCGTTTGGACCACTTTCCAGAGCCCCCTCGATCAGAGCCAACATTTTGGCTTCGTCCAGGCTCTGGTGGACTTTTGAAGAGGTTCGACGCTGTCGTCGCGCGGCGGCCGACGCATGACGCGACATATTGTCATCAAGGCTATGGTTCAGCCTCTTGGTATTGTCCAGGGCATGGCCAGTGGTGCCCAAGGAGGAGCTGAGTGAACTTAGCGAGGCCGAGGAGCTCTGACGGCGAAGAGCGCATACTTTGGTGTATGGATTCTCGCGGGGCTTGGTCAGCAGGTAAGACGGACTGGTCGGGGTGGCACTGTGTGAGCTTGAGAATGTACTGGCGCTGTTGGGTACCGAGTTATCCGCAATGGGGACAAATTCCTTAAAAAGAACAAGAGGTTTAAAGAAGGACTGTATAAATTATAAAAATTAACTGGTCACCTTCTCAAAGAGTTGCAGTTCCTTTTCCCCGGGACCGCTTCCGTATCGCAGAGAACTCCACTGAACCTCGAGCATGCGAAGGGCATCTTCAAAGGGAAACTCCCGCTTGAGTTCCAGAAGCAGCCACCGATAGCAAAAGAGCAGATCGTCGGCCTGCTGGGACTTTAGGTACTCCCAGAACTCCGGATCGTAGAAACTCAGGGCCTCCGTCAGATGGGCGAACTTTTGGGTCATCGAAATGCCGTCCAGCATAAAGTTGCCACGCATACGGGCCATAATCGCACAAAAACAGATGTAGGCCTGCGCCTCGTCGTTCATGGTGACCAGAAGCGGCGAAGCGATGTCCGACATGCCCTGACAGTAGGAGACGGTTGGGTGATTCAGTGCGTATGTTGTGAGGATGTTGAAGAGTGCTGCAATGTTCTGATTGTCGTCGCTGCCGGCGTAGAACGGGTGAAGGCGGTCAGTCCGCAACACGTCCTTCTTCACCATACTGGTCACATAGGCCAGCTCACCGGCCACACTTCCCCTTTTCACAGCCGCCTTCCAGGTGTCCCTCAAGCGACAATACTGTTCCGATTTCCGGCGCATAAACTCCATGCGCTGGTGTCCATCCAAAGGCAGCCCGTGGTTTCCACTCGGGTACACATTCAGAAGGTGCTTCCACACCACACGTCGCAGACTAGGATCGATGCCACCCAGAAATATGACCCTGTGCAGCTCTTCCTTGCGTTGTATTTGGCCCAGGGCGTCCAGGAACAGTCGAAACTCTCCATCGCACATTGGCGGTCGTGGCGGCAGGTTGGCCATATGCTCATCAGACAGATTGAACGCCTTCTGGACGATAGAGAAGGTTTTCTCCATCTGGTTTATGATGGAGCTGCCGATCTTTGTCTGCATGTGCTGCACGTATTTCTGGGACACTCCCAGAGACTGAAGTGGCGATATAAGCTCGCGGGGAATAGCAGGAGAAACGGCTCCAGCTGACGACGGCGGCGCAGGGATGGCTGATCCAGTTGTGGATCGCCCCGGCGACACATCGGAGTCGCATTCCCTTACCACCGTAAAGGGCTTCACATCAATCTGCAGCATCAGGCAGGGCTCCGACGCGGTCTGAATGGATATGTTGTGAATGCGCAGGAAGGCCGCATCCAGATCCCAGTCGGAGCGCACGGCCAGATAAATTTCGTTGCCAGCCGGATCGAAGGCCTTGTACTTGATGGAGAAGTCCGATTTGACGTCAAAGGCCTTGGCCAGCAGGGAGTAAAGGACCCTGAAAAAAAGAACTCGGTTAAATAACCATCGAAGCATAAGCAGGGACCCACTTACTCCAGCGTTGTGATTTGGGGGTCCACGGAGAACTTCCTCCACTCCGGCCGTAGCGTGGGCTCGCATTTCTAAATAGATTGAAATTGCAAAATGAAATCGTTTTGTTTCTTTGTTGTCTGGCTTTTCGTACCTTCACTTTCACCCGCACCGCCTCCCTCGGACAAATGCCAGTCATGTTTTTAGATTTCCCAGTCTGTGGCGACTAGCTTTGCTCCATTGCTTCGACTGCTGCAGAGCGTCGCGAAATAGGATATTGCTTGGATATTTTGCAAAATCTTAAAAGAAACTTTATGGGGGGGTTACGGTTATCAGATGTCTGTAAATATTTCTGGTATTTTATCAACCGTATTATTCTTCTTCTTCGTTTGGTAATTTTTCTTTGCTGTGTCTATCGTACCGGTTCGTATTTATCGGGCCGACTCCTAAAAGAAGTAAAGAAAAAAATACATTTTATTGCTTTTTAAAACCGTTTCTTCTATACATCTATGGAGTCTTCTTATTTTTTTGGGAATTGCATTCTTTCATTCTTTAAAAAATATTTAAAAATGCCACTTCCCATTAAAATGTATCGATTTTTACTGGACTTTTTTGGAATATCGATATACTGATATATTATCAACAACCCTAATTGTTGTTTTTCCACCTCTAACTAAATATATAAGTACAGAGATTAGTGCAAAATTGTTGTTGTTAGATTAGTTTTTGGCCATTGTGAGCCAGCAAATGCACTCAATTGGCACTACATGTTAAAGGATATTGGCTTCTCGCGGATCCGGATCAAATTGTCCAGGCAGCAGGAAGCGGGGCGTACCAGCGGTCGTCGAGAATCTGGGTGTGTATAGGTGTGCCTGTGTGTGTATGTGACGTGTTAGGCAAGCAAGAGAGCAAGGAAATTCCACCGAATAACGATCTTTCTTCCCATCCCATGGCAATGGCATCCAAAGAAGCAGAACGCCTCCCATTCAGCCACCGATAATTCTGCAATTGAGATAACACAGCCTTAATTTACGACACTAAAGTGTTTATCTGTCCAATTGTACTTGTACTATCTGACGTTGTGTCTTTGTGTGTGAGTGTTTGTGCGCGCGGGTGTGTGTGTGTGAGAGAGCTCTTCGGAGCTGATAAATTTTTCGCTTCGAATTTAACGAACAATGTAAGTGAAATTATTATGCAAAATAATGGTCTTGGCTTCCGCTGCGGCATTCTACATAGACCTGCATATATGGGTATGCATAAATATACATTGCTACCATATCTTCCATATCCACTGGCCGTGTGTATCACTGACGCGCGACTTCAGTTGGCGGCGTGCTTATATCATAAATTGATACATTAACTGCCGACTGTTGAATCTGAATCTGGCGTTGTTACAAAGAAATTATCTGAGAATTCAGTGACCCTGCCATGTCAGGCCGCGCATCCCACCGCGACGCCTCCGCCCCTCTTACTCGGATGACACGTTTGTAAAAACCGCATTTTACTCATCTTTCAGATTGGCTAAGGTTTAATGGATGACACATCACCATGGGAAAGCTACTATCAAAAATTTTCGGCAACAAAGAAATGCGAATTCTTATGCTCGGACTGGACGCAGCTGGCAAAACAAGTGAGTATCCCCAAAAACTAGGCCAGATAAAGTAATTCAAGCTGAAAGTAAACACCACCTGAGGGTCTACCACCACTTGGCATAAAACAAAAAATAATCCAGCTTAATACATTCATGTCTTATCACTTTATCAAGCCTAGACCGCCCGCTAATTATCAAACAAAACTAATAATTCAATTGTTTTCACAGCGATTCTGTACAAACTGAAACTAGGGCAATCAGTTACAACGATACCCACTGTGGGCTTTAACGTGGAAACCGTCACCTACAAGAACGTCAAGTTCAACGTATGGGATGTCGGTGGACAGGATAAGATTCGACCGCTCTGGCGACACTACTATACGGGAACACAGGGTCTTATTTTCGTAGTGGACTGTGCGGACCGGGATCGAGTGGATGAGGCGCGCACGGAGCTGCATAGGATAATTAACGATAGGGAGATGCGTGACGCCATCATTCTGATATTTGCTAATAAACAGGATCTGCCTAATGGTGAGTGTGCTTTAAGGCATTTGTAACAAAAAAAATGTATTCAAATATTAATGCGAAAACATTTTGCAGCAATGAAACCCCATGAAGTCCAGGAAAAACTAGGTTTAACTAGAATAAGAGATCGCAATTGGTATGTACAACCGTCATGTGCCACATCCGGCGATGGCCTAGCCGAGGGCCTGATTTGGTTAACGTCGAACCATAAGTTATGAGAGTCGTAATTGAGCATTTTCTTATATGTATGTATATGGCATGTATTATTCGAAGCGAAGCAAAAGCAAAATATTCTATTTTATTTATACGAAGAAAAAAAACAGAAAACAGAGAGAAAAACCGATACATTAAACCGCAAGCGCATAGTAAAGAAGCCCAATTCGTAACCTACGAACGTACATAACTTAACAAAAGTGTTAAAAATGGTATATAGAAGTCAGATTTAGATATATATAACGATTATATATATTCTCTCAATTAACCAACCAATATTCTCACTAGTAATGATACACATACAGAATAAACGAAGCATCAACAATATAAGCAACCAATAAATATGCGTAAAATAAATTATGCGTGAAGCACAGAGATATAAAGCAAAACATCAACGGAGATTAGTGTTAAGTAAGTTTTTCTTGTAAATTATATTGATGAGACATGTAAGCAATAAGTTGAAAGCTTGTTTATTGCAACTGTTACTATATATTTGACTTGAACAAGGGTAACGAGTCTTAAATAAATTGTAAATAAATATTCAAATTAAAGCCCATATACAACAACAAACAAAATAAATGAAAACACCGAACAAACGATTGAACAAACCTATAGATTGCTATTTAGATTAAAACTGAGTCTTCAAAAATATAAAGAAATAGTAACTGTGCCTTCCTCAATGTCTGTGTCTGGGTCTCTCATTATTTCCCCCATCCCCTACAGCTTCAATCGCCGAATTGGGCATTTACCAAACCGACCGGAAGGATCCTGGTTCCTGGATTCTGCGAGTCAACCGTCAACCTTCGGATTATCTCTGACCAAGACAGCCGGCCTGACTTCCGTGTCAGATAAATTGGTTCCGTTTTGTGCGCTCAATTCGAAAAGTAAACATGCCACATTCAGAGGAATACCCTTCGCGCCAGGAGGGTAGAATCTATTTTACCTGAGTATGAATGGTTAAACAGGGCGTGCCATAATCAACCATTGTTTTTAAGACTCTTATTCAAGCACTGGACCGCAGTCGATTTGGCTTTAATGGAAAAATGTATGTCTCAATTTCGGTTGCATTTGTATTAAGTATTTCATTACAATTTTTTTGGCTATCAGAATGTCACATATGCTGAAAATGTTTTCCTTTTGGGTAGTTATTGAAGTTTGGTATTAAATAAATTCTTCCGATAATATGTTCTATGACTTTAAAATCTATTTTGTTTTGATATTTTACAAGCACATGTGCATATATGTATAATTTTATAGCTCTTATCAAGACTTGAGGTTTGAGACACTGTTCAAATACTGAGATTAATGTCCGAAATTAAAATAACAAATGAATATATACTTGAAATTGATTGGATTGATGTATAATCCATTTTTATTTGTATTTTTAATCTTTTTATTAACAAAATAATGGGGAATATGGTAGTACAATAGTCCTTGGTAAGTCCTCGAATATTCCATTTAGTATACAATATCCATTCAAAATCCAAAAAGCAGAAATTCTATTTGCGAATGAAACTGATTCAATCGCAAATAATAAATATTCATAGATCATAAATCATAAAATTAGCATAGAACATGGTGTTTAATCCTTATTTTATTTGTCCAATTTTTAACAAAACAAAATTAAGTTTAAATAGACCGTTTAGTATCCACGATGGTGTCCATGGTGCTCATGGTGACCGTGGTGACCTCCAAATTCTCCTGGACCTCCAAATCCTGGACCGCCAAATCCTGGACCTCCGGGACCTCCATATCCTTGTGGACCTCCATATCCTCCTTGACCTCCATACCCTTGTGGACCTCCAAATCCTCCTTGACCACCATACCCTCCTTGGTTTCCATATCCTACTTGACCCCCTGGACGACCAAATCCTGATCCTGGACCTCCGGGATATTGAGGCATAGCTAAGGCAGCGCACACCAAAGCGAACAGCACAATCTTAAAAACATGAATATTAATATTTGCTTAATTATTTCCACTCTGAGTAAATCACTCACCAGAACCTTCATTTTGACTAAAATTTTGAAACTGAAGCTGCTGTACAAAAATTTCGTCTTATATAGCCGATAACCGAAAAAACTCAATAGCCAATATTTCGACTATTCGACACCGACTGTTCGACTAATCTTTTGGATTATATTGGTAAATAATGGGATTGGACGCCTACTGACTTTGCAAATACAAGATTATTCATATTCAAAATTTATCTGAATAGATACGTTTCAGAATAAGACTAGGTTCAGCTAGAGATAATAACTAATATTTCAAAAAGAATTCTAATACTCTCGCGAATACCCTATTGAAAACCCCAAAATCTAATTTTGATAAGAAAACCAAAACAACATAATTTTTTCGTAGACAGAGGAAGAAGAGCAATTGTTTTTATTTATTACATGTGTATGTATGAAAAATGTATATAATTTATATAAAATAGTTCGTTAATATTAATGAATATGAATAATCAGTTTTTGTACCTAATTTATTAGTGCTTTTATGGGGGCACGTGTCGACAATGAACAGAAAATGTTTTTCTATTCAAAAATTTTATAAAAAAACTAGAAAGAATATCTAAGATTGGCCGAAATTGACATACCCTTACCCTCTCCTAAGATATCTGTGGGATTGAATTTAATCGCTTGTATGAGATATAGACATTTTTCAAAAAAGTCTATAGCTATTATCTTTGGTAACACAAAACTTTTGTTATATGGCATCTACAGGATACAAATACTCGGCGACTATAGATAATTGTATAGAACGAGTTATTTAAATAGTGATTTGCAAAGTCCATACCAATCAAAGCTTTATAATTTCAGCCTACTTCTCCTCTTGGTAAATAAAATATTGAAACAATCTTTTAAATTAATACAAGTACATATATAAAGTAATGTTCAAGTACAATGTCAGGTTTTGTCTTTTCAGATAATGAGGCATGTAAATAAATTCAAAACTCAAGGTTAGTATTTTTTCGCTGGGGGAGATAGAACAAAAGTTGTTGCTTGTTTTTTTGGGTTGTCTGTACCTCTGACCCCTGTTGAGATTTAAATTCAATTCTATTAATAATTATGTGACAGACTCAAGCTAGAGGGATTCTAGGATCTAGAACTTTTAGCAAAATTCCTTTTTTTCGTAGTGTAGTGCCCGAATGATGTATAAAAGACTAGTCCATGAATTTTGATTGATTAAATAAAGTGCACTGCACTTGATGAGGTCCGCCACCGCCTTCTCTATGTTTTTTTGTTGTGGCGAAGGAAGGGTGGGAGGTGGGTGGTCCTGGGACTCGTCTGTGTGGGTGTATTTGTGTATGTATTTGAAAATGCGAAATGTCGCCGTTCAAATGTCAAGAGCCAACCCTGTCGCCACTGCTCGTATCGCTCGCACACGCTCCTCTCTCGCTTTCTCCCACTGTGAAAGGTATGCGGTACTTTTGATGCTGGACTATTATAGGATAACGGTGGTGCTGTCCTTTTTCTGTATCTACCCATCTCGCTCCCGCTCGCACGCTCCTCCCCCGGCGAGGAGGGCGTGGCTACGGTACACAGTGCTGTGACTTGCGTTTGTTCACTTTTGTCGCGAGCATAAACTTCCGCCCGCTGCTGCTCTCTCACTTGCTAATACCACTAACCATACAGCATATAGACAACCCATTTCATACAACGAAAATGGACGCGAAAATTTCTTGCGACAGGCCCCAGCAGGCCCCAGAGCGGATTTCTTACGCTCTTTTACGCTCATCGTTCGTTCATCTTACGCTCATTCTCGCATTAAATGTTTTCTGTTTCTCAGTCTCTAAACGGAGCGCGATGAAGAAGGTTGGCCTGCGCTTCGGTTGATCTTTGTGTGTATGCGTGTCACACATTCACATACACGGGTGTATGTGTGCGTGCGATTTCGTTTCGAAGCCAGCGCACAAAATTTTGATTTTTCTTACTTTTCAGGCTTGCTACCCTAACCAAATTCGGGTATTCGTTATTTGATGAAATGACGAAAGAAATTATATTATTTTTTATATTATATTTTTTATTATTTCAGCATACATTTTTAATTTATTTAGGAATAAGATTGAGTGTTAGTAGTAAATGATTACTGTATATATATTTTTACGAATCATTAAAAATGAATATGAGAAAATGAGAAATGAGAAAATTTCAGAGTATATTTCAGTCGGAGTCACTTAAAACGCCGATTGCTTTTAAGTTTTTGTTGTTCTGCAAGAGGCTTGTGCATGCCTACTCTAACGATGGAATGATTTTTAGGGGAGGGTGAAGACACGAAAACAGCTGATGGAATTGTTTACCTTTTTGTTTACAATTTTTCAGGCACTTGTTATTAATTTGGGTTATTGTGAGATTTAATTAAATTATTGTCGTCAATTTAATAATTTCCTTATATATTTTGGAACTTTAAAAAAGTCGCCGCTCGAATTTTTTACAGATATACATATATTTGTATATATATACATACATATTTACATTGGTTTTCTGATACCTCTTGCAGAACAAGAAAAACTTAAAGGATATAGGCGTTTTGAGTAACCTCCGACTGAAATATACTCTGAAATTTTCTCATTTCTCATTTTCTCATATTCATTTTTAATGATTCGTAAAAATATATATACAGTAATCATTTACTACTAACACTCAATCTTATTCCTAAATAAATTAAAAATGTATGCTGAAATAATAAAAATATAATATAAAAATAATATAATTTCTTTCGTCATTTCATCAAATAACGAATACCCGAATTTGGTTAGGGTAGCAAGCCTGAAAAGTAAGAAAAATCAAAATTTTGTGCGCTGGCTTCGAAACGAAATCGCACGCACACATACACCCGTGTATGTGAATGTGTGACACGCATACACACAAAGATCAACCGAAGCGCAGGCCAACCTTCTTCATCGCGCTCCGTTTAGAGACTGAGAAACAGAAAACATTTAATGCGAGAATGAGCGTAAGATGAACGAACGATGAGCGTAAAAGAGCGTAAGAAATCCGCTCTGGGGCCTGCTGGGGCCTGTCGCAAGAAATTTTCGCGTCCATTTTCGTTGTATGAAATGGGTTGTCTATATGCTGTATGGTTAGTGCTAATACTCTCTCCCTAAAGCCCCCACTATCATAAAACAACACGGTGGGAGTGGGCGGGAGAGAGGAGAAAGCACAAGGAGAGGCTGCGGCTTGGCAGGAGCCTGACTGTTGTATTCCGACATCTCATTTGTTACAAAGTTAATGTCGGCGCATTAAGCATGCCAAAAGCCCCCACAACAAAATCGCAAAATCGGAGTACGGAACGGAAAGCTCTCCTTTATTCCCAATGCCCCCACTTCCAATGCCAGGGCCCACGTTCCGGCAGAGCACAGCAGAACATTTATTGATTATTGGATTAGTGGACCTGGGGGTCATCTTAAATCACTTTGTTCAAAGCATTCAGGTCCATGAATAAATTACTATCAGTCGTGGGAAAGTGATTCAATAAAGTTGGATGAACCTGCCTGAAATATGGATTTTTTATAATCAAGTAGAGATATGATATCTATAAATATATTATACATATATAAACCAAGTCTGAAAAATCGTTTAAAATCGATATAAGCCGAATAATTTCTGTATAGGAGCCTAAAACCAAGGAGCTAATTTTAAAAATGTTCAACAAAATGTAAAACAATCTTTTAATAAATATGTTGTGGATATAAGATAAGACTCTAAATAAATAAATGTTTAAAAGAATAAAACAAAGAGGCTCGAAATAAAAAGTAAAAACACTACTGAAGAGCTTTTTTCTTTTAAAAAATTCTTTAAAAATAGAACTAGAAGAAAATCGATATCTATAAATCTTTAAAGCATCTATATCCCAATAGCACAAAAATCATAATCGTTTAAAATAGATAACAAGCGATTATATCTTACATTTATCTGTATTTCATTAAAACTATTTAAACAAGTTAAATATAATGTTTCCAAACTTGTAAGATTTGACTTGTTTTTGGTAAAAATCATTTACAACCAAAAAAAACGGGATGAAAATAGAAAATATAGATAGAAATAGAGAAAATAAAGATTTTTTAATACTTTCAAAGGTACTGTAAATAAACAGGTTTTCAATAAAATAAAATAGAAAATAAACTAATAAAAAGCTAAATTATTGACTACAAGCTTCAATTACCAGTTCGGTTATAATTAAAACATATTTTAAATAGAACTTCAAAAATTTTCTGAAGAATACCCAACGAAAAGGTTTATGCTATCTGTAATGCTGCCAACTCAGTTTAAATAGTTTTAGTTCATTATTCTGCATTTATATAGACTCTCTAGGATAGACAGCATAAAAATGATCTTGATGTACATAAAAGCTACATGCAACGCAGAAATGCAGATACAGATACAAAAACCAGATACTGGCTACAAGATAGAGGTATATGTGTGCCAACAAGCACACAGAGGGCAGAAAAAAAAAAACAATTTTCCGTGCAATTCAATTACAGTTAACTGGGAGATGGCAGCTCCAGTTGCGACAAAGGGGGGGAAGTTGCGACGAAAACTGGGGGCATCCTGGCAGGACGGGGACTCCATGGCAAAAGCACCAACATCACAAAGGTATTATAAAACAAAAACAAAATGTCAAAACCCAAGACGATTATACGAGCGCCAGCCGCGCAGCTGCGTCAGAATGTTGTGGGTGTAGTGGCGTGGGCTCCATTGCTTTATGCTCCTCCTTAACTCCTACTTTGGCAGGATTTCCTCATTCCGTTCGCATATCCTTCCGCCTCTACTACTGCCACCGTGCTTGTCATGATGGCGGCCGAGCGCTCTCTGCTCTTTTGAGTTTGCTTGTGTGTGTGCGCAGAGAGCGCAGAGCCGGGTGTTTATTGGAGATTCCGATTGTGGCTTGGCTTACCCCGCACACGCACACACAAACGGGCAACGATGCCGCAGCATCAAGAAGGAACGAATCAAAGCAAGCCAACAAGCAAATGCGCCACCAGAGTTGCCACTAAAAGTCTTCGTCCTGGGCGCAACAGTGGGCGGCGGGTGGGTGCGGTTATCCCCTGTACGTTGTTGTTTCAGCTGCTGCTTTGCTCGCTCTCTGCTCTCTGCTCTTATTGCTCTCGGTGGGTGGATGTGGATGTGGCTTTGATTGTGGATGTGCTCCTTGCTCTTATAGTGGTGTTTGCATGTGTGTGTTCGTTTTGCTTTTTGTCCTCACAGGCAGCAAGAAGGATTCTCTGCCCACTCAGCGACCGCGGATTATATCCACCGATTTTTTTCCTATTCCGGGGTTGGCCGGATGGCTGGTTGGCTGTATTTTGCTCCTGGAGTGGACACACATCACTGTTTAGCTGCTGTCATGCTTTTATGATAAATCTGGAATCGGACATCGAGACGTTAACATCATCATCGCCGCACACTCGCAATCCCGTCGGATCGGATCGGATAGCTTTGGTTCAAATCAGTGCAAGTCAGGACCTCTTTTGCCGTCGTGAAAGTTGCCAACAATAAAAACTATGGTGCTTAATTAAATCTTGTGGAAAGTGTCACTTAAAAAATAATATTTAATCATTTCTACTGCTGCAAATCAAAATTAATCAAGAAACCAAAATGAATAAGGAAGAAAGTTTACCCGAAACGCGTCCTTCATCACAAGGTAATTAAAAGAAATGAAACAAAAAAGTGCTTGAAATTCAAATCAGGGACAACAATTAACTTTATAACCCAAGTTTGTAAGGATAAAAAGGATAAGTACATGTATTATTTAAACATGGAAGTGTAGAAAATGCCATGAATGACGTACAATTAGGGTCTGTATCACGTATAAAGTGAAATGGCTTGCTAAATTTAATTACCTTATTATTATTATTATTTTTTTTAAGGAAAATTATGGTAAATTAACTCTTGATGGTCTTAAAAAAAAAATGCTCGGACCATAAAGTTTTTCTTGAAGTTCTATAGCTGATTCGTTGAGCTTCGTAGAGCTGATTCTGATTATTAAATCCATTACAACCTGTTTTATAGACTTTTCTTTAAAAATAAAAAATCAATTTTAGTTTCATTTCTTACTTAATTACTTTAATTAGGATTCCTAATTAAAGTAATTAAGTAAGTAATTAAGTCCTAATTTAGGAATCTTACATTATTTTTACACGTAAATTACTTTTTCATGCGACAGAAAATATTGCCTACTTCTTGGGGCTCTCCAAGACTGGAAATGGAATATTTATTTGTTTGTACTTTCTTTCAAGAATATTATGTTATTAAAATGTTTTAAATTTGTTGTCGGCTAAATTAGAAAGTTAAATCTGTAATAATTTTCACCTTTGGCAGATTTCCTTATAAAAAAATCAACCAAACTGCCAACCATTGATCTTAAGCAAAATCTCAAGGATAATATGCTCAAAGAGCTCACCCATTCGAGGCTTCGACTACTTCCAATTTTAATTAGCTATTGACGAGTAACGAGTTATTCGCAAATAATCCTAATCCTAAATCGAATCCTAGAAGAACACTTGTACAAATTAAGTCGATGCCCAACTTCTCGATGGAGTGGCCCATGCACGAGTGGCCCAACAAATTCAATTTGTGATAATCACCAAATTGAATTAGAGTCCGAGTCAGGCCGCCAAAAATTTCTAAAATTCATAACACAACCGGCAGCGCCCTTTTAACACCATTGTGTGTAAAAGTACGCCAAAGTGAATTTCAACGAGCTCGTAAAATTAACAAAGACGGAGCACCCGGAAAATGCAAGCATATGACGCTAATCCGCCGGCATTAGACCGCAGCCGTGGTGTGCCAGTTGGTCCTGGTTCTGGTCCTTGTCCTGGTGCTGGTCCCCAGCTTTGAAATCTTTCTGACTTTGTTCTGATATCCAGCCTCCAGATACCCCCGATACCCAAAAAGGTCGAGCGCACAGGCAAGTGGCGAGTGTAACAAATGTGTCCTCGTCCTTGGTCCTGTGTGTGTCGAGGGTTAAGTGCATCAAAAAATCAGTAAGGAAACTACAATCAAATTAGGGTGTGATGGCAAAACAATCGTCCCCCGAGGCAAATTTTGCGCACAGATTGCTCGGCACGCTCGGCCCGAGTCCTGAGAGCCGTTTGGCTTAATGGCACCCTAATTGAATGTGTAAATATATTTGCGGATTACAGGGCGTCAATGTCGCCACGCAGGGATAAGATCGTCCTGCTTCCTGGTACCAACTGACAAATTGAGATTTAATTTAAATGAACTACATAAGTGATTTTTTATTGCATTACCCCATTTGCCAATATTTATACCCTTGCAGAGGGTATTATAATTTTGTCCAAAAGTGTGCAACGCAGTGAAGGAGACATCTCCGACCCTATAAAGTATATATATTCTTGATCAGGATCACCTCCTGAGTTGATATGAGCATGTCCGTCTGTCCGTCTGTCCGTCTGTCCGTCTGTCCGTCTGTCCGTCTGTCTGTCTGTCTGTCTGTCCGTTTCTACGCGAACTAGTCTCTCAGTTTTAAAGCTATCGTCTTGAAACTTTGCACACAGCCTTCTTTCTTTTGCACGCAGTATATAAGTCGGAACGGCCCGGATCGGCCGACTATATCCTATAGCTGCCATATAACTGATTGATCGGAAATGGTATAACTTTGACGTTTTTAAAGTTAGAGAGTTCAAATTTGACATGAGAGCATTTTTTGGCAAAACATTACGACATGCCAAATTTCATAAGGATCGGCCGACTATATCCTATAGCTGCCATATAACTGAACGATCGGAAATGACCCAACTTTTGTGTTTTTGAAGATAGAAGTTTGGGATATTTTTAGGTTTGGTTTTTGTATTATATTAAATTGGGTTATATTATCATATTTTCATAAGGATCGGCCAACTATATCCGATGTTTGCGAAATATATCCGGTTTTAACTGCAAGGGTATATAAACTTCGGCTCCGCCCGAAGTTAGCTTTCCTTTCTTGTTTTAATTGAAGTACACTCTTTGAAAAAAACTTTACAAGTTACAATGTCCTTTTTATTTTTTGTAGAGTTACACAGCCCCCAGCGACATTGTTATACCCCGCCGCCAGCCCCGATGCACGGACAGCCGCCTCCGCCGACAGCAGCGGGAGTGGGGCCGCCCCCACAGCAGCCACCTCCTCTGCCCGCCGTTCCCACTGGGCCGGCGGGTCGATTGCTAGGCTGGAACCATAGTGCTGCTGCAGCGGCTGCAGCTGCGGCGGCAGCAGCGGCGGCCAACTCCTCGAATCACTCCTCGGGCGGAGAACAAAGTGCTCTGACTAGGGTCAAGGGCCAGAATCTGGGTCTTATCTGCGTTGTTTGCGGCGATACTAGTTCTGGGAAGCACTATGGCATCCTAGCGTGCAACGGCTGCTCAGGATTCTTCAAACGCAGTGTGCGAAGGAAACTGATCTATCGGTAAGTAGGCTTAGCAAGTATATAATCATTGATCTGTAAATAAAAATATCAAAAATATTTTAAATAACTTTTTTCTAAAAATATACTTTTACCTTTAAAAATACCCAACCATTTTCAAAATATGCAGTAATGCCCCTAAATCCAGCTATTAGCATTTTTTATTTCATTAAATGTTGCAACATTTGTCCAAAGTGGGTTGGACCGGTGGGTGGGATGGGCTGGTGTGCCCGGAGACCCGTCTGGCGGATTACGAGGCTCAGCCAAATTCATTACAATTATTCAAATCTTTGGGATTTGAGCGTCAACTTTTGAATGCGCATATTTGCCCTCGCGTTGACTTTGTGCCCAGGATGATGGGATGGCATCATGTGCGGATCGGAATCCAGTGCCCACCATTCTACCCCAATTGCAGCTTTGAATGTAATTGAATTTAAAGTGATTTCGTTAAAAGTTTCAACTTGTCTTTTTTATTTCCCCAAAGAAGGACGCAGAGCTGCTGGGAAATGTGTGAGAATATTTAGAAAAAAAAAACCTTCAAATCAAAAGCTGTATTCTTCTTTTTCAATTATCATTAAATCAGAAATATATCCAATAAGCCGATGCGACAGAATCAATGTCGGCAAACATAAAGTTATGATGCAGTAATGTAGATTCTGTTCTGCGGCTTTCCGGCAGAGGCGGTAAATCACAAACGTCGAAATCTCTATATCCGTGCGGTCCCATGAGATTGATACGGAGGGCTTAAGCGCAAAACACTTGGCCAAATGTGACCCGGCAAAGATGCCACAGACTGACAAAGCCAAATCGCAACAAAGTCAAAAAAAGGGGGCGGTTCGGTGTGGCTCTAAATAAAATAGAGCAACATCCTCCCCTGGCTGGCTAAACGAGGGAAACACGACATTGGAGAAAAAAGGATACCAAGGGTCCTTTTCCAGGTCCTGGCCCTGGTGCCAGTATAGTATATATTCACCGACGTGACTGGTGTTTCAATGGCCGTCAGAGTCTATCTGGCCTAAGGCTGGCTGGGGCCCATTTTATAGGTTTTGTCGCCTTTCTTTGTCGCCTGCGGTGGTCCCATTAAGCCGTTTTCAATTATAATCAATTGCTTCCAATCACAACTTTCCAATCTAGCTAAAGAAATGGTCCCCTCACAATCGAATTTGTTCGGAAAATAATTTCAGAAATTTTTTTATAGCTTAATAATATGGAAAATTTTGGCAAAGATTCAATACACGTAAAGGCATGTTGTCATCTGGAAACCCTAAATCAGTGGTCGGCACCCCAATACATTGAATTGATTTTACCGCATTAGTGTTAGTAACGAATAGCAGAAAGTAGGCTGTGAGCATGACATTTCACACATGTATGCTGTGTGTGTGTGGCAGAGCTCGGGCAGAGAAATTTCCTATGCCCCCGAGATAGGGCCGTGCCGACCTCTGCCCTAAATAAAAAGGTTTAGTTAACTATTGTTTTTATACCCTGTCTGAGGGAATTCTAATTTTGGTCTAAAGTGTGAAACGGAAAGGGTATATATTCTCAGATCAGAATCACAAGAGTTCATAAATCTGTCTCAGTTTTGAAGCTATCGACATCAAACTTGGCACACACCCTTCTTTTTTAAATTTTGTTTTGCTATTCTAATATTTGCTAAATAACTGTACTATATAATCCGACATATAGTTTCTTGGGTATATAAGCTTACGTTGCTTGTTAAACAACTTAATCCATCTAAAATTTTTGAAGGAAAACATGTTTGTTTATAAATTCAACCTCAAAATGTAAACTCTCGTATTTCTATTGTCTACTTTTAAGTCGCCCAGAAGTCAAATAGTGACGAAGAATACAATTTTACAGTTTATTTGCGTATGATAATATTCCAAAAGATGCTTGAATTTGGTAAATATACAATAAAATATTTAAAAAAAATAAATTTAAAAAATAGCGCCCTCCTCCTCGATTCTCATAGGTTGCACTTAACCAGGCCCGAAAAATGATTAATCTGAAAACTGATCCGGAAGGGTATTCCAGGAATAGTTGCTTGGTAAGCGCTGATGTGTTCATCATCTATTCCTGGAGCCTAATGGGCTTCCACCAAGGCACTATTATTTGATTAGTTTTGTGGACACCAAAGGATACAGTCGCATAGATACACACGCACCTAATATTTCAGATTTGTTTTCGAAAACCGGACATTTGCATACAAAATACTTAAATTATTTACCAGCCAGGGCGGGTGGGTGTATCTCAAAGATACATTAGGCTAAGTGCTGCGCTGGCAGAGGCGCCAAAAAATACATAAAATGGCAAGGATACGAGCAGTCGTCTCCCATCCTTTAGGAGCGTTCGCCATCTTTGAGTTTTGGCGCAGGCTTAGTGAGTGAAAAGGATGGAAGGCGATGACTAGGCACTGTCTCTGCTGAAAGTGGTGCGATGGCGATGGTGGCTTGGTGATTTTGTGGTTCGATGGGTGGACTGTGGCACTCTGCCCTGATTTGATTAAAGGTCCACAAGTGCACAAAGGACGAATGGTCGATGAGACGGAAGGGCGGCAGGTCCTTGTATCTGCCAGATTCTGAAGTGCTTTGTGGCTGGAATTTCCGCTCGCTAGATGCTTTGTCTTCTATCCGGGATTTGACAAATGTTGCAATTTCTGACACTACAAATCTCGTTATTTGCAGCCGGGCTAACGCAATTATGTTTCGGCACTATCTTAATCTATTTTTGATTTCTATTTTCAGCTGCCAGGCGGGAACTGGACGCTGCATTGTGGACAAGGCTCACAGGAATCAATGCCAGGCCTGCAGGCTCAAGAAGTGCCTTCAAATGGGAATGAACAAGGATGGTGGGTACTTATCTCGAATCGCTTCCAACTCGCTCTAATGAACTGAAGCCGGTTTAATTGGTCTTTAACAGGACCTCAAAAGCCCGGGCACACGTGCCATACTTTGTTTTCCGTTTTCCATAAATGTCAGGCGGGCAAAGGTATCTGTCTCTCGGTTACCCCTTTCCCAGGCTATAACCCCTCGAAAGAGCAACCTCACCGAAGGGGGTGGTTCACCTCTGCGGAGCGGGTGCTCCTTATTTACATATTGCTCACCCAATTGATTTGTTACCTGCTGGTAGTGTTGTCTTTGACAGATTTTATGCAGCTTAAGCCCTGCCACTTCAATGAGCTCCAATTGTTTATTTTGACAGAAACTTTCGCCATTGTCTTGATGTCGGCAACGACTTTGAAAATGAAAAGGACAATGAATAAGTAAACAGAGAGGTATTATTCAATCAGCTTCAGGTCAGGAAAATTTATTGAATCTGAATAATAATTTCTGGACAAGATTATAATGCCAGGAAAGTATCCTTAAGGAAAACTAGATAGATCTGTGTCCTGGGATAGTATTTTAGTTTTAGGTCCTAAAATTTAAAGACTAACATTTCCAGCAGAAGGACACTACATTTTCGACTCAAGAATCTTGATCTTCTTGGCCAAACATTTTAGATTATAGATTATCTTCGCTAGAATTCATTGAGTAACCTCCTCTGGTGATTACCTAATATGCCTTTTCTAAGAACTCTTACCATTCTTAACCACCTCTATTATTGCTTCCAAAGTATATCCTATAAGTGATTTATGTGTCGCGAATGCAAAGTACTAGTAGTCACTGTTTGTGGATCCGCCATTAGCGGTCAAGTAGCTTTTGTGGCAAGGACTCATTGTGCGGTGGAAGTTGCATAAACAAATGGCGGAACAATTCGTAGGCGTGAGCGGCACGTGACCACAAAACCAATTTGCCATCAATGGCTGTGTGGGCCGCGTTTTCTTTCCGCAGGATGCTGCCATATACGAATTTGTGTATGCGTATGCTGATGATGAGAAAATTCGTGGCACACGCGGATGTGCCGCCTGATGTGGCGGCGATACCTGCCGAAGCGAGCCTGAAGCAATTTTGTCAGTGTGACATTTCCTCATTACGGACACGTCCCAATCACCTCCACGGCCCATGGGCGTGTCCCGACTAGACTTTGAGTGCTCATGTTAGTTGCATTTGTTTTCCAATTACAGCGGTGCAAAATGAGCGACAGCCCCGCAACACGGCCACTATACGGCCGGAGACGCTGCGGGAGATGGAGCACGGGCGGGCATTGCGCGAGGCCGCTGTGGCCGTCGGAGTTTTTGGGTGAGTGATGTGCACTGAAAAAAGTATATTCATAGTATTAATTGGTCTTTGAGTTTATTCTAATAATGGACTTTTTTTTTAGCTATATTATTTAAAGTATAGTACCCTCATTATCCTTCTTTGATTTATAATTATTTTATTTTTTTACAAACTGATATTTTTGGTCAGTGTTTTATGTGCATGTGGTGTGGCCTAGCTGTCATTTGCATAACTCTCTATCTAACCACCCGAAATCTGCGGGCAACTCCAATTTGCAGACCACCCGTGCTACTGTCGCCACCCTGCTACGGATCCGGACTCCTGCCCCCGCCATGTGAGTTCTTTCGCAGGATAATAGTTTGATAGTTTCATAACCGAATCTTGTGAACAGCTCTGGGCAGTTTGCCGACGGGACGGCTGCTGCACCACAACCACCTCACCTCCTCGATGCAGTTGGCGGCGAATCACATGGGAGCCGGCAGTTTTCCCATGTTCACCGCCGGCGGCGGAGGCGGCGGGGTGCACCACTCGCCTAAGGAAAAGCCCTACGGCCTGGAATTGGGTAGCAGTGGCAACATTTCCCACTCGACAAACTCCAGCAGCAATCACTCCATCGATCCCAGTTCTCCGGCGCCGGAGGCCGGCAACGAGAAGAACAATGCCGGCGGAAGTGTCTCCTCCATTAGCTCCTCCAGTCCCACAATGGAAAACGACAATGATGGTAAGTGATACTTAGCTTTTCCAAAGGTCAACCTAATTATTTAAATATTTGCAGACGACTCCATAGACGTCACTAATGACGAGGAGCCGCACACGGTCAGCAGGTCCGACTCCAGTTTCATCATGCCCCAGTTTATGTCTCCAAATCTGTACACCCACCAACATGAGACGGTCTATGAGACGAGTGCCAGGCTGCTCTTCATGGCCGTGAAGTGGGCCAAAAACCTGCCCAGCTTCGCCCGTCTATCCTTTCGTGATCAGGTAACCAAATCATAGTGAAAAATAAAGAAAACCTTTTAATTTTTGTATAATCTAGGTGATCTTGCTGGAGGAGTCGTGGTCGGAACTGTTCCTGCTCAATGCCATACAGTGGTGCATTCCCCTGGATCCCACAGGCTGTGCCCTTTTTTCGGTGGCGGAGCACTGTAATAATCTGGAGAACAACGCCAATGGCGACACTTGCATAACCAAGGAAGAGGTACGTAAAGCTCCCTAGGAGAAGCAATAGTTCCATTTAAAAGATGAAATATATATCCCAATAGCTGGCAGCGGATGTTCGGTCCCTGCACGAGATTTTCTGTAAATATAAAGCAGTCCTGGTCGATCCGGCAGAATTCGCCTGTCTCAAGGCCATAGTCCTCTTCAGGCCGGAGACCCGTGGGCTAAAGGACCCTGCCCAGATTGAGAATCTTCAGGATCAGGCTCATGTAAGCTTAAAAACAAAACAAATTAGCTGGAATTGGCATAAAATACTTAATTATTACCAGGTCATGTTGTCGCAGCACACAAAGACTCAATTTACGGCCCAGATAGCCAGGTTCGGAAGACTCCTGCTCATGCTGCCACTGCTCCGGATGATCAGTTCCCACAAGATCGAGGCCATTTACTTCCAGCGCACCATTGGCAATACGCCCATGGAGAAGGTGCTCTGTGACATGTATAAGAACTAGTTAACTTGTGCTTTAAGTTATTCAAATATTAAATAAATATGTTTTTGTGTCTTGAATGTTAATGACAAGAGGAGAGATTGTTTATTAGATATTTTGTTAAACCTAGTATCATTTTCCCAGGCAGACAGTTACAAAAGTGTTTATCCAAGTGTTTTATAGTGAACCATCTGCAGAATAAACTCTTCAAAGCTTCCATATAAGCAGTGGTTTTCGAATAAAAAAGTTAGTATTATTCCACCTGCACTGGCGGACTTGACTCCTGAGAATGAGTCGCTGGGCCGTATGCCTGGTTATCCTTGGCCTGATCCTAGAATGCCATTGCTACTTGGACGAATACGATGAATACATGAAATTCAAACATGAGAGAGGTTTGGAGGCTCTTTTTTAGTTATAAGTTAATTTATCTTAAAACCCATTCGGCAGATATTTGTAAGATGCCAGTACGCCATGGAAACTGTCGCGCCAAGGCCTATTCCTGGTATTACGACTTCAAAAATAAGACTTGCGTTAGATTTTTGTATTCCCTCTGCGGAGGCAACTCGAATCGTTTCATCACCAAAGCGGAATGCGAAGAATTTTGCTTAAAGGTATTGTTAATATAATAAGTAAGTGTTACAAATTTAACCCATTTTAAATTCTAGGATTGGTGACCTGCTTCCGCATTCTCCTCCGCATTCTCCTCCGCAAACTATGGAATAGATTTGTTGAAAATTTGATGGCTTTCTGGTTTTCAAAAAGCAGTTTATCGGTTCAGGCAGCAGTCGCCTGTGAATTAAGTTAATTATGCATATCATAGTATGTACATATCGCCTTAGTTGGTCGAAAGCCAAGTTTTTCTCGGCCGCTCGACTTCCAAGGGCTTATCTTTAGATTCGCAATATCCAGGGCCGTAGCTAGCATGGGGCAGGTGGGGCGTTGCCCCAGGGCCCCCGAAGGGAAGGGGCCCCGCCGGGGCAAAAGACTTCCGTATAGGGGGCCCCAAATTTACTTGTTGCCCTGGCAATATCTATGTCGATCCGCCCTCTCGGTTATTAGAGAACCTTAGCTTCGCAAGCTCTAGTCGGGCCGCACTCTCCGTACGTACATATGTCACTGAACCATAAACTGGTCTATCTTTAGATCATCTAGTTTCATCTGCAAGCATTTAAATATCTAATTTCGGACTATTTTATTTTTGAGCGGATTATTGTCATTGAAAAATTGCAATCACCAAACACAGTTTTAATCTTAATTTTTTTCTTTTGGATAGATGTATTAATAAAAGTGTAAATGTTAAATAATAAAAATGTTTTTGTGAATGTGTGAATGGGAGAAGGGAGAAGGAATCTCCCTGACTCCCTAGAGTATATTTTATAATCTTGAACAGTATTAACAGCTCAATACCAGCGGCAGTCTGTCCTAAAAAATTCTTATCTTGCGTATAATCTTGAATATTTTTTATTAAATTTTATGAAACTTTAATAACAATATTATTTAATTTTGATTATTTCATTTTGGTTCAAAAAACCGTCATTTGGTTCACCGCTCACACGTACATATTGCTATGCCACAACTAATTCAACATTAGGTTCGTCTTTGGACTGAAAATACAAAAAGCAATAATTTGTTTATTAGCTTACACATGTTGTATGTATATAATATTAGTTTCAGTAAACCTACCCAATCTATTTCATCTATTTTTACGTCGTAGTCTTGGTTGCCAGTATCATATACCATTTTCACGGAGTATGCATTACAAATAACCAGGAGAATTCCCACACACAGGAGGATGGCAAAGACGATCTTTGGTGACATGTTTACTGCTTCGAGATGTTTTTTGGACTCACTAAAGATTGTCTTGGCTCTCGGCTTATAAAGCCTTCTCTCGAACCCCGAAACCTAAGGGGGTTTGCCAACTTAGTGTATCGGAAAAATCAATTGCTAATGAATTAGCTTAAACATTTTTTAAAATTTTAGTTGAGTTTAATGTTAAACGTTTAAGTTAATTTAAAGTTTTATAGGCTTATATGCATATATTTAATAAAATTTAAATAAAAATAAAAACTAATGAAACACATATGTGTTTAGGACTTTGCCGACAAAATAACACTTTAAGTTTACTTAATATGCTTAACTATTTACTGCATGCATTTAAATATCTAGGTTCAGACATTTTTATTTTTAAGTGGATTATTGTTATGGAAAAATGGCCAAACACAGCCTGAAACCTAATTTGTTGTGCTGTGTGATATTGTTGAAATATTCTTTTAAAAAATTAAAATTTGGTGGCTGAAAATATAAGCAATAATATTTTATTAGCTTACACATATGTATGAATCTAACATTTGTTTCAATAAACCTACACAAGATTCTCCTATTTCCAAGCTCTGGGTATTACAAATAACTAGGGGAATTCCTGAAGATTCCTATTAGATTTAAAAAATCTATATCTTCTGAAAAAAACAATTAGCTTGTACATGTTTTAAATTTTAGGTGAGTTCCACGTTATAAATTTTAGTGAATTTAAAACAAATATATGTTAAAATTAAAATTCAAATAAAAATATAGAAAATAATATTAGGCGCCCACCTTTTCTATTATTGTATAACAGAGGTCGGCACGGCCCTATCTCGGGGGCATAGGAAATTTCTCTGCCCGAGCTCTGCCACACACACACAGTATACATGTGTGTAACGTCATGCACACAGCCTACTTTCTGCTATTCGTTACTAACACTAATGCGGTAAAATCATATCAATGTATTGGGGTGCCGATCCCTGTTGTATAACCATTTTCATTTCTTGGAACTCGACCGAAATTTTTTGATTATCTCTTATCAACTTTTAATATGAACATTTACGACTTATTGGAAAAAATTGCACTTACGAACATATATGATATTTTATATTTCTATAGCCATTCAGAAGCTATTTCCATCATTGTATGTGTCAATATATATATAGAACTAGAAAGGTGTCTACAACTTAATATTTATATATTCCAGAATGTAAAAAATCTTAAGAAGTAGATAGGAAAAAACATGATTTAAAGCCACCTGCTACCCATTCAGTAAACCTGCTGTCCAGGTGCTCAAACCAGGTGCCGTTCTGACTTATATACTGCGTGCAAAGGAAAGAAGGGTGTGTGAAAAGTTTCAAGTCGATAGCTTTAAAACTGAGAGACTAGTTTGCGTAGAAACAGACAGACGGACAGACGGTCAGACGGACAGACGGACAGACGGACATGCTCATATCAACTCAGGAGGTGATCCTGATCAAGAATATATATACTTTATAGGGTCGGAGATGTCTCCTTCACTGCGTTGCACACTTTTGGACAAAATTATAATACCCTCTGCAAGGGTATAAAAATAATTAGCTTGTACATGTTTTAAATTTTAGGTGAGTTCCACGTTATAAATTTTAGTGAATTTAAAATAAATATATTTAAAATTCAAATAAAAACTATAGAAAATAATATTATTGTACCATCTGTATTATATGTTTGTACATATAAAACATATTTTGTATTATTATATAACCATTTGCATTTCTTGGAACTCGACCGAAATGTTTTGATTATCTCTTATCAACTTTTAATATGAACATTTACGGCTTGATATTTTATATTTCTATAGCCATTCAGAAGCTATTTCCATCATTGTATGTGTCAATATATGTATATAAAACTAGAAAGGTGTCTATAACTTAATATTTATATATTCTAGAATGTAAAAAATCGTGAGGAACAGATAGGAAAAAAATGATTTAAAGTCAACAGCTATCCATTCAATAAACCTGCTGTCCAGGTGCTCAAACCTGACGTTTTTTGTAAGGAGATATTGTAAATATATATTTGTATAAAAAACTGTTTTCTATTTGCAGCAAAGTAGAACAGATATATACTCTTCACGAGTCCTATATAAGACGGTTTTTGTTGTTAATAAAAGTCAGTTACCCAAAATACTTCTTCCAAAATGGGTGCTTTGGTTTTCCGCTTAATATTGGTAGTCCTTATTTTAGCAATGGCTGGAGCCAAGAAAATAGACTGGGAAATGCATCATAGAAGAAAAGGTTTTATTTATATGCAATATAATCAAGATTATGCAATAATTAAAACGTTTTAAAATTTCATATTGCAGCTATTTGCTTACAACCCGTTGTTTATGGGACTTGCAGAGTTGGGGTTAATGCCTGGCATTACAAAATCTCAGAACATAAGTGTGTGAAGTTTGTTTATCGTCTTTGTGGAGGTAACCAGAATCGGTTCTACTCAAAGAAGGAGTGCGAGGAAATGTGTGACCTGGTGAGTTTAAATCTTTTTAATTTATTTACGAGAGATTATGTTTCTTTCTTTCCTTTTACAAATTTTAGCCTTGGATTATTACCCCAGATTTTGAGTATTTTGATGGTCAAAAACGTTATCGCCAATGATATTTTAAATCTAAAAAGCCGCGAAAAGTTCAAATTTGTAATACATATGGCAACATTTGCCAGGGCTGGCATCAACGTAGTACCTCTAACGGCCGTTAGGTGGTGTGTGGAATAAGCATCGCCCTCCGTTGTTAGAATAGGTAAGACCATACAACAGCCGAGAAACAATAGATGGCGTAATTATTTTGATAAGCACTTGAATTATATATGTTCTCGATCTTATATGAATCAAAGAAACTGTATTTTATTACTACAAAGAAATGTACAAAAATAGTAAAAATAAAATTTAAAATAAAATTTAAATAAATAAATTTTAGTGACACTAAAAACAGCCAGTAACCCAAAAAATAATTAAATTTAAGTGTTTTATTTAACATAAGTAAGCTTCAGCAAAAGCTTATAAATTCTATATTAATCCTCTATATTTTCAATCATTTCCACAGATATAAGTAACTATATAGGATCGAAATATATATGTTTTATTTTTGGCAAAGGATTGCGCCTTCGCATTCAAACCGGCTCCAAATCCTTCAACCCTGAGGGGAGCCCTTTTGAAAAACCGGTCACACTCTGGTAACAGGCTCAGTTTTGGCTTTGGAGCCGAAGCTGGGTGGTTTGATAGTGAGTGATGCTAAAGGAATGCGTCGCCCAAAATAGAGGAGAAAAACGCAGCCGCCTGTCTCGCGGAAAAATGTGCAATTAAATCGCCAGCAATGGCAAAGTTCAAGTGAAACATCTTTAATGATTTAAAAAAAGAGCCGTCAGTCAGCAGATATATCCTCCTGGCAAAGGTGTGTGTGTTTGTGATGTCTTACTTGGGAGTACGTGCTTGTGTTTGGGTGTGGGTGCGCGCACAACAAAATATAAATAAAACTTCACGTCAATGTCATTGGGGAGGAGTGTTGATAAAAAAGCGCAGCTAAAGGCCTTTAATTACCGCTGCAGTCAATAAATCATCAAACGAAAATATGAAAGCATCTCAGGAATCCAGTGTATAAAATTAGAACCAACAACAACATCGTAGGCTAGCCAGGCCTGGCAGGAAAGACACAAAATATCCAAAAGAGCGATATACATACATCCACGTCGTAAAGTGCGTCCGAACGGTAAGGAGAATTCGCCTTTTGCTCCCCACTTCCTGCACATATGCTTGGGGCAACAACAACGCTACGCACTCGTGGGGATGCTGCGGAAGAGAGAGCGTGGGAGCTTGCTAAGCTCTCTTTTATTTCCTGGCTCCCACGGGTGCTCTCTTTCATGCACTCGGAAAAAATTACGGTCCTTGGGCATTGCGAATTCTAAAAGTTAAGGGAATTAAGGAATAATGTTTGAGAGTTCAGGAGTAGCTGGAGAATTATTTAAATTATGGGACTAATTAATTGATTAAATCATATAAAAAATGTCCTTTATTAAAAAACATTTAAATTATGTATCTATTCGTGAAGGATCCTTGTTAAAAATGTATTTTTTTAAGATATTTCAGAAACATAGCACTTTATAGGCTTTATAAAACTAAATTATTTAAAATTTCGGAAACTAAATTAACTTACAAAATTAAATGAAAAGCAAATTTTGAAATAGATTTTAAATCCTTACATAATAAGGACTCCTCACTCCAAAGAGCTACTTACGAAAACCCAAACTCAACAAAGGACATCAACTTCCTTTGATAAAATTCCTTCAGGTAAATGGGGGTTGGTTTTCTCCAAGTGCATATGGCGAGAGAGTTTATACTTTCCCCGCTCTCGACTCACTTACTGGGTTCGACTCGGAACTACACCAGACTCGGAATTTTACTTAATCGCGGACCACCGAACCGAGCGGACGTACGTCGGTTCTCATTCGAACTTCGAGCGCGCGTGTTTATGAAATTCAAAGCCGAGATCGTTGGATCCTGGTGGCATAAATGCGGGATTGAGAAAGATACTACCTTGCCTTACTTTCAGTTTCGTGCGATATTACACCAGCAGAATATTAGTTCGGGGCCTGAGTGAAAATCGAAGTGAAGTGCCGAGAGGATAATGAGTGTAAGCGGAGACATGACGAAAAACTAAAGGCGATTAGGTTACAGATGCCCCAAACACAACACACAGTGCGACAAACACACGCACACGTGAAGGGATAACGGCAGGATTCGAGCGGAGAATTGGTGGGAGACGGGTCTGGGGATGGGCATGTAACTGGATCTGGATACATGTTGGCTCCTAAGACAACAGCCCGCTCCTTTGGTCACCAATACTATCAGCACATCCAAAGGCACAAGGCACAAGCAAAAGCATAAGCAGGAATAGAAACAGAAGCAACAAAAGAAGGACACCTCGTAAGTAGCGATGCTTAACTATAATAAGAAACTCCCTTGGACAGGACGACAAAAACAAGACAGCCACAGACACGGACACAAACACATTCACTCACACTCACAAAAGAGGACACTGCAGTTGTCGGCCGGCGCTTCCTGCGCCGCTAAGTATGCCACTGCAATTCTATTTTTAAGGTGCACTCGGACGGGACGGCAAAGTGCATTGAGTTTTGAGTAGGAGGTGAAGTGCGAACCAGCAAACCATAACCCACACACACACACGCAGTCGTGCACAGTGAGAAATTGTCTCTTAATTGGCTCTCAGTAATCATATATGATCTCCAGTCCTTGTAGGGTTACTTATCCTAGGTTATATCCCTAGCTCTGCATCTGTAGTTTTCCCTAAAATATCATGTTCCTTAATGTTTTTCTTTCTGTGTAAACACACTGCTAACCGAACCGGCGACAACACACAAAACGTATTCAAGTGTAACTAAAGACGACCAATTCACAAACAAACAAGCGAGCCAGGAGCGAAATGCAGTGGCCGGGGCTGGAGGAGGTTGTGGAGGGCATTCATGGAACGGAACCGACTCGAGCGGAGCGGTGCGACCCCCGAACCATGTGACCGACCGCCAAGGGCGGGGGCGGGCAGAGTCGGTGGCGGAGGTGCTGGGCTCTTAGGGCCGTTCGCTAATGTTTATTATGAAAAGCGTGCCCTTTTGAACGCCATCGTGTATTTTTATTTTTATTTGTATTTTATGATTGCGCTTAGCCCATGTGTATTTGTGTATTTGATGTGCAACTGTGTGTGGAGAGAGTGCACAGGGAGAAAAGCAGCTGAAGAAGTTCCATTAGTAGAACAAACATCTGTCATAACGCGTATAGATGGGGGATTATGCAGCTTATCTTCTGACAAACATTCTTATTAATGGCCTTGCCTTGATATATTTAGAGGGAATTTATTATTTTTCTTGCAAAATTATGTTTAAAATGATTTTGTATGATTTAAAGTTGAAGGAAATTAAATCCCCTATCCCCTACTTCTAAAAGACGTCTTTTCTTTTCTCTCTGTGGGTATGTTTTTGTGTTTTTTCTTAGGGATGGAGATGGAGGAGGTGGTTGTGCGAGTTTGGAAAGCCCTCATGAGAGCACAGCACTCAATTCATTGATAAAAGATGCAGTTACAATTATAATGACGACGACGACGATGGCGATCAACATGCCGCAATTACAGTCATAATTTGGGCCTGTAACCATTATTCAAATGTAAATTCAAATGTGAACTGTGGATTGCAATTACCAACCCTCCTCCGGCCCTGTTGAAAATGGTGCAATGGTGAGTGGGTAACAAACAATCGCCAATTGGCATATAATGATCCCCTTTGGACGTCGAAACGTCCTAACCAACTGGCAGACTGACTGCCGTACTGACTGACAGCCGAAATGGAATATGGTAATGGTATGGGTCTCAGACAACCAGCAGCGACATTCGGAACAGTTCTCAGGCCTTGACAAATGCACGTAATGATTGGACTCACACTTTGCTTTTCTGCTGTTTTTTTTTTTTTTGTTTTTTAACAATTTACGCGCCGCCCGGCTTCTTACCCCTTCGCCAGTTTCTCACACTCGAGGCTAGTCATAATTTTAGGGGTTGTGCAACACACACTCACTCTTAGATACTTCGATACTGGCTGACGGCTTCAGTTACAGCTGTTCCCCTAGCTGGCTGGTTGGGCAAACAAGGGTTTGGTTTCTGGTATTTCGATTTTTCGGGACATGGGAACGCTGCCCGACGCACATCTTTGACTCCTGCGGTGATTAATTGTCATTCGGGGCTCGAGGTTCGAGGGTTCCTTAAACTCAAACATATGTACATCTATCTATCGGTGGGTCATGGGTATAAGTTCCTATCTTGTAGGTTCCTGGGGTTCATGGGACGCGACTTAACCCTGGATTAGATGTCGATCATCGATGAAGGTGAAAGAATAGGCTCTTTTCTATTTCTTTCGGCATCTCCGGCCTTTGTTCCGAAGGTAGGTAGCTGATAAATGGTTATTCTGGGCGCAGCGTCGTAAATTGGTGGATTGAGCCTACCCGATCTGAGATGGAAGTTGGTGGGAATCAAGAGGGAATTAACATGCCTAGGTAGAGCTATCGAGAATGTAGCTTCCTTTCTATAATTCTACACTCTATAGAGAACCATCTCCATCCCTATCCCAAAAGTCTTTCTCTATTTTAGGGTATAATATTCTTATCTCTGCATCTTCCGGCGGGGGCAATTGTTTTTCTGTTTTTCTGGCCGACTATCATAGGCTGGCATCATATGGCCGGTTTTGGCAACATAAATTAGGCCACGGACATGGGCATCATTTGTTAGGAGGCGGACGGACGGACGGACACATTAGAACTTTTGCTAATACGATCCGAACGATAAGGGCCGTCATCAGTTGTTCTGTTTGTGCCACTTATTCGGCTGATGGAATCATAAATAATTTGTTTATTGCATGCAGACCATTGGTTTGCTGGCCCAAGTATGCTGGCAGCACTCCCCCACTTCTCTCTCGGATTTTGTATCTGGTATATCTTGTAGCTACATGCCTGGTATCTGCATCTGTGACAGGGCCATAACTCATGCTGGAAACTTTTTGTTTCTACTTCTAATTCCTCGACAATTACACTTAATTAATTTAAAGATGTTTCCCGTAGAGTTGCTCAGTTCGCTCGGTTCGATCGACCAACGCTCGTCGCATTCAATTTTGAGCAGTTATGATGGCGGAGGGGGAGGCTTCTGCCTTGCCGTCCTCCGTTATAAATAGATTAATTAAAATCATCTTTAATTGTTTGATTACAAGACAGGCAACCGAGCGTGCTTGCCCGAAAACTGAACAAAAAAAGATGAAATTCGAGGAGGGATCTCACAATAGCTGCCTCTATATCAGAGGAGTGTGTGGGCAAAATGCGCAACATGTGAAATACAGATGCGGTAGCGATTGCCACAGTAACCGGCACACACAGACCCTTGGGCATTAAAGATTTTCATTTTCATTTCATTTGTGCTACAGATGTTCCAGAGATTGTACAACATAACTACAAGGAGTAGCACAGCACAGCATAGCCCAGCAAGTCACACGCAATTGAGGCAGCGGCATCTGCCACATCCACCAGATACACTCACATCCACATCCACATCCATATCATCCAAGAACCCACTTCAGGGCAGTCGCAGCGTTTCGAGTGGCATTTGATTTTAGTGCTCGAGAGTGTGTGCGTGAGTGCTTCAGAAGTATAAAAATTATTGCTGCCAAGCAACTGAGTCAGTCAGTCATCAATTATTTTATAGAATGCTCACTTGTTTTGTGTGTTCCGCCCCGGCTCCCCAGCTACCCAGCTCCCTGCCTCCTCTAGCCCCCGGATACGGATGCCAGCCGAATCTCTCGTTCGGCTCTGTTCTGTCTTCGCCCCAGAAGTTCACTTGGAAGTTTTCGTTTGGCACAGGAAGGGCTTCTCCGCTCCTCCGCGTCTCCGATGCTCGGATTCCCCCCTCTTGACGGCAATAGTTGTGAAATTAAATTGAATACGACGCCGATTATCCCACGCAGTCTTTCATTCGCATATCCATTCATTCATACAATCTGCTGCCTAGGAAGCAAGTGCCGAGCGACAAGACTTCATCCTCTTTCTCATCAGCCGCCTCCATGTTCCGCTCCAGGTTCCTCCACCTCCACCTCTGCCGAATCCGAATCCAAGAGCTTGGGAAATCATCAAAGTTCAGCGGGAACTGGAGACTCGGATGGCGTCTCCTCCTTACAATATAAGATGATTACATGCACACGCAATTCTGCGTATCAGCCCATAAATCTTAAGTCTGCACTTGGAGAAAAGTTTCCAGCTTAGGGCTTTAGAAGTCCTTAGAAAGTCCTGAGGTACTGCTAGTTTATCTCAGTGCCTGTTCGTGTGTGTCACCCACAGTTTGTCAGTCAGTCAGTCAACCAGAGTGGTGTGGGATGGGGTTGGAGGAGAATTCCCTGCCGGATGCTTGCGTGCCAAAATCAAAGCATGCCTTTTTCATTTGCCAACGACAAGTTTGCATTCAATAAATAAAACCCATTCGATTATAAAACGCACCCGCAGACAATGAAATGCCACTGATAAGAGCCATCCACATCCAGCACACAATCCATTTGGCCTACTTCAGTTCATTAAAAATCTATTAAAATGTAATGTACATTGACATCCACCGCCCCATCCAATCCCCGTCGTCTGATCACTGACATTTTTGGCCCGATAAGGCAGGCTCCTTCCCGCCCAATCGATCCAATCTGGGGTATTTTATGTGCCCGACTTTGATTAATCTTCCCATCGTGTATTTAAATGCCGGCAATTCAGCATTATTCTCGAAAAGAAGCTGCAGTAATAAATAAACTCTGATGGCTAGTGGTGTTCGATTTTCGCCGATGGCCATATCGATTTACTTTAGCCGAAATGTAATTTGGCTTAGCAACCTCATCAAACAAAAGTCTCGAGTCTAGACCAATGGAAAACAAAACCAGCTCCCATATCCCATCTATAATTGAATGCACACACAAAACAATAGTGTGTTTGTATTTGCCTTAAAGACTATTATAATCTGGTCAGTTACATGAGCCACCGCACACAGTACGGCATAGTGTAGTATGGTATAGGCCATATATGTATTCCATTACCATTCGCCACTTGGCATTACCCATTCAGACGAAGGAGAATATTGACAGACACTCGAGTGTCCACAAGCACCCTGTAAATCCAATTGAATCACACGCATAAAGGCATAAAGGCGCTTAAACCAAAAGAAACGAGCCTCGCTTCCAATCCACATTATGATAATAGTGCCGATGATGACGACGTTGATGATGACGTCGATTAGGACGCTCATCAAATGTATTATTTCCCTTTAACTTCTGATTACCCGAGATTTTATTACGATCCACCGACGCGACCACGGCGGTCACGGCTACCCAACAACTTCTGGTCTTTGAATTCGGATGAGTGCACAGGAAGAAACCTCCATAAGATAACAATATCCATGGCATATTGTCGACATACGCATATATTTAAAATAAATAAACAATTTCTTTTGATTTCTTTGCCGTGCAATGAGCTGGCGCACCGTCCCTCCAAATCATAATCACTTTTCACATATCAGCGTTTCCGCAAAATTTACATATCGACTTTTACTTGATGCGCCTTTTTAGTGGCCAACGTCGGGGGCTATAAAACCCATTTGAATCGCGTAGGGGCTGGGGCAGGAGAGGGGGCTTTCAAGTTTTAACTTATGCATGATTAATACATAATTACGAAGACAAACACATAAACTCCAGCTCAAAGGCAAAGTCGGGGGGCCGGACTTATCGCCAAGTTTTGTTCGTGCCGGTATGCATCCGTCCCGTCCCAGCCCAGCCCGACCCGAACCATCGACCACTTAATAACTCCGGGAGACAAAAGGCGCTTTTCCCACAACCAACAATACAGTAAGAACCAACAAGCAAGTACCAACAACCCGTAGAATAGACCACGTCCTGGCCCGGCCTGGGCTGGCCTACCTCGTTGGAGAAGTGCAGCAGTGCGGAGGAGCATACTTATACCTGTTATTAATATTTCGATTAGGTACCAACGATTCGTAGAAGCCGACGCATGACTTGCATGGCTAATGGGAAATTTTGTAACTTGTGACCACGTTGGCCTACACTTTGAAATTTGTGTTGGGTAGTTGGCCAAGAGTATTGGTGCGCGAGTATCTTGATTGATGGAGACAACTCATCGATTGTGGCCAGAGGATAGGAAGTGTTCCTAAGTGCAGCCCATACGTTTTCATTTGGGTATTGATCCTTGGAGGTGATTGCCAAACGGAAGAACTAAACTAAGCTGTACACCTTGCCAGATGTTGTGCCTTTTATTTCCGGAAACCAAAGACCCTAAACCACTTGAAAGAATCGTAAAAAAGTCTCTCGGATTTCAGAAAACTGTGGCGTCATAAAACCAATAATGAGATCATCTCAGAGTGTTATGATTCCGACGAATCGTAAAGCTGTGCCATGGCACCTGCATTTATTTCCTTGAAGAGCATTACCCAGTCACCTGAATAGCCAAAGAAACCAAAGACCATTAATGCTGAACGTGTGTATGCTTGAGATATGAACACTTTAGTCAATCGGGGGACACTTTTCGAGGCTTGACAGACCGCTTTGCGGGTTCTCTGGCGGGTTTATTGCCAAGTGCGCCAAGAAATTGCCTTCCCTTGGCTTCCCTTTAGAGTAGTACATGGTTCCTAACTGGCATTTCTTATCTCGCCTTTCAGATCGTATTCACCACGTCGACAAAGGAAATGTGCAGCTAATGCTAATGCCTTCAGCTAGCTCACCACAACGCCGGCAGCAACAACTATTGCAGGTGCAGGTGCAATCGCAGGTGCAACAGCAACAGCAACAGCTACAGCAGACGTGGCAGCAATTGCACAAGAAGACCAGGACCTCAGCACTCACACCTTCCCCCTGGCAATACAAAGAAACTGACAGCTCAACATGGCAGTGAGTAATAGATCCGGAAGTGTGATTACCGCTCTGGCCATTATATGGATGACACTGAGTGTATCCGGTGAGCTGCCCCAGCTCGACTACGGCAGCATGTCCGCCTCCCTGGAGGAGGATGCGATTGACCCGCTGACGGCGATGGCTCCCTTCGCCAACTCCCTGGTGACCGAGGACTCCGCCCCCCAAAAGACTAATGTGGAGCTGCTGAGCAACAGCAGCGAGGACGAAAATTCGAGGGCACCACTGGGCTCCTCATCTTCGGCGGCGGCCGGAGCCAGTGGAACGCTCCTGGAGGAGTTCTCCGGAGGGAAGCTGAACGGCGGAGAAGCAAGCAACACGCTGCCCATATTCCTCAGCGAACCGGAGAGCGTGTTCGTGGTCAAGAACCGGCCGGCCATCCTCAAGTGCAAAGCCTCGCACTCCCTGCAGGTGATCTTCAAGTGCAGCGGCAGCTCCCAACCACCGCCGTCCACGCACGACAAGCACGTGGATCCGCACACAGGGGTTCACATGGAGGAGGTCACTGCCACCATACACCGGGACCTGGTGGACGAGTACTTCGGCGACGGGCCCTTCAAGTGCGAGTGCCACGCCTGGTCGTCCAGGGGCCTGGTCAAGAGTCAGGCCGCCACCGTGCACACAGCCTGTAAGTATTGCGGGAGTGAGGACATTGCACCTTTTAACGAAGGGGTGGCTTCCTGTCACCAGCAACTGACCCTCGTACTAACCCTGCTCTATCTACATCTGAACTTATCTTGTATCTGCATTAATATCGGTATCCGCATCTGTCCTTTAACCACCACAGATATTCGCAAGTCCTTCAACCAGTCACCCACCTCGCTCCGCCTGGAGCTGGGCAGTCGGGCGGAACTGCGTTGCGAGCCGCCAGGCGGTTTCCCCGAACCGAAGCTCACCTGGCACAAGAACAACGCCGTCATCACCTCGGACAGCGAGCCGGGCATCAGCGTGTCCGGCGGAACGCTCACCTTCCGCCAGGTGGCCCTGCAGCACATGGCCAACTACAGCTGCAGTGCGGAAAATATAGCCGGCAGACGCATCTCCGACTCCGCCGTGCTCATCGTTTATGGTGAGTACGGTCAGTGGACCATATCATTTAAGGGATTTCAGTAATTATTCCCGAAAAAAAAAACATTAAAGCTTAAAGGATATTCGGTAGAAAACCCTGTCGTAGAATGGTTTTCAATTTTTAATCGACTCTTGGATTGGATACTTTTAAATGCATTTCCGTACATCGCATCGATTTTAAACTGTTTCATATTTGATTTCATTTTTGATACCGCAGTTAACGGTGGCTGGAGCAGCTGGAGCCCGTGGCGCGAATGCAAGTGTGCGGGCAAACTGAGCCAGGGCCGCAAGCGATCCCGCACCTGCAACAATCCGATGCCATTGAATGGGGGCGCCCAGTGTCCGGGTCCTCAGATTCAGAAGTCCGCCGACTGCGCCGCCTGCCCAGGTATGTACACGTCGATTCTGCGGTCATCCGCAAAATTGCGGCTGCTACGAAATTGCGGCCAACACGCCCACAATGGCACCTGGAGTGGGGTGGGGATGGGTTGCGTTGGGTTGGGTTGGGCTACGAGTTCCGGAGGGCTAACGACTGGGTTGAGTGAACACTTTAAGGCTGTTGTAAAGCAGCAACAAAATTGTCAATTTAAATGGCATTTGCGGCCGGGTTTTCAGCTTACAGCTGGGGCGCCACCTGCACATGCCCCCCTCCGACCAGTGACGCCGTCGATATATCTCCTGGAGCGATGCGAACAACGCGTATTCTTCACACCAGGAAGGTCGAGTACCGAGAAGGGGCAGCCTGGCGGGAATACGCACGTGGGGAAGGGGAAAGGACAGTCCCAAATACAAAGCCCTGCACGACGCAAAAGTTCAGGGGGCGTTTCGACAAAAAACGCAAAATAAAAGGGAAGGAGCCGAGATAAGCTCTTGGGGTCACTCCGAAACAAGAATACTCTTTAGGGTTTTCGCGTCATTACCATACTCTGAAAGGCCTGAGAAGGTAAAAAGGTTTTAGGATTAGGGATTAGCTAGACGGAGTCATTCAAGGGTGCCAGAGTAATCCCTTCCAAATGAAATCCAAATTAAATGCAAATCTAAGAAGCTTACGATAATCTTTTGACTTTTGAATGTCTCTTTGAATGGTTAGCAGATATTCGTTTTCCATTCAAGGTTCATTGCCTGAGTTTTGTTAATTATTCTCTGGTAATTAATGGTTTCAAGATGGTTTTATTTTGGAGTTTATGGTATAAATAGTCAAACATCTCCATAAAGTCACCATGCCCGGGCGGTACAATGGCATAATACATTTTTGAGTGAGTGCCGAGTATTTCATTTTAAACACGCATTCGGGTGCCTTGGCCCGACGACAGATATCTCCACATGCATACAATATAGATGGATAGATTGGGCCGCCGATGTGGGGACGGCCTGCCTCTGGCATGCCACACCGGCTAAATGGTGACAAAGGGACTGGAGATGCGGAGGATGGGATCGGGGCGAATGGGATTCGGAATGGAATGAGCTGCTGATGCTACTGCTGCGGCTGCTACTTGGTGGTAGCTTTAGCTGGGGCACTCTTTTTGACAGACGCACGGGCGGCATGTGTTTGAGACTCTTCACTTTTATTCATGTAAATTTATTGTATTGCATTGTATTGTAGTGCTCACACAGATACTCCCGCACACGCACACTCCCATAGCCATAGGATACTTGGCCAGGCGCACAGCGGGCACAGCAATGAGCAATTGTTGACAGACAAGCGGGCCAAATGGGAACGGGATTGGCAGCGGGATTCCGGGAGTGGGAGGTGGGTCATGGTAGATGGGAGTTGGGAGATGGGACATGGGAGGTGGAGGCATACTTCGGTTGCCAAGAGGGGAGGTTGGATGGATGCCATTGTGGGCTGCCGTATTTCTTTTCTATGAAAAGTGTGTCATAAAATTAATTTTAAATTTCGCTTGGGTTTCGTTTTTTTTTTCTTTTGGCCGTTCCGTATCGTGCGCCTCTCCAATCTTCTGACTTTTCATCCCCATGGAACCGTGTCAACCTTATGGTCCTGCCGCTACTTCTACTGCTGCTGCCACGCCCACTGCCATGCCGTCCAACGCCTGTGATTATCCTGTCGCCTGCCAACAACAGAGGACACTCAAATCGTGAGCCCTGATGGATTTGACATTTCGTCGAGTAAGCGCAGTAAGTTGAACCGAAAGCCCGACAATGTGCATTTCCCTCAAAGGCTTCATATCTGGAATACGGATGGGAATGGGGATGGGGATGGGGGTGGTATATTGGTGTCCTGGCTGGGGGATTCAATACGACATTGTTGGCGAGCAGTTAAACTTGAATGCTTAACGAGCCGACGACAGTTAAACTTTTTAGTTGGGGTCTCCGGTCCCGGCCCGAACTCCACAGGGCCTTTACAATCCAATAAACAATCGTGTTAAACCGAACCAGAAGCATCAGCCCAGCATCAGTATCAGGATCCATCCAAGCGTGGTGTCATTCGTTTCGGCTCGTTCCCCCCTCCCGAAACTACACACTTTAACTGGCTTTAAGTGAAGTGACTTACTTTTCCGGAAATATGGTAAGGAGCGGTGACGTCACTGCGCCAAATAGCAACTTAAAAATCACTTACCACGACTTACGCTCTCTGATTCATTCGTGCAACAGTCTGGCTGGTCGAAGGGTCGTAAAGGATACGTATTATGGATTGGGGATGGGCATCCTGTAGGAGATGGAGTGGGATGTCAGAGGCCGAGGGGGAAACTAAACGCCACAGCAAAGTGATGATGGCTGGCGACAAGTTCGGAAATTTGTGCGCCCTTTTCTGGGGGTGGTTTTATGTTTCCAAAAACAGGAAGTGCCAAATGCCGATGTATTTTATACCAGTATGTGTGTCTGCACACTGAGGGAAAAACGTCATCTGGGTGTATGGAAGTCCTCTAATTTATGCTGCATCCCTAATGGAGCCTTAACTCATACCAGATGGAGTACTTTTTTAAGAAGGACTTATGGAATGTCTGGGGATTTAAATGGAATATTTAAGGATGTAAAGGTATTAGGGCGCTGACAGCTTAATAATGCCAACAGTATGCTAGTATGATGCATTTCTCCCGGTGTAAATCTGTCGAACATATATTTCAGCTGCCAGAGGCACGCATCGCACCACTAGAATGGTGGCCTTTTTGTTTAGCTTTCGGACTTTCCGTTCCGTGCCTCCCTCCAGGAAAAAACCAAATAGCAGCAGGGAAATTGAAATAGCAAAGAAAATGCGAAAATAGAAAAGCATTAAAATGACAATCACTTTTCCTCACCCACCCACCCACGCGCACAAACCCCAAAAAGTCAACAGAGGCGTCGTCAATCGACAGTTCGCGAGGGGGGATGGGGTGTGGGGTCGACGGCAGTAAACTCTTGCAAGGAGGGGACCGCTCTAATTTTATGGTGGGAATCAACTTTCGATTTCTCCCTATGGACCATCTATTAGCCCTTAATTGCAGGCCCCAGCCAGAGGACCTAGAGGGGGCCAGGAGCACTGGATGCCACGTCCATGGCTTCTCTTGATATATGACCCGGGGAGTGCCGCTGTCGGGAATGTGTGCTAAATCATGTTAATATGACTTTTGATTTCTAAACCGCCATACGTCTTTCTGTTCTTTTCTGATTTCAGTGGCTCGCTGGTCGGCCTGGAGTGAGTGGAGCATCTGTTCCGCGGAATGCATTCAAGTGCGTCGCCGGAAGTGTCTGACTCAGAGTCAGACTCCTGCTGGTGATGTCGAGGAAGCCGGGGATCTGCTCCTGGGCTCCGGCGTGGGCATGGCCGCCCTCATCGCCGGGGGGCCGGGCGCCGTTGGCACAGGAAGCCTTAGCGATTCCGCTGGCCCGAGCTCTGAGAATATCCCAGGATATGGCAAATCATTGTGCGCCGGAAAAGACACACAGACGGCCGAATGCCGTGGCGAGCAGTGCCAGATTGGCAAGGATGGTGAGTGTGCTTATGACAAGGATGAATGCCAGCCCAGTCCAGACCCAAACTGGCAGCGACAGTGGCAACAAAGTAGACAGTTAGACAACAATAACAGCCAGGCCAGAATCAGTAGCAAAGCCAGTAGACCTCCAACCCGAACCCGGATCCGAACCCCAAAGCAGATCCGCAGATCCTGAGAATCCCGGCCGCACAAAAGCTGAGCACTCAACGCTGATTGTCACAATGGGAAATTAACCAAGTGCATTTTGTTTGTGCACGGCTACGGGCTTATTTATATATATAGAAAGAAGTATTGAAAGGATACAAAAGACACCCATCTCTAAACTTTCATCACCCAACTTCCCCATTTGTAACCCCATGTCCCATTCCGATTCCCATTTCCATTCCCATTCCCTTGCCTCCCGTGCCAATTCAACTTTTGCAAACCAATCGAAGGGTCGCAAATCAATCGCAGCAGCACTTGGAATTGAGATTTAAGTGGGGGTCCCACAAGTCTGCTGTGGGTTTATGTGCTTTGCCAGATAATTAGGCGTGCGGCAAAGACAGCAGCCACCCCAGCCCCAACCCCGGACTCCAGCTCTAACAACAGATATCTGATGAAATTTCCACCCCAATCCAAAGCTTTTCCCGTGTCATTGTTGCTGTTTGCGATTCGATTTTCAACAGGAGGGTGAAGTGATTCCAAGTGCGAGTGCGATTGACCCAACTCAAACATAGTTTCGTGCGGTCCATGGGGATCAATTAGATGGCTGTCACAGTGTGTAATTGAAAGGATCAGATCAGGGCAAAAGGAGTAGTCGGACTGCCTGGTGTGCCTGGGTGGGCCATGTCCTGGGATGGGTCAAGATGGCTGGGATTTCTGGCAGGTTTCTGGCCATTTATTTGATGGCCCTGTTGAAAAGTTTATACGAAGAGTGACACACTGAAGCTTATTTTCGATTTCATTACCTTTCATTACCAAAGCCATGACTAAACCGAACCCGAACCCGAACCAAAATCAAAACCAAACCAATTCATTGGAATCCCTGGGGCCACCGATACCTGCGGCTTCATCAAGCCCCATTGTCAGTAGCTCGTACTCAGCCATCTGATATTAAAAACGTATTTGTCAGGCCAAGGAGACGACTACCATGTCCCCTTTTGATGTCTTCTGCAGGCTCAAAAATAAGATGGGCAGAAGAAAAAAAAAAAAATAACCACAAACTGAAAGCCAGCATGCAAAAATGCACAAAAGCGAAGGGAAATACGTAAAAGCCCTGAGCATCACACAAGTATCCCAGTTGGGGATGCTCCTAGGAAGAATCTACTTTACTTCTAGGGCGGTTTCCGATGCTGCCGCTGATTTACAGCGAATATAATTGCTCATTTCATACATTGTATAATGCGTCCGTCCACCCACCCATCCACAGTCAGATTTTTGCCGAGAATCTACTCCTTAAAATCCTCTGAACACTGGTACAGCACCAGTATAATAATCATAATATATACAGAGTAATTCCTTGCGCTGCACCGATTTTCCTTTTTCCCAACCAACCAACCAACCAGTCACATCCAGCGCCAGCAACAATGACGACAACAATCACAGCAACGGAAACAGGCAGCGCAACAATGGGAGTCGAATGGTTGCGAGTGGATTTCATGGTGGCAGGAATGGTTAGCATGAGTGTGGAGCTAGGACGGGGGACGCTCAGCTTTATGTCGGAGCTGACTGCTGGCGACGGGGGGCCGGCGACGGCGACGGTGACGGTGCCGGCGAATAATAATGCGAAATAGACGGGCACTGGACTGGGGATGAGCATACAAACATAAAACATTAAATACAGACATACAGCGGAGCGCCAGATACGGATACGCATGGCTGCTCGGGATTGATGACAATGGGTGAGAGAGGATGCCACCGACGACCCTGTTTGGTTATGGAAAAGTTCGGTTCAGTGTTCAGTTCAGTTCGGTTCGGTTTTGGTTGAGTCAACGTCCATGAATGTGTGGATTCCGCCTGGCTGGCAAGCTGGCAAGCGGGCAGGAACATGAGCTGGGGCTGGAGCAGCAAGCATCCTGAAAATCCATGAAAAGCATGAGGGTGGCGGATTTACGCAGAAAATACTTGCTTTCTTCCTCTTTTTTTTAATACCCAAACATACAAAGATTGGCAATTGGAATGGGTTTATATCGGGACGAGGCGGGGATATGGCCAACATCTTGGTTCGGCAAGAATTGCAAGCCGGCTGGCTTTATTGCCGTTTAGTCCTCTAGGAGGTGAATGAAATCCTAAGGGCTAGTCCCGAGGATGAGCCCCCAAACATACCCATTAGTTAATGCCTAATTGAGGGGAAATCCGAAAACAAAAAGTTCCAAGAATGGAAAGCCATTAAGTAATTGTTTTTATGAAACGTCCTGACGAGAAAAATAATTTCCCTTCCCTATGGTAGTCTAGTAGTCAGTAGTTGTAGTCTAGAAGTCCTTAGCTACTTATCATTTCGCAGGATTACAGGGTACATTCAGTCAATTCAGCAGTTTTATTTGAATCCGCATCGTTTTACCATTGCAGATTTCGATTGGACCCTCTATCTGGGCCTGGCCTTCATAACCGCGGTGTGCTTTGCCTTTGGGGCCGCCCTCATCTGCTGCGCCCGCCGTGGCATCCGCTCCAATCCCCACTACAACATGGCCCGATCAGGTGAGTTACTCCCACTCCCATCCCACAGCCAGCCTCCTCCACTGGCTGTGCGTTTGCCACCAGCAGTTGACCGTATCGTAACATCGTGTGTATTTTGACTCCACTTTTGCAGTAATGGACACGGATTACATGCCCGGCGTCGTGGAAAAGAAGGAGATGCGGATGCACATCGAGGCCAGCAACATGGGATACGATTACGTCAATCCCGGCCATCGTTATTTGCCTGGCGAACACATCGTCGGCATGGGCATGGGCATCGGATGCGGCGGAGTGACGGAGCACCACTACGACGTACCCAATTTGTCCGCCAAGTAAGTGTGCAAATAACCCAACAAGTTTATTAGTTTGGCCCCGAGATATTTTAATATCTTCTGGAGTATATTTTTATGCGCTTGCACAGGGTATTTTAATTTTATTCGAAAGGGTGTATTTTTCTTAAGGATATCCTTTGAACATGTTAAAGAGTAGTCCGAATTTAAGGACCTTAAGCAAAGATTCTGAAAAATACCTTAAATTTGTAGGAGCCCCTTTAAAAAATGCATGCAATGGCTATATTCCACTCTGCGAAAGCTGTATCTTCGACAAAAAACATCTGATTCCTGAGCGAAACATCTTAAAAGATTTGTAAATCTATTCTTAATAAATCCTCATCAAAATCTACAATCGAATTTTGTTTTAGATTTTTAGTCAAATTTTCTGATGGACCCCCTTCGAAAATTGTGAAAATATTCATGGAATGGCCATATGCCCCACTGCGAAGGCCATATCTTTGCCAATATCCATCCGATTCTTAAACGGACTACCTTAAACGATTTGTAGACCGATTCTTAACAAACCCTCATCAAAATATACAATCAAATGTTTTTTTTTAGATATTTTGTCAAATTTTTTGAAGAACCCCCTTCGAAAATTGTGCAAATATTCATGGAATGGCCATATGCCCCACTGCTTTCGCCATATCTTCGCCAATTTGCATCCGAATCTTAAACGGAATACCTTAAACGATTTGTAGATCGATTCTTAATGAATCCTTATCAAAATCTACAATCAAATTTTTTGTTATATTTTTAATCAAATTTTCTGAAGTAGCATTCAAATTAAGAACAAAACTTTGTTTTATTCTTTGAAGGCCTCTTCCTAATCTTTCAAATATTGCTTTGAAAAGACAAATTTTATCTGTTTAAGGAGATTCCAGTATTTAATTTTGATTCCTAATTTCACTTTTTAAAGTATGTGTGTGGTTTATGAGTGTTTTAACTTCATTGCAGTCGTAACGCGTCACATTTTATGATCAGCACTTTGCAATAATGTGGCTATAAACATTTTTAATATTCTCGCCACGAAAGTTGGCACTTATTGAAAATTATGTTCTCTATAAAACAACAAAATTTTCGTAAATTAAATAGAATATACAAGATAATTAATCATTTTATTTTTTAGCTACACCAACCCCATAGACCATTTAAACGTTGATTACTTGTCTGAAACCGGGGATTCCTCCACCGCTGATACCTGTAAGTTTCGATCGAAAAGGTTCTTTTGAAAAGAAATAAAGATAATGTATTCCCACCAGCAAACTCCACGTTCGATATGAATGGAAAGCTGTCCATTCTCAATGCCTCGAAGAGCAGTTGCTACGAGCTCCTGGGAAGTTCCGGAGGACAACTGCGCCTCTACGGTGGAGAGCTGCTGCTCTTTGTGCCGGAGCACGCCATCGGCAAGCACCTGAAGAAGCATGTGTCCCTGCTGCTCCTGAGCGACGAGTGCAGTCGGGTGGCCTGCGCCACAGAGAGTTCCATCCTGTGCAGCAGCGTGGTGCACAGCGCCCCGCGCAACTATAGCTTTGTGAAACCGGTGATCCTGAAGATACCCCACTGCCTGGTGTCGCCGGAGCAGTGGCATGTCCACATCTACCACGCCGACAGCGAGCACGACGAGCTGAGTGTGAACTGGAGAAGAGCCGTGTCCGTGGGCGAGGAGACCATCAACACCCCGATGTTCGTTCAACTAGAGGCGACGCATGTCTACATCATGACGGAGCAGCTGGGCCACTTTGCCGTGGTGGCAGAGCCGAGGGTCCAGCAGCCATCGATCAAGATGAAGCTGCTCGCATTCAGCCAGCACACCCCGCCCAGCAGCGTCAACTGCAGTTTGCGCATCTACGTGGTCAAGGACTTCCCCAACAGCCGGGACATCTGCGCCAACGTGGAGGCCAAGCTGGGCGGGACTTTCCTGGGCGAAAGCCAAGTCTTTCCATTCTCGCTGAACAGCCGGAATCTCAACATCCGTGTACGAAGCGTCGATGTGGAAGCGGCCGCTCCTTACGAGCATGCGATTCCCTACCAGCACATCCTCAGCAACAACTCCATCCTGCACTGTGAGTTCAGTCTGCGGCGCCAGGATCAGCACGCCTTGTGCGTGGACTTTGGCCAGGGCAGCGAGGACGACGGTGATTACTATACCTTCAACATTCCTGCCCACTCGTTGAGCGGCTCGGCCGAGGAGCTGGCCTCCACGACGAACACCACCATCTCGATCGACCGCCAGGGCAACTACGTGAACGAGAGCTGTGTGATGGACTTTGTGCAGCTGCCACATGCCACGAAGCGTCTGATCTGTGCGGCTCTCGACCCTCCCCGGGCGGATGAGCGGGACTGGCGGCTGCTGGCCAGAAAGCTGAACACTGATCGGTACATCGCATACTTTGCCACGAAGGCCTCACCCACGGAGCAGATCCTGAACCTGTGGGAGTGCCGGACGAATAGTAATCCTGGTAATAGTTCCAATTCGGTTTCGCACACCATAATGAATCTGCTGCTGACCCTCAAGGAGATGGGACGTCAGGATGTAATGGACATCATAGTGGACACCATTGGTCCGCTGTGGATCTAAGGATAGGGCTTGAACCTCCTTCCGTTTCTATTCCGAAGAAACTAGGGCTTCAAATTCTAAGGAATTTATTCTTTTTAATGGATTTTCTGTACATTTTTATGCCAAATGTGATTTGTTTGAAATTTTAGGGAGAATAGAGCAGGATCCTGGATGAAGGTTTTATCCCCAGAAGCGTTGATTTTCTCTGTTTATTTATTAAAGTTAGGTCCCCGTATTACCCCGAAGTCTTTTCAGTTTCCGGGCTAAATTAAAGAACAAACTTATCAACTAAGAACTGGAACCACCTGCCAAGTTTGTTATTGCCAAGTTATTGAGGAAATCAGCGCCTGTGGCCCACCAATGGCCACCAATGTTGTTGAAAACGAAAATGTTCATGAGTTGCCTTTTATTTACAAAATGTACGATCGACGCAGAAACGAAAAATTAAAGAAACGAAACGAATGTAAGAGATATTGGAATCGAAAAGAAAACATTGAATCAAAGTGTAGCTGTAGTAATAGTCACTAAGTTACTAATGTAGTAATGTGTTCTAAGGTAACTTGCTCAACGAACTCTGTTCCCTATGGGTGCCATGCATTTTATACACTAAACAGAAGGAAGGTAGCAATTAATTATACTTGTGGCTTAGCAAACTTATAGTTTTAAACACTAAACTTTAGTATTACGATCGGAGAACTGTTTAGCAGCTGTAAATTACGCGTACATCCAAAAATATAAATAGCTATATGTAGTGATTAAGTTATGGCCAATGCGTTCCGCAACTACCTTTCGAAATAACCACACAAAGACAACCTCCCAGGTGGTTTGAGGTAGTTTCCTACTGTTTGCCAAATCGTTGAATTTCTCAACCGATTCTAGTTACGAGTAGCCACTAAAGAAACACAACATTTAGTAATCGAAAACAAAGCCATAGCCGACATATACCCCATACGTATGTAGTCCCTCATATTTAACACGTACGCAAACCTCCAAAAAAATATATATATATATGTATATTAAAGTACGATCTAGTGATAGCATAACACAGAACAACAAAACGAGTAGCTTGTTAGACATACTCAAGTGATAACCTTTGTATTTGTCTTTAGTTTTAAGTCTGATCCTGTCGTTTAATCGTTAATCAAGTAAGCATTTACACAACAATGACGTATACTTAGTGGCTCAAAAGGAAAGTTAAATAAAAATTAATACAAAACACTGAAAAAATAACTAAAACTTGATTCTTAATAGTAATTTAAAAAGGCTACTCAATGGCTTTCACTCTGTCTTGTCTGGAGCAGTAGCATCCTCCTCTTCATCATCTTGGTCATCCATTACCATGGCTATGTTTATGAGGTGACGCATGGTGGGTCGGCCATGGGGGCAGTTCTGTATTCAAGTATATGAAAGTTCCATTTTCCTTTGAAATCTAGCTTTTGGTAACTCACCCATGGCTGTTCTATTTCCCCCATTTGTGTGATGAGCCGCCGCATTGTTGTGGTTCTATTTAAAGCCGTGCCAATCATCACGGATTTACGGCAGGCCCGCGAGGCAAACATGGCACGTACTCTTGAGGGTCTACATATGGTGCCCTCGGGTGCATCCTGCAGCATAAAGATTAGCTCGTCAATGTCCTCCTTTCCGAACTCCCAGCGCTTGCTGTGCGGCTTGCCCAACAACTTAATCTTTTTGGTGGCAGGAGCTGCAAGTACAATAGGACTTTAGTTGTGAAACCAAAACACAAGCAATAATCCTACCGTCATGGTTGATCTCGAACTTAAAGCCATTCTTTTCGAACACTGCCAGGTGGTCAATAAGAACCATTTCATTCACGGCCGTCAGGTCAAGGGATTGGGGCACTGTCAGTCGCTGGTATTCCAGCTGAGTGGTTCGCTGCAGGGTCTCGAAGTTGTACTTCTCATCGGTGGCATGCTGGTCCACGATGAACAGATCATCCTCGAGCTTGACGATGATAAAGCCCAAGTTAAACTGGCCGATAATGTCCATGCAGACAAAGTCTTCCTTGCCAATCTCCCGCTGGAGTTCAGCCTCTGCATTGTTATTCTGGTTTGGATTTATTTCACTTTTGAACCTCAGCCTCTGTAGCTTGGCTCGGGATCTACGCTCTCGTTGCTCCTTCTCGTGAGCCTTCATTTTGGAGGCTATCTCCTCCAACGAAGTACGTATTTCTCCTGTAGCATATTTGGACATGGATTGGTTCGGGTCCTCCTCCTCCTTGTCAAACTCAATTCGTGTAGGCAGCTCAATAGCATCTTCGCAATCATCTTCCTCTGTGGCGTCGGTTGACTGCGAAAGTAATGGAGCTTCTACTTCTAAGTTTGTTATAGAATCTGACTTGGATTCGGATTTTTCACTGGACTTAATCTCTGTCTTCTCCTTGGGCTTAAATTCTGCTATGCTACGTCGGTTTTTTAAAGGCGTCAGGACCTTGCAAACAACATTGGCTGCTTTTACTGGTTGGGTCAACAAATCGTAAGCTACAAAGAACGAATAACCATTAAGAAAGATTCTTTTTGGATTTTCTTTCTCCTACCTTCAGATTCTTTTTCAAGTTCTTTAAGATTTAAGAAACTGTCATTAAGTTTGCTCTGCTCCTTGTGGTCTTTAGACGTATCCCGATCTCCACCAACACTTTCCTCTTCACATTCCGACTTGTATGTCAGACTCTGCTCTTTGGGCGGTTCCTGAGTGAGAAAATCCTGAATCTTCTGCATTTTCTTATTTCGGCTGGCCAGTTCCTCTGCTTCGGTGCAGCGGCGCTTGATGGAGGCTTTGGGAGCGGTACCTTGCGTGTCCCCAGTCCTGCGCCACTGAGTAAGCACATCCATGAATCGCTGGGTCGAGCTAATCGGAACCAAGTTATCGTCCTCTTCCTCCTGGATTGCGTTGCTCGATTCATTGGCTTCCTCCACTTTTTCCTCCTTTTTCACAGTTTTTGGTTCAAACATACTGACAATTGTTGTGTTTTGCATCTGAAAGGTAGATGGGGTTTGACCAAAAGTGTCCAGCAGGGACTTTTTAAGAGCTAGCAACAAAATGCGCTCGTTGTTGATCAGCAGTTGACGCTTATCCGGCGTCAGATTCACATCCACATCGGAGCGAGCGGTAACGATGTTCAAATAGATAAAGGGCTGTTGCTGGACATTATAGCGATGGTAGATTTCGTTCATGACTTTGGCTATCTGGAGATCACAAAATACTTATAATAGCGAGTACGTACTAAAAGGTTCTAGGCTATAGTTACATTCTTGGGATCGCAGGGTCGGGAATTGACGAAAAAGTACTGACGATCTCTGCTAGAGCGACCAGCGCCATGACGACAGCTTGAAATGTATCCCTCTAATTGGAAATCTGCCTGGTTCAGTCGCTCCACATCCTCCGCACTAAATTGGGTCAAGGTAGTGTCGGCCGCATCTGCAGAAGCCTCCAAATCAGCCCGCAAACCTGCCTCGCTGAGATCGCCCTTTTCGAAGGGCGATTTTAGTGGCACCAAATCCGCTACTTGACGGGCTCCAAAAACAGCTGAAATATTGGCTAGTACATCCTGGGCACCGTGTGTCTGAAGCACTACAGTCTTGGCGCCCTTCGGTGTCTGGTTGCTGCATAGAATCCGTACACCCTTTGTGACCAGACAATAGGCCTGCAGGATCTGGCACATCTTTGTGAACTCCTTCTTGATGTTTCGAGTGAAATCCCGCCGTCGGACGGGCAGGGTTACAAACAGATTGGAAAGGCTGACAGTGGTTCCGATTCCCCGAGCACAGGGCGTTCGCTTCTTAATTTTTCCCTCATGGTCCAGCTCTACTTTTAGGCCTAAGATGAAAAGGATTGGAAGCTGAGAGAAGACATACTCTATCTTTACGACTTACCCACTTCAGTGCTTTTGTGGCGTGTTTGGATGACCATATCGGATAAAGCGCAAAGGGAACTCAGAGCCTCTCCCCTGAATCCGAATGTTTCCACACCCAGGAGATCCACAAATTCCCGTATCTTGGATGTGTGATACTTGGCAGCTTTGAGGTGAAGTGTTATTTAGATTTTTCACGATTTACAGCAGATTTTAGACTCACTCATGCCCTCCAAATTTGATTCTTCTACGCCACATCCATTGTCGCTGACTTCCACGACTTGGAGGCCCTGATCTTTTAGTTTAATCTCTACCAGCGTGGCTCCCGCATCAATTGAGTTCTCCACCAGCTCTTTGACAGCCACCGCTAAGCTGAGCACCACCTAGAAACACAGTTTAAGCCGGATTTAAGCGATGTAAACAAATGTGAAGTGAAGTACATACCTGACCAGAACAGATTTTGTGTACAGTGTCCTTGGCAATGGCCTTTATTTGGCCAGAGGCAGCTGTGGTCGGAGCTGGAAGTTCCGGCTCCACATTTTCTACTATTTCTTCAGGTTTATCCATGAGTTTTGTGATATTTATTGGATCATCTTATTGTTTAGTTTCTAAATATTTTAACAGTGTGCCCATCACCTTTTTTGAATTGGCGCCAAATCGCCGGTGGAACAGTATGCAATTATTTCTACATTATGTAAGAAAAATGTAAAATAACATAAGGCTAGATGGCGCTGTGTAAGAAGTGAGGTTGTTTGAAGCCTTTTAAACTATTTCGTAATGCTTTCTTTGATAAACAGTTCTACTGTTTAGTTTTTATATTCAAACTAAAAAAAGGCGAAATTTAAGTCAGGAACACTGCAGTGTAAATTCCAGCAAAAATATTTATTTATTCAACGTATTACAACATGAAAAATGCGCCTAAATCTATAATAAGAGTATAATAAACGAATAGTCCAATCATGATATTTAATAATTTTTGATAATAATAAGCGAATGTGATGAATCCAATCCTGGTGTGTCAAAGGGGTTTGTTCTATAAGCAATGTCAGAAATCGGAAAAGCTTAGCCTAGGATAACTCCAAAAATTGGGCTAGCGAATTAAACAGGTCCTTAAAGATATAGCTGGATGTAGCCACAGGGTCAATGATCGACGGGTTCCCGCGTCCTGGTTACCTCTCCGGTTTGGTTGGCATTCCCGCTCAATTGGTCTTCGCGTTGGCCAGGTTCTCCAGCTTTTCGATGATCTTGTTCATGTCCAAGTCCTTGGCCACCTTGAGGTACATGGTCTTACGCACCTCGTGGAAGGACGCCCAGCTGGGCAGTTCCTTGGCGAGGATCTTCAAGTGCGTCTCGATCTCCTGCGGCGTTAGGTTGGCTCGGAAGCTGTTTTGAATCTTCTTGATGACTATCTCTAGGGTGAGCACACCTTTGCGCTCGGTGACGAACACATTACGCAGGTGTCGCGCCAGTTCCGGCAGTCTAGAATACTTGGTGGCCTCCTGATCCTGCGACGGACGCCTGGTCATTGCATCTAAAGCCTTGGCGGCTTGTTTGGCCCGGATTTTCTCAATCAGCGACTTCGGCAGACCCTTTAGTAGATTGGAAGTGGCATCCGGTGCGGTGCATTCTTTCACTGTGGGCGTTGCCGTTGCGGTTTGATCCTTGCTAGGTCCAGGGACTTCTTCTTTAGCTTTAGGGTCGGGAATACCAGGAGTACCTACAGTTCCTTTATCCATTTTTGTAGTTATTGCTTCTAATTTTTGGCCTGCTTCTGCTGCCCTTTTATCCGCCTCCAACTTGGCCTCGTAGCGATCCATGGCCCTCTCCATGGGAGTGGCGCAGTTGAAGAGGTTCCTGGCAGTGGAGAGAATGTCCTTGGCCGAGGAGTACTTCTCCACATTTGGTGGCTGTGGCAGCGGCGCCAGCTCCACCTCCGGGCAGCTTTCTAGATCAAATTGTGGATGCCAACGTGTCAGCGCTTTCTCGATGATGATTGGCGGATCCTGGGAACGCAGGAACTGGTCATGCGCCCGCTTCACCCTATCGAGCAACAGGCTCTGGAAACGCTGCATACGGGCTGTCATGACATGCGGATTCATGGACGTCGACTGGGCCGACGCGAGCACATCGTCCTCGTTGATCTTGGATTTCGATCGCTGCTCATGGGCCGCAGCGGCTTCCTCCTCGGGGAGCTGCTCCACATTGGGGGCGATGATTAGCTGGAAATAGTCAGCCTTGGACACCGAACCAAAGTTGCGCATCTTCATCTGGCTGAAGACAAAGGCTTCTGGATAAATGTGCTTGATCTGGGCCAAGTGGGTTTCCGTGAAGTTCTTCCGCAGCATGCGCTGCACAGCTGGCTTCAGCTTCTTGAACGTGATGCACTCCTTGCGGTTGTGGAACATGGCCACCACAGAGTCGAGTCCCTTGAAAACCTCCAGCAAGTGGCGATACTTGTAGGGCAGTGGAAGCTGTCCGGCACGCGAGGTCTCCACCAAACTGGCATAGCGTTTGTAGGCTGGCACCTCCACCAACTTGACCGGAGATCCTTTCTTAGCCGGACTGAACAGCAGACGCTTGGACACGTCCGTGTGGCGGGGCGACATGAGCTCATGTTTGTCCGGAGTGGGTGGCGGCAATTTAGTGGGTGTTTTGAATGTTTTAAGTGGGCTGGAAGTAGATAAGAAACATGTTAATCAAGTATGCTATGTCAGTATCTAGTATCTAGTAGGCTAGTAGTTAAAGGACTAGCTTTTAAAAGAAAACTCAACATAATTTCCATTTTATTAGTAAAGTTTAGACTAGTTTTTATGTAAAGCAGTCAAATTTTAAGAGAATATTCTTTCTAAAATTTTTATAACCGTACTAGAAGGTATTTAATTCGTAATGAATATAAAACCAAACAGCTGTTACTATTTTTAAAAGGGTAAGTAAGCAAATAGCATATTCCATAAAAAGCTTGAAATATTAACTCCATACGATAGCGGACGAAAAGGGGGTAACAAGCTTCTTAATGTTTTCCGATGGTAACAAGTATTCCTATTCGAAAAAGGTTCCTATAGGTATCCTTGCAACATCCAAATATAGCCAGAAAAACCGTTACGAAAAAAGGTTTCTACCTGGGTTGCACGGATACACACACAACGAGTATATCTGTATAGCAATGTGCATTCCCATGCAGCAGCAGCTAAGATCCTTTTCGGGACAGAGAGGGATGGAAAGTAAGCCACCCCGAATGCGGGCGAGGAAATAAGCATTTTAAAGGGAAGGTCAGGCAAGATTGTAACGTCTCCGAAGGGTAAACATTGCTATGCACACACACACACACACAGTCGCGTTGGAATGGGGAGGGTCAGTCAAGTAGATGGGCATGTTGTACAGACGTCACGAATCAGCAGCAAATACACCGAATTGCTATACTCAAAGCCAAACAGCCAGCGGTGACTCTTTGCTGGAAAATATGCAACTTCAGCAGAAGAGCTGGCTTGGCGGAGTCGGAGTCAGAGACGGAGACCCGGAGAGCGACCTCGATTGAGGCAGAACTGCAGCGGAATAGCAACTGCTGGCCTTTCGTTAATGATGTTACCCGGTTTTTTACCGCAGCCCAGCCAAGCCAAGCCACGCCATACTATGTGGTTTGTTTATGCCGATTCTAGGCCATACGACCAGTCGAAATTGTTGTGGCAGGCACATATACATATCTTCATATGGTTACAAGACCGTTAAAGATTTTTAAAATGATTTTTAGGCAGATCGGAAAAATAGTAATGTTTAGGAATGAAAGATTCTTACCTTGTTAGCACCTCCAGTTCGATGGTGTCGAACTCCTTAAGCTGTACAGCCATTGCCGATTTCGAGGGCGATGGTCCTGCTTCCTTAAGTCGTCGATTGCGCTCCTCCTGCTCCTTGCGCTTCTGCTCCAGCGCTGCCTTTCGGGCGAGGACGGCTTTCAGCTCCTGCATCTTAGCGCTCCTTGAGATTTTGGTCTTCACCTCGTCAAAGGTGAGCTGGCGCCGCAGGTCCTTGTCCGCCTTGATGGGTGAGGCATCCTTAAGGATCTGTTTGGTGGGAGTACGCAGGCCGCGCGCTATGTTGTCAGCATTCTGTAGACTGGTGGCTGTGAAACTAATCTTCGGGGTCATTTCGCTTCCCTGTTGGAGCTCATCCTCGTCCAGCTTGCTAGACTGGGTCTGTTTGCGAGGGGAGAGGGTTCCTTTCTTGATGAACTGGACCAGCTTGGGCTGTTTTATGTTTGCCTCCAGTTTGCCGGAAGGCGCTGTCTTCTTTTTGCTTTCCTGTGGGGTGACGATCAGACGGACATTGCGCCCGGATCGGGTTCGCATGCCGCTGACCGCCGCCTTCAGGGTGTCTATGTCCACATCCTGGTCTGTGGGAGCCCCCGCGGGGGCGGGAGCCTGTGTGGGAGCGGGGGCATCGACCGGTTCCGCCAGGCGCTGCAGAAGGAACAACAATTAGCGTCACAAAATGGCTGTACATGCAAAAAACGCACTCAAAGATACAAATGTATCTGGTCACGTTTCGGGATCAGTTCTTACCCTAGTTTTGATGGTCGTGGCATCATCCAAAGCGGCACGCTTGCGATTGGTGAAAAATGCAGCTACCGAGGGCTGGGCCATTGCTTATATGCACAATTTTTTCCTATTTGTGATTGCAGTTTGGTTGTTTTTTCTCTTTTGGCACGTCGGCGGCTATTTACTTTGGTGTGAGCTCACTGCACTTATTAGCGGGTTGGGGTTTTTTGTTAATTCTTTTATCAGTTACCACGTCGTGCCACCGCACTGCTCAAATTACAACTGGCCACGATTTTTGGTTGGCTTCTATTTCCCTCCAAAAACTAAAATTGCGCCAAAACTCTCATAGTGCTGTACAACTCCGAAAGCGAGAACTTAGCAACACTGTTGTGTCAGCTGCTAGGATTCCTTGGACTGTCTAGTAACACTTTTATAACAGCTGTTAGTTGACACATTTTCTAACACAGCTCTGACGCAGGGTTGATTTTTACGAAGAGTTTTTTCCACCTTGCGGATTTTGCTGGGCGCGTGTTTTTGCACGTTTCAGCCTGGATTAGCGGAACGCTGCTCGCTCTAAATCGTGATGCGATCTGACTAGTCCACGGCCAGTTGGGAAAACAATGTAAGTAGCGGGCGAACTTTTTCCTGGGGCATTGCCAGTCCGATTTGCGGAGTGAAAAAATGCCAAACTGCGGCAATAGGAGAGAGGGAGTCGGCGCTACCTACTCGGGAGCGAGCGAGATGGCTGGCGTTTGTTAGAGATAACACTTTTTTTGGCCTATCCAACAATCGTTCTATTTTCGATAACCGTGCAAATTGTTTGATTTTTTCCCGTAGGTGAAATTTCCGTGAAAAAAAGACGCTATTGAAAAGCAACACTGGAGAGAAGAACCTTTGGCCATATTTCGTACAACACGCTACAAACTTTCGTAAAGGAATCAAGTTCTGGAGCAAGCGTAGCCCCCAGGCAAGTAGTCCAATATCGGTGTTGTTGTTTTTGTGTTCAGTCCCCATGTTGTTGCTGTTGTTTTTGTGGTACCCAGCTTGCGCACACAAAAACAACAAATAAAGCATGGAGACAAGCGTGAAACCTCGTACATTGCCTTATTGAGATTTTGTGCCAGCTCTTCCCCCACTCTTAATTCATTCTCCTCTTCCCGTTTTTTTTTTCTCTTTCTCCACCTCTTCTAACGCGCTCCCCCACAACAGCTGTTACACCTGGTGGGGAAACAGACAGAAACCCGAATAGAATAGAATCGAAGCCACAGTCGCAGTCGCCGTCGCCGTCGCAGCAGAAGTAGCAGAAACAGCCGCAGCAGCATGAACTCGAAGGCTGACGTCAACCGCCGCGTTCTGACCATTCAGGCGAAGAAGAAGCGCCATAAGAACAACAAGAAGCGGGGCAAGCAGAATGGCAATGCATCCCAGGAACAGCAGCCACCACAGCACCCGAATCCCAATCCAAATTCTGGGCCGTCAGCACCGGATAATGCTAATAATAGCCATGTAGAAGTGCTGCATGCGGGCAATGCCGGGAATAAATCCAATGTTAGCGCTAAAGCTAGCGCGTCCTTCAGCAAGGCCACGGGAAATGTTTCGACTTCTAGCGGTGGTTCTGCCAGCACTACGGACCAATATCAGCCACCCGCGCCGCCGCCAAAACCCAATCAGAAGCAGCAGAAGCAGAATCAACAGCAGCAGCAACAACAGCAGCCGCCGAGAAGCTCCTCCAACGACTCTTACGAATCCGAGCTAGCCAGCGAGAACGAGGAGCAGGAGCTGAAGGAGGACTATTGCAAGGGTGGCTACCACCCCGTCAACATCGGTGACCTGTTTCAGGGTAAGGCACCTGTTTGCACCCCATTCCACCAAATACTACGTGTTTATTTCCTCTTTGTGTCCGACAAAAAACAAACAACCTAACAACTAACCTCCAACTCATTTGCTCTTGTTGGCCATATTGGCGTTTCAAGCACGGCCTCCGCCCCGAAAATCCGAAAAAAGCACCAACAACAACAGGTTGCCAGAGGGGCACAGATAAATCGAACCCTCTGGATGCGTGCCAGAGTCGGTTGTTTGTGTGTGTGTGTTTGTGCTCACTCTGGGGGATTTTGGCCCACCCCCAGGGCGCAAGGGTTGCTCGTTTTTTGGGGAGGCCGACGACGTCTGTGTTGTGGTGACGACAACAATGGTAACAGTAAAAAGGGGCTGTGTCACCTCCAACGATGTCGCTACCCCCCCCTAGCTTGCATTTCCTTTGGCCTCCTTTCCGATGTCTTTCCGTTTCGGTGGTGCCAGCTGCCATCTGCCAGCTTTCCGCATGCCAAGTGCACACCATTTGTAGGCTCAGAAGCTCGGGCGAAAGAAAATCCAAATGGCAATCGCTTGGCAGCGATAACAGGGCGGCCTGATAGCGTTAGAACGAAGCTTAACAAATCGCTAGATAGTGTACAATGAAATAAACAAACGAAATTTGCTCACCTTTGGCTGGGGGATGAAATCAGTTGCAATGTACGAGGCTCTCTAGTAAGGTTAGGTCATGGGGTAAATGGTGGAGCCATTTAAAGTTTTAATTCCTTAACCAATCTCTGGTGTTTAACCCTGAATCATGCACCCCTGCACAATGAACACTCCATTGCATTCAGTCCGCTATTTTAATTGAATTCAAGCCGAGAGCAACCAGAGCTGGCCGTTGGGTCAGTCTGATTGTGACAGTGATGCGATTAAAATGGATTTATTGCCAGCGGAGGCAAACATTTGTGATTTCATCTACCTAAGTGGTTCGAACTTTTACCTTTAGCAACGCCCACTGAAGTGTTGAGACTACAGCTATTTTTGATTCCAGGTCGCTATCATGTCATCCGAAAGCTGGGCTGGGGCCACTTCTCGACCGTTTGGCTATGCTGGGACCTACAGCAGGAGCGCTATGTGGCCATCAAGATTGTCAAGTCTGCTCCGCACTTTGCCGAAACGGCCAAGGACGAGATTAAAATACTCAGGACGGTCCGTGAAACTGATCCGTCGAATCCCAGGCGCCAGAAAACCGTCCAGATGCTGGACGATTTCAAGATAACCGGTGTTAATGGCACCCACATATGCATGGTGTTCGAGGTGCTCGGCGACAACTTGTTGAAGCTTATCCGGAAGTCGAATTATCGCGGTATTCCGTTGAACAACGTGAAGACCATCACTCGACAGGTGCTCGAGGGTCTGGACTACTTGCACACTTGCTGCAAGATCATCCACACCGACATCAAGCCCGAGAATGTGCTGCTTTGCGTCGACGAGCCCCATGTCCGCTCCCTGGCCACCGAAGCCACCCAGTTGTACTGCATGAACTCCAAGATGTACCCGTCGCTGGTCAGCCGGGCGCCAAAGGAATACCGCGAGCCACCCATCACCGGCAAGATGAGCAAAAACCGCAAGAAGAAACTAAAGAAGAAGGCCAAGAGGCGCATGGAGCTGTTCAAGAAGCAGCGTGACTATCTGGAGCAGACAGGAGGTCAGGTCGAGGGCATGGATGGTGAGGAGCAGACCAACTTTGGCGTTAACCACAATTCAGTCCAGAATGGCGATGCCGGCGACTCCGATGCCGATGATGATGATGTAGAAGTCAACAAGGAACAGGATCCGGTTGAAGAAAATGATACTGCGGCTGCTGGCCAGCCTGTGGTGGCCAAGGAGGAACAAGAGCGAAAGACTGGCGGGGAGGAGCAACAGCCACCGTCGGATGGCACTGAAAAGGCCAAAAAGAAGAGGAAAAGGAACAAGAATAAGAGTAAGTTTGACTTTCAATCGATCCTCTGAAGAACTTGTTGATTAATTTTTTGTTTCCAGATAAGGGAAATCAACAGCAAGGTCAGCAGTCTGCGCAGCTGGAGAACTCGGTCAGCAGCGGCGACATTAGCAATGCGCTCAAGAGCCACCAGACCAACGGCAGCAGCAGCATTAGCAATTCTAACAGTAACTCCATTAGCAATTCGAGCGGCACTTTGAAGGGACAATCAAATGGCAAGAAAATGCCGCAGCAATCCAAGAAGGAAAAGTCGAAGCAGCAGCAGCAGCAGCCATTGAATAACAACACAAGTTCGAAGCCCAACTCGAACAGCATTTCGAAAATCTCAAGCGAGTCTGTGGACAACTCTTCGTGGTGTAACGGGCCGTATTCGGAGCCACTGTTACCACCACCTCCGCCGCCACCGCAAGTTAAGCATCGCCCCAAACGTGATCCGGCGCTGGAGGAGTGTTCGGTGGATGTGAAAATCGCCGATCTGGGTAATGCCTGCTGGGTGGACAAGCACTTCACTGAGGACATCCAGACGCGGCAGTACCGCTCCCTGGAGGTGATCCTAGGCTCCGGCTACGATACTTCTGCGGACATCTGGAGCACTGCATGCATGGTCTTCGAGCTCGCAACCGGCGACTATCTGTTCGAGCCGCATTCTGGCGACACCTACTCCCGCGACGAGGATCACCTGGCGCACATCATTGAGCTCCTGGGTCCCATTCCACGGCGCATCGTTTTCCGAGGCACCTACGCGCAGCAATCGTTTAACCGCGAGGGTGAGTTGCGGAACATAACGGGCCTGAAGCCCTGGGGCCTGATGGACGTGCTGCTGGAGAAGTACGAGTGGTCGCACAGCGATGCCGAGTCGTTCGCATCGTTCCTCAAGCCCATGCTGGAGTTTGATCCGGCCAAGCGGGCCACCGCCGCGGAGTGTTTGCAGCACCCGTGGCTTAGATAAGATACGATGCAGCCTGGTTGTTGGCTGCGCGCCACCCAGCCAGCAGTGGGAGCAGAGGACGTGGCGGGACGAATAGGATCGGGAACAAGAGCAGTAAGAGGAACAGTATCGGAAGCGGCATGTGTGGAGCCTTCGGAATCGGTGGCCACTCTGGCGTCCATTTCATCAATCGCATCAACTTCGGCGGCAGCTATGGCGGCGTTGAAGGCGCGTCCGTATCTGGTGCCGCCATTCGCGGCCACGGCCTCGGCTCCACCAACTCCGCAACCGCATGTAACCAGTACTACGTCCATGGCGTGCACTGCGCCAGCAACACCTACAAGACGTCGTCTCGCCACCGACACGGAGATGGCGGTGGCTGATTTCGATATTGCCGAGTTGGAGGAGATGGTCGAAGCTCCACCCCACACCAAGACCAAGTCGCATCGATTCTTCTGGCGAAAGGCTCTGCGTCGCGTCTTCCGGCGCCGCAAGTGACATCAGATGCGGCGCCGCCGGCAGGATTTACCCCGATGGCACCGTCCCGTTACCGCCCACCGCCGCTGCCGGCGTCGCAGCCTGGCCGAGCGGGTGCGACGGGTGTGTGCCTGTTGCGCCTACGGTCAGGTGCTGTTGCGTGCCGCTCGTGTGGCCCTGCTCAGCTGCATCCGCTGGCGAACGCGTGGCAACATCCGTAACAACAACTTTTACTTCAGAAATCACTAGAATCGCAGCCATCAGCCATCGGCCAGCAAACAGGAAACAGCAACAGCAATCAGCTTACTGTCTACAATCTCCCCACTCCAGACACTAGAGCTACGTTTAATGTTAACACATCCATACGATTTAGTTATATATACGCGCCAGCACTTAATTTATTTCTTGTGTTTTACATCGACAATTAGACTATTTTCGTTGCTACATATGAAATTATAAAACGTATTACCGCCTAACCGAACACTTCCCCCCGAATCCTGTAAATAGGGTCACTAGTGCTCGACCCCATTCAGCTAAAAATGAAGCATACAAGTTATAGAGCGAACACTTAAGTAAAAGCTAAATCGAAAGCGAGCGATTTGAAGGAATACAAGCCTATTTGCATATAGGGTTATATCTGTTACTGTACATTTAGCCAAGAGGCGAATCGGCAAATATATACATTTATAGCGTACATAGTTAAATGAACTGGAGCCCAATCGAGCGGATGGTTTTTTATTAGCATATGTGAAATGTACATGGATGCAGAACATGAATTTGAGCTGAACATTACAATAATGAGAACGTAGTTAATTAGTTAACCCTCGGCTTAGTGATCGACTTGAAAAACAAAAAAAAAAAACAAAAAGAAAACATTAAAATGAAATTAGTAATCGTAAAGCCGTAACCTCAAATAGGAAAGCAAACGCACTACCAGAAACAGCCACAAGTGAAACCAATCCTTAATAACTAATCGGTCTTAGTAAACAAATAATAATTAATTGTAGCCGCCACAACAAAGTATTGTTCAATATTAAATACTAGCGCAAGTGCAAAATAATTACAGCAATATCGGGTAGAAAATTATTCAATACACACAGAGACACTAGACGCAACTTCAATTTGGCACACTTATCAAAATACTAGAGCCACACAAAAATTTATGAAATTTCTCACGCCCATACTACTCTTAACACAAATACCTAAAGGCCACTTTAGTTAAGGCTAGATCATAATGCGATTTTTCGTCAGAATATTCGATTCGATTCGACAAAGTTGTAGAGAAGCTAAGAAAAGAACGAAGGGATTATCAGAATGGCAGGATGGTTCATTATCCTTCGGCAGGGGATGGGTGTTTGACAACTATATACAGTACATACATACACATATATGGATAAGTGGCCTTATTAATTCGGTTCTCCGCACCACACCAAGCACTATAACCACATGTACACCCAAAACCACACTTCATACACACTCAAACACACAGAAAGTAATTAGTCCCCAGCCATTTGCAATACGAAAGCTAATTGAAAAACACCTCAAACTATATAATATGAAGAATTAGGTATGAATATTATTGTAACTTGGGCGCAGACATTATTGTAAAGGGAAGCATCGCCGATATCAGTGGTAGATTAAACTAAACAGTGTCCAGGCTTAGAATGGCGGAGAGAATGAGGAGACGGTTCTATAAGTAGTAGCCCACAATCGATCTACAAATGTTGTCACCAATTTAAACATAAACGCGAATTCAGATAGTTCTTCGGCAGGCCGATGTCTCGATAATACTTACGCATATACTCTTTGAAAATCGCCTATACTTCCAATCAGAAGATATCACAAGTGAAAAAGCAGGAGGAGTTTGAAGCAAGAAAATGGATCTATTCCAAGCGACATAGAACCAGAATCAGGAACCCAGCTGCCGAATTGCAATTCCAATATGTTCTCACGCTTTCAAAGAGTATAATTATGAATTATACGATACGATACATAATTTATTGATGTAGTTATAAACAAAATAAACAACAAATTACACAAATTGGAAAACAATCGATAGTGTTTCTTTCAGCATCCATCTAGTCAGCCAGCATCCAGCAAGCAGAATCTATCTTTTGGCCATAAATTTTAGCCAGCTTTGGAGGGCCAGCAAAGGATTGAGATACACATGGCAGTATGCTGGCAATTTATGGCCACATAAAAATCACAAAGCAGCCAAGTTCTAACGGATGGCTGAAAATGCGGAAACTTTCGTATTGGCCAGAACTGCTGCGACCTTCGGCCAGCTCACATTAATTCCATGTTATATCCTCCGTACTGGAATTCATCACGTCTGTTTGTCAATGGCTCGAAATTGAATTTCATCTGCTAGCCAGGTTTTCCACGTGCACCCAAATGTCTAACCAAAAGCAATGGCCAGTCGTTAAATGCTATGCACATATTTGTATCTTTGTATCTGGATGAAAATGCCCAACGCTCAGGTGCACACGGCCGCATACGGGGGCCTGATACTATTCCACCTGACGTCGGATTGTGAGGAGAAAAGGCCACCGCCCCAGGCGGCGATTGTCAGACTGCTCTCAGTGGCATCCGTTGGTTGGCAAAAGTTGGCTCCTCCTCCACTGTTTGCCTTTTCCAACTCTCGGCCAAGAATCTAGGGGCTCCCGGGAATCGATCTAAGACAAATTCGAAGAGCTCACTTTGCACACACATATGGTATATGGTATATGGTATATGGCTCCTGGTATTTGGTTTATTGTTTGCCAAAGTTTCACCAAAGTGAAAAGTGCTTTCCGGCTAAGCGGGGGATCAGAGTGGGATAGCGTAGAAAAATGATGCAATTCATCCGAGGAGGTAAGTAAAGAATGAAAGTCGAGATTGGGTGTTAGTTTACTTGGTGTTTTTCTTTGGTTTAATATCAGGGATATCTTGACTTGAATGATTTCTGTCTGTATATTAACCTGTCTGTAATAATGAAATTAAATTACCCATTTCAAGAGCTAATTATCCTTTTAATATTATTAATCCATTATAGCCCATTCCCCCACAATGGAGTCTAAATTCTTGAGAGTTCATTTCAAATGAATTAAACATTTTCCTGTTACTTGTGAACTTGCAAATACTTTTAAAGCTCTTACAGTTGAGTTGAACTGCTTGGAAGGGGCATTCAATTTCATTTGCTTGAGAGTTTGGCCACAAGGCCCGATTTCAATGCGTATGCTAACGAGACGAGGACCCGCAGACTGGTAGCCCGGCTCCTGCTCCAGCTCCTGCCTACCCGACCTTGTCCGCCCACCCACATTTCGAATCTGGATTTGCTTATAAATGTCCAACAAATGACAAACTTGACAAACAGGGGACAGACGGAGCAAAGTTTTATATTTTTTTTTTGTTTAGCATGGCTCGAACCCAAACTCAAAACCGTTAAGGAAACTGGCAAAGAAAAACTCTCGAGACAACTCGGTCAGAAGTTTTTTGGAGCGTTAGAATAAACCCAAACAATTGTGTGTCCTAGTCCTTGATGATCGATATTTGTCACACCCATACAAACACAAGCCCACACAAGGATACAAGGGACAAAGGGAACTTTTAAAAGGTCCTTTTTGTAGATGCGGCGAAGCGCAAACGATTATTCAATTTGCACTCGGTGTATCAGAGCCTGCGAACTCCAAGTGAAACGTTTAGCGTCACCGACCGACCCCTATACCCCTAATCTGCGCCCCTACGCCTCACCCAATGGCACCCCCCTTGCCCAAATTGTTGTGCACTTTCAAATGTCCTTGTTGAAAATGCCAGCGAGTGGCACACTGATGACATTAAGTAGCTGTCGGGTTGGTCAGGATTAGATAGCAAAAGTGCCTGATGTTAGTTTAAAGTAGATAAACAAAAGCGGATTCTCCCGGTCTGCCCCCGCACCTCTTAGCCCCCCTCCACTTTTGCTCTTTCGTCCTGTCAAGCTTTCCATTGTTGGGGGGCTTTGTGTTGGCGAATATGCTTACACAGCGAAAAAAAGGTCAAAGGAATGGGTAATGGTAATATAATTGTGGGTATTTACCATTTCAAAATGAATAAGATCTTAAGCTTGGAAGTCCTTGAAGATATTTAGTATAAATCTAACTAGAAATAATAATTTTTTTCAGTGTATTAGCCAGGCAGTATGCCGGAGTGCTTATGCCGGAGCGTTTGTCAACCGTGATTCCTTCTTTTCAAAGAGATTAACCTTACCTTTCACCTAGGACTGATTACTGAAATACCAACTTAACAGAATTAGAATTCTTTGATTTTTAAGCAACTTAATATTAATAAAAATAATATAAAGACTGTCTGGCCAAAGGAGATTTCTTTAATAAAGTGTTTAACCTCCAAGCTCAGAATACTTTCGGGATGCACTTTCACTTGCAGGCCCACTACTCCAAAAATTTAGCTTTATTTGCATATATGTTACCTTACCTGTTTATCACCTGTTTTCTCTTTTTAAAATTGAGCAACCACTTGTGGGCTAAAATTTGTATTTTCCTTTCAGTTTCGGACTCCGAATTTCCGAAACTAAAGAGCACACTCTTTGGCCCACTGTACGGCATTCTCTTAAGTGGGGAAAGCACTTTTAATTTCGTTCCAAAGGAGTTGTTTGTTATTCGGTTTAGCCTTTAAATGCTCCAAGGAGATGCCCCAACAACTTGGCCCCACCGAAAGGGAAAACTTTCCGTTTACCGACTGCGGGAACTTTAATTTCAGGGCCCGTGGAATCTCCACAACTTTGCGCCTGCAGTGGAGTGCTCCGCTCCAAAGCGGGAACAAAGTTTTCATGTTCAACACAGTCTCTGTAAATATTAAATTTTTCGGGGGAAAGTGGACTTAATTAAAATCTATGTGCTCTGGCCAGGATGGCTATAAACTGTTTTTGCGGGGCAAACAGCAAAACCTCAATGGAGGGCGGTCGTCGAGTGGGTCAAAGGACACTCGGCAAGGCAAACAACAGTCCCAAAGAAATTCCCGCTTGAAATGGCAGAAATGAGAATGATGCCCAGATATCCGAGCTATGTGGCACAAAATGATGGTACTCGAATGTGAAATATTTCCAATACAAACACTGCCAGCATACAGAAACGGATAAACAGACAGAATCATATTTATTATATGTCGCTGGCAATCCCCTAAGGAAACGGTCCTGTCCTGCCATCATAAATTTATGAAATGCATTTACAAAGCGTCTAATAATTGAACAATGGCAGCGGGGAGGTGCTTGACTGGCCAGGAGGGAGATAATAAAATCGAATGTCAATTGAATTTGCCGAAATCAAAAGGGAAATAAACGATGGCCACTTGATTAAATTTATATTTCTCATGTCCGGATTCCTTTTACAGCTGTCCTACACACATCCAATCGTCCTGTTATGAGATGTGTTGGAAAGCCGTATCCCCACTAGCTGTGTCCTTTGTTCTACTGCCATTTATTTTGCCATCGAAGCTCAATATTTACTTTGGCTCTTCCCCGCAAAAAAAAGGCGGCAAAGCCAAGAACGTGAACACGGCCTAAACAAACACAACGTTAACAGTTTAAAGTTCCCATCGGTGCCATCAAAAACCTTACTGTTTAAGGTTAAAAATAACTGCCATTTCCCGGAAATCACAAACAAGGATTATGATTAACATTTCTTTATTTTTAGTAAGCCCATTTCAAAGCTCTTAAAATTAACTGGTATGCTGCTGCCCATTGCTTCTGTGTTTAGTAATTGTTAGCAGTTTGTGGCAACCAGCAAAATTGCTTTTTAATTGTATAATGTTTCTCTTTCTTTTTTTCTAACTAAAATATTTGCACTTGAAATTGCCAAGCACCCCGTACACACACGTCCTTTTAGTTTCCGTGAGAGTGAGTATGACTGTGTGTGTTGGCTTACTCCCCCTGTATGTGCTTGTCTCCCCGTCAAAGGCCACCACCACCCACAAATCCCCAGCCTGCGACCTTGAAACTGTTATATCTGCTCATACAGACACATATAACGATTCAATTCTATGCGTCTGGATAGTGCAGAGGAAAAAAATATTTTTTATATTTCTGTGAAGTATAATATCTATTTTATCTAATGCTTTAATATAGACCAATCTTACCATTTATATTAAATTCTTGGAAAATGTACGTAAATTTTTCGCAAAAAAAGGGATACTTTTCCTGGTGTATTCAAGTCTGTGTGGACGCTGTTTGGCGTGACGTGGGTGGGGCGTGCGTGTGTGCTTGTGGTCTGACAGTTGAACTGTCTGCCGGCTCCAGTTCGACTGTTTGCATTTGACATTTTCAATTTGCATGACAGTTGCCCGAGCAGGGGAGTCCGGACTTTGGCAGCTGCCCAGCCTCAACCGTTCAATTTGTCACGTAGAAATCCCGGCGGTGTGGCCGGGGGTGCTACGGATTTTGGTTAACACTTCACGTACACCGCTTATATTTACCCAAGATCTGCTATACACAGGGCAACAAGACGCCTGACTAATTACCTTACGCCCCATCCCTAACTGGATGTAGATTTTATCCTGATGAAATAAAATGTCTTTGTAAATTATCTTGAAGAGTCAACCCGTGTAGCACGCGAACTAAATTTCCAGACTTTTTGCGGTGAGAGCTGGGAAGGACCAAACTTTCGGCTGGCTAATTGATGAGCCAGGACCTTTAGGAAATTCTTTTCGATTCAGTTTTTTTTTTTGTATAGAGGGGTCTGAAAATTAATTTAATCAGGGCCACGAGCTTGTTGTCTGAACTGTTGGAGGAGCCTTAATGGAATGTTCAAGAGGTCATCGAGAAATGTAAAGAGTCTGTTTACTACATTATTTTAATTATGTGGCTGTTGAAATAACTAAATATTTGCCTAAAAGGCTCCTGCTTTTAATTAAAAGCTATTTAAGTAAACAAATCTACAATATGCATATAGATTCTAGATTCTAGAATAATGTATGAAAATGAAAATTTTATTAGTTTAGGCCAGAAACGTCAATAAATTATAGCATTACGAATAAAAGAGTATTTATAATTTATGGTTCTAATTTTCAGGCTCTTTAAAATG